TTTTAAATAATGGGATTTCTAAGCATTTGTCTATTAAGATTATCTTTAAACTTCTGAATATTTAATGTTCGAGATTCGAACTTGTGAAAGTTTTGTAATACAAAATGATAGTTGGGAATTTCGTAAATGTTTCATATTACGTTAAAACATATATCGAAATGTTTACCTAATTAATCGGTCTGCACCCAACCTTCATCATGTGTTCATCTAGTGGGAGGCCATCAAACGCTCCGCCGACTGGTCCACGTTCATGTTTCCAGTTTTTTGTCGCATCGGCCATGGACTGGGGCAATTTGCCCCACCCATATGAGCTTATACGCTATGTAGGTGACAATGATTCTTCTACGGATCTCCTCATTTCTGATGCGATAGCGTAGTAAAACACAAAGCATATGCCTCTCCATAGCTCGTGGAGTGACGCGGAGTTGGAAGTAAAGTAAGCTTTTTCTGCAACACGAAATATATTCAAAGTAGTTCTCATTTAAAATATTATAAATTGTGTATATAACGAAAAATAGTACAAAAGCCTACTTTTCTAGATGCTCCACATTGTATATATAAACAATAATATGGTACCAGTGCCTTTAGCACCACATTTTAAATAAGGGAGCGTTTAAGTATTACGTGACGCAATTTTTGGAGATTATTGACCCCCCCTCCCCCATGTAACTCGCCGTAACGTTTTTCAGTACCCAAGTACAGTACTGTACCCAAGTATAGTAAAACGTTTCATGACCACCTAGTGACTCTTCAATTACTATTATGTGGTGTAAGTCGAAAATAATATTAACAATAACGTGTAATTCAATCCCCGCCCCGCATCGTAACGTTTTACAAAATGACCTCCCCCCCTCCCAAAATTCGTTACGTAATACTTGAACGCTCCCTAATACGATATTGCCAGTTCAATCGATTGGAACGGAATAATATTTGAACGTCTTTTATTGGTTCCGTTTAGTTCGGAATATAAAAAAATATTGTTACTTAGCTGTACCTAAGGGTTTTTTTATTATACGTAAGCTAAGGGTGTAATTTGTCAATAAGTAAATAAATGTAAGCCATATAAGTAAGGATTGCTTAGGTAATATTATTGTACCTTGTGTACTCAGAATAAATTTAACGTTGGTTTAAATCGTTTTTTATTTATTGCTTACGCATCGAATGCACGTGTGCATTCAAACTCAAACTCAAAATATCTTTATTCAAGTGGGTAACCAAGTACACTTTTGAATTGTCAAGTTAAATTAATTGTAAATTTACATTTACTACCAGTTCGCAAGTCAAGGGCGTAGAGCAGGTAAGAAGAACTGGCAAGAAACTTTCCGCCACTCTTTTTAATCGCCAAGTATTGTCATACAAATTGTTTGAACTGGAGCAAATCAATCCCAAGGATTAGGATCATTTAAGTATTCCTCAAATTTATAAAACGCTTTATTGATTAATTTCCGTTTAACGAGGGCTTTGAATTTATTTAGTCATTCAGCATTGTACGTGAGTTACATTGTGTATTTATAACCATTCATTATAATAAATTGCATTTTACAGTACTTGTAATTAAATATATTATATATGTACATTTATTATATATATATATATAGGTTGCATAATAAGAATACTTTATTCAATAGAGCAGTGTTCTGTGTTGTCTAGTGATTTCAACGTGCGACTGTCATCCCTGAGGTCGTAGATTCGATTGAGTGTAAAAAGTCGACGTGTGTCAGGCCCAGGAGGAATTCTCTTGTCTTTTAGAAAACACAATTTCACTATCCAAATACAGAAATCTGAGGGCCGCAACTAAAATGTTGTAGCACCACTGGTTTATCTTCTAATATATAAAATTCTCGTGTCGAATGTTCGTTCCCATACTTCTCCGAAACGCCTCGACCGATTATTATGAATTATTTTATGCATATTCAGTAAATTTGAGAATCGGCTATCTTTCAAACCCCTAAGTGATAAGGGGTGTCCACCCCAAAAAAAAATTGTTTTTATTTTTTATGATACAGCATACAAAAATACATACAACCCTTAATTTTCACCCCTCTACGATCAACCCCTAATTTTTATTATTGTAGATAGCCGTTTGCCGGGTAAGCTTGTATATACATATTTTTTATATCATCCGAAGGGGTAGGCAGAGAGATATCCACTTACTACGGTCCTGACATACTTCTCTCGCGTCATCCCCTTCATTCACCATGCATGCTCGTCGGTTATGAGTCCTTTGAACTTGTAACTCCTGGATTTGGTCCAGGTATTTACAAGGCCTACCCTACAAGACCTCATTATCCAGGGTTGCCTTGTATATCCTACTTCTTAACCGCTTCTCATTCATTCGTTGTAAATAGTCAACCCACCTAAGCATTCCATTGGAATTAGACAGGACTTAGGGCCATACAGATTCCCATCGGAAGAGCTTTATAATCGCAGGTAAATACTTTCCGTAGGAAGCTATATATCCTAAGTGTAATTTTAAAAGCACACAGCGCTCCCGAATTTTAGTAGGCTGTTCCTCAAAAGAAATAGGGATGTTTTCGTTAGACGTTAAGGACTGACTTCGCCAGACGCAATATGCAAGCAGACTATTATATGTATAATTAATTAAATAGGCTGCTTAATATCTACCCGCTCACCGTCTATAATCTAAAAATACGATTAAAGGACTGTCTTATGAACACACCTTACGCAGTATATGGAGATGCTTCTGAGACCTAATAAAAAATTAATACACTCAGTCGTGTTGAACTTTAGTACATTCATTATGAAGTGTCATTTGATTTATTTTGTAAAAATCTTTATTCGCTTTTATCCCTACCAGAATTCATAAATAGAAGAGAAGAACTTATACGCTTCAAATTGCTAGTCTTTTGTATTCATAATACTTTAGAACCGAATAAACAAGATATAATATTTATAATTATAATAGTTGAAAAAACAAAAATAATTTTAAAAAGATGTACTTAAATTATACATTTTTATGGAATTAAGTTTGTGATAGAAGAGCTGGGAATACTGACACAGGTATTATTTTACTTAAAATGGTTCCCAAATCTTACACATTACAATGAATTGTTGTTAAATGAATAAACAATTTTTAAGCAATTGCATAGCTTCTATCGCGGGCCTCGAGCGTGAAGACCGAATCCAGAAATTCTGTAACGAAAAAACCTTACGCGTTAGAGCGGGACAGAACGCATACTGCGTATTCACATCTCTCTGACGAGATCGGTGCAGCCGGTGCGCGTTAGAGTGAGACAGACTATATAGGCGAATTAGTCTGAGTCTGGTAGAGTGGTAGTTTGAATTAATATCAAAAAAAAATACTGCATTAATAAATAATTATAATTGCATAAGTTGAAAAAAAAATTATGCAATAGCTGTACCGCGGCAGTCCCCGAGTGCCACACTTTTTTTTATTCCCTTTCGTATCCATGTCACTACGTCCTCTTTTAACCCACACTACTCACGTATTATTCCTTTACTATCACATATTTCGTAACGCTCTAATTTCCACGGCATTTTATTCTACTTTCATTCCTTCTCTGCTACATCCAACGATCACTACGTTAGTTCGGGATAAGCACTCTCCTTGGTGCGGTCAGTCGAGCCTTGTTTCTTGAAATGCTCACAATGCTCCATTTACTCTATTCCCAGCATTCACTCATTCATTCTTTCTATATCGTCATTCTTTCCATCCAGAGCTAATGTTTCCTTCACTCAGCTTATAAATTGTAACAATTGAACGCGCCTTTTATCACCTAATGTATTTTATTTTTAATTTTTGACACTTAGCTCGTACTCAGACGATCCACTTACATCTAGATCAATGTTTCCCAACTATTTTTGTGCATGTTTAGTCTTTCGATTGCCCTTCTTAACAATCAAATTACCCCCTGTGGCACGTGGGCCCCACGTTGGGAAATACTGCTCTAGATAGTACATTAATAACTCAAAATATCTTTATTCATGTTGGTAAACTATTACACTTATGAATTGTCAGAAAGAAGTTAAATTAATTGTAAATGTACATTTACTACCAGTACGCAAGTCAAGGGCGTAGAGCGGGTAAGAAGAACTGGCAAGATCTTTCCGCCACTCTTTTTAATCGCCAAGTATTGTCATACAAATTGTTTGAACTGGAGCAAATCAATCCCAAGGATAAGGATCATTTAAGTATTCCTCAAATTTATAAACAGCTTTATTGATTAATTTTCGTTTAACGAGGGCTTTGAATTTATTTAGTGATAATTCTCTGATTTCGCTTGGTATATATATAATAACTACATATTTTAGAAACATACTCAGCTACGAAATATAATTCCTCAATAATTAACAACGAATTTAAGGATGTAATCAATGTACTAGCATCCGTCTAAATATTGATAATATTGTTTATATTTTTAATAAGCGTTAGGTTATTCATAGACAAGAAGTGCCGCAGTATATTTATTATCACTGAAATATAATACCTCGATACATCATTATTTTAATTTTGAGTAGTAAGTACAAACTTCAATGCCATTCGTAATGTAATGCATGTCTTATATTTCAAAACATCTTTGTAAACTACTTTAAAAATGTCAAGTAATAGTCGAAAAACTATTTAATCAAATGGTAATTATTTAAACAGTAGCGAACTTTAAATTTACTTTAAGCTAAAACTACTGATTTTATTTTCTTTTTTAGAAGACCAAGGAACAACAAGATCTCATGCATCGCCATAAAATAATCACTGGATGCTGGTAACTGGCCACTACAAATAAAATGCACGTTCATTCTACATTCTTAAGGAAATTACATTTTCTTATAGGCGCCCTTCAACTACAAGCAAGTTTAAACAGTTGGCGTATGTTATTCCCCTCCACATAACCAATAGACAAGTGAATAGCGTACTTACATCTCATAGCATAAAAGTCCATTCAATCACACAGCATTGTATCTAATCAAGGATCGTTAAGCTTAATCTTTCGTAATCAGTATGCCAGTGACCGCTCGCCGCGATGGACGACTCACCCTGCAACTCTAAATGTAACCGACCTACTACATATTTAAGTGATATACGCGATTTCGACTCTCTAAGTAAGTGTTTAATTTTTTTTGGCAAGCGTAGCATCGTCATGCATCAATTCATCTTATGAAATTGTTGATCTATTTCTGTTTACGTGACCTAAATTAGCTTTACAAATAAATTTGATATTGTCCCTGACTGCTGTATTAAACTAGTTGCAAAATTTTTTAGAAATCAATAAATCAAGTGACACTAGGTAATAAACACAATAATCGCGTGCGCATACGAAAGTATTAAATGTTATTTTTATTTCAGATGACGTAGTACAGAATCTAATACGCGAAGCAATAAAAATAAGAAAAAGAGCGTACTGTCCCTATTCAAATTTTTCTGTCGGCGCCGCTTTATTAACCGAAGAAGATTCAAAAGTGTATACTGGATGTAATATTGAAAACTCCACGATGTCCCCAACCATTTGCGCCGAACGGACTGCAATCCCCAAAGCTGTCTGCGACGGTTACTTGAAAATCAGAATGATTGCTATCGTAGCACATCAAAAGGACTCGTTCACAGCACCATGTGGAGTTTGTAGACAGACCCTTAGTGAATTCCGTGGGAGCGATGGTGACATAGAAATATATTTAAGCAAACCAACAATGGACAAAGTGTTATGTACGAGACTTTCCGAAATTCTTCCACTCTCATTTGTTAGTTTTAAAAAAGATAATGTGAAATCATAAATCAATATATATTTTATAGATTTATTCAATGACTATTTTTATAAGATACAATTTTATATACAAGTTTTATAATTAGTAAACTTTCTTATCAATTAATTATTAATCTATTCATAAGGGGATTTCCCTTATAAAGTTACTCCGTTGTTATAACGAAGTAGTCATTAAAATTATACAACGGTACATCGTTATGTGTTTTTATTCGTATTTGCTTATCATATAACACAGCTGATAAGTAAGTCATGGGAGAAACGTTATCTTTCAATCAGAGTTACATTTTAAACGCGTTTTGGTAATTACGATTTAGGAACTTAGAACTAAAACAAAGGATATAATATAACGCAAACCCATAACAAACATTATAATTTAACTTATATTATTCATACAAAATATTAATAACGCAGTTTTTCGAAAAAGACGAGCGTGATATTTCCAACTGTACATTATCATTAATTAAAATATACAATGACTGTTTAATACATAACGATATAGGTCTTCAAATAGAGTATAAAATGCGTAAATGAAAGTCAACGGTACAAAAACGCAACCCAAATTATCTGCCCTTGACAGGTAAATGCAATATACTAAACGCATAAGAATGTCAAGGTACAAATAAATCGTACATTATAGCCACGACTGGATCTTACAAATTATTCATATAAAAAAGTCAATAAAAATTTCCTTAGGGATTAGTTTTATAAGAACAGGTCAAACAGAAGGCTCATCTGATGTTAAGTGATACTGCCGCACATGTCACATTGTCAGAAGCCTTGCAAGGACCTTTAGTCGAACCAGAAATATCTAGTAAGCAAATGCAGGAAGATTAGAAGGGCCTTAAAATATGACAAATGCCCCGATGTTTCTCACGTTCCTAGGTAATCTTTAGTTTAAATAAAAAACAGTATTAAATAGCATTATCGTTACTTTATTTAAAATGTTAATTTAAATGAAATTTTATTAAGGGGCTTCTACACGGGCAAATTTAATTTAATGAATAATGAAATATGTGGCTACATCATTGCTGGCTATATAATATATATAATAGTCAAGTTAGTACAATGCCAAATCATGTTAGTACAAGGATGACAGTTTGCCAGACCATAGACAAATTTGATCAAAGACATCAAACATAAAATGGCCATTCGACTGAAACATTTCTGAATAATTTAATACAAAACAATTAGCACACGTATACTATTTACACGTACTTTATTAACAATTGGATTACAATTTACATTCAGAACACAATATGGGTCAAGCGCAATTTATTATAACTACAAAAAACTTAGTATTGTCTTTTATTGACATAACTTTTACACATTTAAAGGAAACAATTTTTACCGGATTGAAGTTATTTATTTATATATTATACGCTTTGACCAACCGAAAGTACTTGCGAAAAGTTTCTTCCCAAGATTGGTACGCGAAGCCATTGAAATCAAAAAACACCCCAATTTCAATAGAGAAGACGGCCTAAAATTGTCAAACACCTGGGATCCAATAATATCCAAATTAAAATCTCAAGATAAACAATCCGCGAAAATAGAGGACACCGTGAGCCATTTCTGCCAAAACCCTACATCTTTTAGTCGACACCAACTCCGAGGAAATAAATACAGATAATACTTTTTCTACAGCTGTGATAATTTTTGACATTCAACACCTTTTGTCTTCAGTCACCGTGACCACGCACGCTGTAAAGCACGCGAAATGTTGGTTAAATTTAAAATTATGTAAAATAATTATAAATTTATAATACATAACTTCAATCCGGTAAAATTTTTTTCCTTTAAATACAAAAAACTTAATATGATTTTTTTTCTTCTAAGTAGGAACGACATGGGGGAGTTAGACATCAACTTCGTCATATTGACACAACTTAAATTCATTCAAGTCACACAAATAGGAAACTCAATGCTAGCTAGCTTTCGCAATTAACAAAATTACCAAAACGGACACCAACCAATATAGCATTGGCACAAATTCTCATTATTCGTAGCGATTTTTATCAACAAATCAACTTGTTTCGGAACGCTTACGACCGCTTCTATATTTGGAAAATCTCTACCGGTTAACTTATCCCTAATTCTGTTTAGTATTGCCAGAGCTCGCTTATTTAAATTAGATTCTGGTGGCATTTCTAGTGATTCATAGTGTAGCTGATTTCTACTTCTGCTTGGCAGGGAGTAGGAGATGTCAATGTCAGATGAGAAAGTAGACTCTGTGATGGAGTGTTTGTCATTGTCTATGAGCCGCCAGTTAAGGAGTGGGTCATAGACAAATGCCTCTAGGACGGCCATCACGCTGTCCCTGTGTTTATGGAGCACATGCATGACTGATTCGCATGCGAAACGATACGTACCTTCTATACCAGTTACCTGAAAGAATAAATCTAAATTATTAAAATTTTATCAACAATAGACGAAATATAACTAATAAACTTTTCTGTTCGAGTTTAAGATCGCAAATAACCATTTTTGACAAAAAAGTCTATGAAATTCTGTCGATAATAATGGTATCAAACTCCTAATTATAATTACAATATAATTACAACATCGCAATTTAGTCTTAGACAAATCAATCTGACCTAAAGCATCAATTGCCATGTCCTGATTTAAAGCTACAAATTTAGACTTAAAGGCCAATAGAATATTATTTAAGGCAGATAAAAAATCTTTACTAAAGCACTAGCTAATGATTACAATCAATGAATAATAAAATAATTGAATACTGATGACCATAATTTTTTAATGGACCAGATGGATATCTAAAAACTATCAATATTATTTTGTCATTAGTGGTATTGGTTAGGTTATAATATTAAGTAAACGTTGCGGTCTGAGAGCAATTGGATACTTCTGATGTCTACAGGATGGGGGGGGAGGGCAAATGAGCCTACGGCTCAGATTTTTAATTCCGTAGAGTTCTGACAGCTATCATTTTTGACATGTCAAAGGTGGCAAACCTTTTTGGCCGGGCACATTTTTTTTCAATACGAGTCTGGAGTCTGAACATATGAGTCTATGCATACATTTTATTAAGTGCGGTGCTCCACATTAAAAGTGGTTTAGTGGTTTGATAGTTACATCCCTTTTCATCACAAACAGTAATAAACGCACAAGTCAACATAACATTTTATTTTTATAAAAATGTTTACTAAACCTGGAATTTGTAGGCAGTTATGCCAGCTAAAGAATAAAATATAGTAATTAAATTTAATTTCAAATATTGATCGTGATATTGAAATATTGGTGATTTTTATACCTAATATAAACTTGAGTAAATAAATATTTAGATTTACCGTTTTGTAGGTAAAGCAAAAAAAATACGTAGCATTTTTTTTATTGCCCTAAAATAAGTCAAATTTGTCCCTTTTTCGGTGGAGAACTTTTTTAGTAGCAACACTTATGAAATGTCAGAATTCTACGGAATGAAAAATCAGAGTACAGATAAGGTATTAGGGCCAAAGTCGCGTATGCTATTTTTTTTATACTAAAGCTAATGAAACCTAGAGATGTGTTGATGTGTATTACATCAAACCAATAAAAGAAAACGTTAATTACCTCCATAGCATTAATCAGCATCCTGGTCAATCTAAACGGTATTTTCTCTGGGAATCGTTCCCTTGTCTGGGTAACTTCGAAGCAATCACCAAAGTCAATATGAAGAACCTTTCCAGTGACTCTATGCAGCATAATATTGGATGGATGTCTATCTCCCAATCCGAGGATATACCCCACCATACTCATCACAGCGAGGGAACGGGTGTAGTTTGTTCGACGCTCGAACCAGGTTTCCGCTGAAGGGCTCTTGAGCCAGAGTAGACGCGCCAAGTCATTTCCAGGCGTCTGGGATAGCGTGTATTCGAAAATTTCCACCTGGTGATGTGAAGTGTAGGGTATATCAGTACAAAAATATTTAATGTGAATAAGTGTTAATTTATATACAGCTAACTAAGACGAGCAAAATTGTACGCATAAGAAAATAAAGGAAGAAACGCCAGAAATGACGCCTATTATTTTTTTATTCATATAGGTAACACAATGTACACTTATGAACGACAGAACAGAAATATATTTAATGCTTCTAATTATTCTACTTTTACAGTTCTCAAATCAAGGCCGTGGAACGGACGAGAAGAACTGGCAATAAACTCTTCGCCACTCTTTTTAATCGCCAAGTTTTGTTTTACACAATGTTTGTAAGAAGCTGCAACCATTACACCATGTTTCACATGACATCTTAAGTAATTAATAGTAAATAAATCAAAAATAAAGATTTGTCGCCTATCAGCAGGAGGCATGGTGTAATAGGAGCAACGCACTTACATTATCGTGGGAACAACACGCAATTAAGATGCATGCATAGAAAAATTTCAAAGCAATCATTGTAAAATAAATTATTCGAAATTATAAAACTTAATTTTTAAATGATTAATAAAAGAAAGGAAAAAATCACCTTATGCTTCAACATCAACTTCTGATAATCTGAAGCCATTCTCATCATAATTTGCTGTTCTGTATGCAATGACATTTTATTCGACTTTTTATCCCGATAATCGCTTATAAGATTATACAGGGTGTCGCATTGCGGTACCCAGCCTATGAGTCCTGAATTTGGTGACAGCGGAACCACAGCATATCTCTGTATGGCTAAATCATGTCTGTATGTATTGGAGTCGGCCTGAAGCAGAGTATTGACGAGGCCAAAGAGTTGCATCACCCTTTCATCTTGGCGTAGATCTTCGTGGCCTTTTAATAGGAACATGTATTGCCTTCCATCAGAACCTTGGATGGTCAGGCGGCGAGGACGCTGTTTCGATTTGATTATCTAAAAAGAGATGAGTTTTATTTATTAAATATTTTCAAATATCGATTCGTTTGTTAGAATTTCCAACCCGAATAGGGTTTAATATTTTTGTATACCTTCCGTAATAACAGTACAAACGTGCATCAAGAAATTATATAAAGAAATACAAACTAGAAGAAAGAGAAATAGAAGTTAAATAAATTTATGTTTAGATGTTTAAGTAAATAATTACACAATTTTATATATATATATATATATATATATATAATTCTACTGTACGTGTGTATGTCACTGAACTCCTCTTAAATGGCTGGAGCGATTTCAAATCAGCCCGGCAGATGGCGCTGCAGTCGGTAACTAGGTTATCTATCTATACAGCAAATAAACAGCTGGTATACAATATATATATATACAAAAAAAGTATATATTCTGTGCATGTGTTCGTAATAAAACTCCTAAGCGGATTTTTTTTTGTATATAAGACGTGTGTACAGGACAACGGTCTGCTAGTATATATGTTTTAAAACTTTGTCAAATTAATTTACTTTTGATATAAAATTTTGAACTTATACATTCGAAACTTACTTACTTCGGTATTGTTAAATAACATTATTATCCTAAAATTATGGATCGAATTAAAAAAAATGGCTAATATTTGTCCAAAAAAATTTATATAGCTAGTCTAATTTTAATTACCTGCAAATGACTCTTTATATGAGATATCCTAATAACTTTTTCGTTAGGGACATATGAACCCGGAACCGCCAGTTGCAGGTCCGTGCACGTGTGAAGACGTTTACTGACGTACTGTAGCTCGAGCGATGTATGAGAACGGAATTGAGATCCGATCCGACGCACAACGTGGCAGTAAAGGTCCCACGCTTCGTTCAAGTATTTATCTTCGTTTGTTTCCTGTGAATTTAAACAAACAATTATAAATAATAAAAAAGGGTGCGTGTACTTATGTACGCGCGTAAGAAGTTATACTTCTTTGGCATTATTAAAAATAGTTTTGATTGCATGCAAATAATTTATTACAATTAAATAATCAAAGACTGGAAAAGGAGTCATTATAGTCAATAAAGTTTAATTTACATTTGAAAAATTAAATGAATAAATATTTATTATTATTCTCTTACATTAAGTGTAACATAAATTCTATTATTATTCGAATGTTGTTTTTAAATTATGTCCAATGCCGTAGCACGTTGCGCACTGATTTAAAAAAATGTCTTACCATCTTGATCTGCCCCCCTCCCCCCTCCCATTGAAACATACATAATTTTTAATATCTAAAATTTAATGGCTCACTTAAGAAACTTAAATGATAGTTTTTAGTTTGTAGGAAGAAATTACTTTGATTTTAAAACATAAAATGAATAACTGAAATTAGAGCCCCCCTTTTAACTTTCAAACTGCCCCCATGTGGGGCGTGGGCCCTACGTTTGGTAACACTGGTCTAAATCAATTAATGCAGAGCAGGGTGTGAGATATATTAGGGTATAAGATAGACTCCCATATAAAAACGTTTGCCAAAAAATAAAAAAAACGCATAATAATAATTAAACTCGTTGGAGTAGGCGGTTCCTTCTCCCGAAACCCTCATTGTAGAATAGCAAAATATTTTTATTTTTTCTAGATTTTTTTATCTAGATGAGGTTAAGTTACAATGCTTATTGACAAAGTTGACATATAGTTATATATCGTATAAATACGAGAGAAACTAGAGAAATATTTTTTTGGATATTTAAAAAAAAAAATTATACATCAACACAAAGGCACGTCATGTTGAGGTAGGGGCAGCGCCCACTCACCACGTGGAAATTTTCAATTGCTATATACAAGCCGCACTTTGCCCGTTTCCCAGCCCCCCCCCTGACATTCGGCTGACGAGGCCCCTGGATCAACATGTGTTACTAAGGCTGAACTGTATTCTTACTTTGTAAAGTTCACACCATCGCTGTGCTTCTTGCAAATCCCTGCCATACATTTGTAGAAATGAAACCTCTTTCAATGTTTCCGGAGGGCGATCCAACATAGCGTGCATTTTTTCCAAAGTCCTGAACATGCTACGGTAGTCTTTCTCACTAAAGTACAACCTAGAAGCAGAACGTCAACACTTAGGTAGGTAGGTACATTTATCAGGTAAATTTAATTAATTTAAAAAAAGAGTTCAATTACATTTTTTTTATGGAAGAGGTTTTATATTATATAGCATTAAATATACATATTAAAATGTGCCAAGTAGACTAAAATAAAAGCCGTCCTGTCCGTCAGATGGCGACATGCATCTCAATATATATCAAGTTTCTCATGTAAAAAAATATATTTTTTGGTAATGAGAAATACAGTTCTTTAAACATTTTTAAATCCTCGCTAAAAGTGTGAAAATACAGTGGAAACTCGAACCTCGAAAAAAATAACCATTCCCTTCACCTAAATACGCGGTATCTCGAATTATTTAGACTTTGTAACTCGAACAAAATGGTATTTCCCTACGAAGTATTGATAATACATATTTATGCTCTATAACTCGAATTTCAAAACCGAGACTCAGTAAGTCATAGTAAAATATAATGACGTCTTACTTGCAATTCCTCGAAATAAATGTTCGAATTCGGGGCTTCTAATCAATTGTTTTTGTCTAATAAATTTTTTGTGTACAGTTTACTTCATTTATATGTAATTCGTTTTAATATGTTAATAAATATATACTCGAAATGTTAAGTTGAATTGTTATTAAAATTCAACTCTACAAATCGAAAAATAGACTTAGAAATCGCGCCTCTGTAAGTCGAAATTTTAGAAGTTAAATCATGTCTTTAAGTCGAAAACTCGTTAACTCGATTTTTGCATCTCCTTTGATATTCGAGATATAGAGATTCCACTGTACTAAGATAGTATCAGGAACACAATATTTCCGAGACTTAGTTTTTGAAATCTCGAAAATTTAAAACCAACCTTGATGCGTCTTCCAAAGCTGTGTAGACCTGATCATGCCACAACATAGCAATCTTAATCAGTTCCTCCGATATAATAGCCACTTCATCCACTAAAATCTGAGAATGAGTGCACATTGTTTTAAGAATATAGTTCGCTGCATTTTTACGTGTCACGAACGAAGACTTTGTCGCCACCGTAAGGGGATAGACTAGTGCTTGAGGGTGCAACTTTCCAATATCTATCAACAGAATGTGCACCAATTTCGCGACCAAACTGCGCGGCGAATCGATACGAGCGATCAACTGGGGTATCACTTGCAACCATATCTTTACGTCAATTTGTCTGATTCCTTCAAAAAGTGCGTCATATATCGCAGGATTGTGCCCGTGATCGAACCATAATGTCAATAGCCTTAGCGTGTCTTGTAGGGAATTCCCATTCGCTAAACTGATCGACTTGAAGAACCCTTCGATCGCCGGTATGGTATACGTGTTGATAAAATCTGGTCTTGATACTTTCTTATCCACGGATCCACCCGCAACGCTACTCTCAGACAAGTTGTCTTGTTGCTTGTAAAACAACACGGTTTCGAAGTTCATACAAGCCCACGCGTGGCAGGCTTTATACCATTCCGGGGCAAGAATCGTTGCAGCGGCGTAATTCCGTAATATTTCTGGGATGGAGAGCTCGTTGATCTCTTGCAGAGACTCGCACCAGGAGCCAAGTTTGAGGTGACATCTCGCAAGCAACTTGCACTGTTCTTCTGTCTCACCCTCTGTGTTATCCACAAATCTTTGCAACACTTCGTAAGCGTATCGTTTGTTTCCAGCATCCCATAGATTCTTAGTGTACGCCAGCATTACTCTTGGGTCGTGAGCCCTTAATAACGTTTCCGGGGTAGTCACAGGATCAGCCCCTAGTATGGATAAAACTATCTTGTGTGCCTGATTGACAGATCCCGATTTTCTACATAGGGATGAGAATTTCAGCCACGATTGTAAGTCATCGCGAGATGTAATAACGAGGCTTCGGATTTGAAGCATTTTCCTCCAGTCTTCGACCAGGCGTTGGCCGCCTTGCAGTCTCCCCCACCACATTTTGTGTATTGTACTTCTTCGTTCTTCGATAAGTTTATACGTAACAACTTCTTCTAGTTCAGTAAGAAGCTGCGCATTGACAAGCGGCGCGTACGCCCTTTGATAGCTTTCGCCGATCACAGCCGACATTTCGCCATCTAACAATGTTCTGGCTGTATCAATAAAGTGCCTGGACTCCGACCAATACCCATCATGAATGGCAAGAACCGCTCTATATAACGCTCCATCTTGATTATCTACTGGTAACATATCCACATATCGTTTCATAGAATCCCATTCTTCTAGGCCCCATGAAGCAGCGGCTGCTATTTTGGCAGTTTTCTTCTGCATATCTTCTTCAAAGTTGTCCCACTGTTCGACTGTCACACTGTAGAGTTTCCTCCACTCACCCATAGCCTCCAAACATCGCATCATTCCCAGTTTGGACTCGTTATCTTCTGGTTCGATTTCAAGCTTTTTGTTATACAGGTCTAATGCTTCTTCCCAATTGTGTAACTTCTCGTACCAACGGACATGAACATTGAGTGCGCAGTCGCCGTGCTTTTTCTGTCTTATAACGTTCTCAAGTAATCCATTTGCTGATTCTTTTTGCTGCAATTTATTGTTGATATGTATGAGTGCTTCCACGACTTGCGTAGTTGGGTTTCGCCGATATTCTTCCTCCTGTTAAAAAAATATTATGTTAGAAATCTCAAGTGTACGTAAGAGAAAGAGTAAGTAGGGTAGTATATTTGTCAAAAGACCGATATTAGTTTGAGTCAAACAAACCAGGAAAAATACAATAAATTCTGAATTTACAGATGATTAATGCCACTAGGAAACTACAAAACATCACCATACCTTGTAATACAGAGCCTTCGCAAACGCCCGGCAGGTTATCGCTGTATCGCCTAAGAGCTTTATTGATATAGGCAAGGCGCCTTTGTCGCAATGTTCTAAAAATTCAGCAAGATTCAGAACCAGCAGTGCTATTTCTGGTGCATCTGGGACTGTTAGGGCTCTCTCAAGGGCATACACGAGCTCAGCGCGCGGCTGCTCTCCTAATTCCGTCCAGCAGGACATAAATGCAGCATTAAACAGGTCGCTGGCGAGCTGGGAATAGTTCTGAGCTAAGCTGGCGCATGCTCTGGAAATAAATGTGAATGTTTTTTTTTAACAAAACATTCTAGTAATAGATAATAGTTGGTAAGAATGAAAGAACTCTTTAAGTATTCATACTGTCTCACTTTGATGATAAATAAACGTTATCAAAACATTATTCAACTAATTTAAGCTTATAGGTAGGTGTTTATTTTGACCTTAAGCCTTTAAACGGACATTAAATAAAAAATAAATCAGTGGCGCTACAACCTCTTTAGGTCTTGGCCTCAGATTTCTGTATCTGTTTCATGATCATTTTTAAATCTAATAGGCAAGTAGGTGATCAGCCTCCAGTGCCGTCGACTTTTTGGGTCTATGACATGTCGGTTTCCTCACGATGTTTTCCTTCACCGTTCGAGCAAATGTTAAATGCGCACATATAAAGAGAGTCCATTGGTGCACAGCCGGAGATCGAACCTATGACCTCAGGTATGAGAGTCGCACGCTGAAGCGATTACGGACATAGTAATATTTATACTATCTTTCGCCGTTGGCATAGGCTGATAAAAAAATTGACACATGCATTAGTTACTTCATAGAGAACTTTTGGGAAATTATGCTGGCGCAAATGGAACAACAGTTGCTAGAATTGCTTCATTTTTTTCAAGGTACGCCCAAAATGGGCAGTCATCGCAACCCATGGACACCTATTTTGGAGGTTGCGTTGCCGGCCTTTGCGGGTAGAGTAAGGTCTTTTATTAAACAATTGGAGGTCGTATCTCCCACAGAAGACCCCCACCGAGAGTTCCACATTTCGCTAGTTCGCTAGTTCGCAAAAGAAAATGTCTCGTGAAACAGACGGAGGAAGATTAGAAATTAATTAATCCGTTCGTTTAGGAGCTACTATGCCACAGACAGATATAACACCCCTCTTGCGTCGAAGGTTAAATAATTAAGAGCTATTGTGTATTATTAATATTAATAATAAAATATATATTACTGATGATATACCTTATAGCAGGGCTATTAGACTCCGTAAGTAATCCAATACTAAACTGTCGTAACCATTCCATCCAATCATCTTTCGATATTACATTGCTAATTGACCAACATTTGCGCAAATTCTGAACATTCAACACCAATTTCTGTATATTCTGCGTGTCGCCACTTGTCACAACCTAAGAAAACGAGATTTTTTTTAAAATAATCACGCCATTATTTAAATTTTAAAATTACAGCTAAACAATCACTATGATTTTCAACATCGCATAATATTGGCCTATACCAATAAAATATAAAGGAAAGATTAGTATTGAAAAATTACTTGATTGCTTTAAAAACTTGTGGCTGAACTTGGGTAATTGGGTATATTTCTTTTTCGAACAAAGCCGGGACTGGTCGCCGATAAATAATAAAATAAACGCCTTAAAAATAATGTCAACATTTTTAAGTCTGATAACCGTGCAATGTCGATGAAAGTAGACGCGTAGGAAAATGATGATTACAATGTTCTTTATCAGTTTGTAATCCATTTTGGTTGGTCCTTAAAAAATCAGTAGCGCTACTTTACATTTCTGTATCTGTTTCATGATCATTTAGCAATCTAATAGGCAAGTAGGTGATCAGCCTTCTGTGTCTGACACACGCTGTCGAGTTTTCGGGTAGAAGGCAAGCCGGTTTCCTCACGATGTTTTCCTTCACCGTTCGAGCGAATGTTAAATGCACACATAGATAGAAAGTCTATTGGTGAACAGCCGGATCTAACCTACAACCTCTGGGATGAGAGTCGCACGCTGAAGCCACTAGGCCAACACTGCTCCTAATTGTAAATATTATCTTTAAAAGGTAGCTGTGCGTTATCGATAAACTGATAAATAAATGAACTAAAAATTGTACTTACATCACTTTTTTGATTACGCAACCGAAATCGGGTTTCAGCCAAATAGTCATCATCCGATGCAAGCGTTGAAACCACTTGTAGCCGCGAAACCAATACAGTGTAATTTGAGCATTGAATTTTATGCTTCGCCAAAACCCTTTCCATAGAACCAATATAATCGATGTATTCCCTTCCCAATTGTACAATCAATGCGCAAAGTGTATTCATAGCTGTTTGGCGCAGCGAAGGATTGTTATCGAGTACATTCGCCAGGCCCTGAATCAGCACGGCGGAAAAAGGCTTCAAGTACAGATACATCGATAAGTGTTCAATCGTCTCCATAGCCAATTTAGATATGTGTATAGGTATATTTCTACCATCGAATAAAGCTGTTATAGCTGGCACTATAGCTAGAAGTACGTCATCCAAATTATTCTCGAACTTTTGTATAGCCAAAAGCAACTTTTCTGTTAAAATTCTATCCTTGCTCTTATCATATTTCAACACTCGCAAGATGTGCGGTAGGATCTTTCTAAGATACACTTTGAATTCTGTTCCAATTGCGACTGTTATATGTTCGATTAAAAGAATCAAAGTCGGTTGTATCTGGCTATCTGGAGTCCAGTATTCACGGATCAAATCAAAAATATCCTCTAAATACGGTCTAATGTGAATTTTTACGACCGATATTAATTGCGCCAATTGCGTGAAGAGGAATTCTCTAAAATTATTATTATCTGTGGTACGGATTACATAAAGTAAACCTGGAGTAACTCGAGAAATGTATGGGACGCATTTGATACCCAGAGTCTGAAAGATGTAAGTAATAGAATGAACCACATTAGTGTGATGTTGGGCTAATAGAGGGTCTCGCAAAATTCGCATTAGAGATGCGACGGCGATCGCTGGGTAAAATTCGTCTAAAACGATTGGTGACATGTTCACGAACATTTCGCTAACATTAGAGTCGAAATTCTCAATAGCCGACGACGTTTCTGGAATCGGAATCAATGTTGATATTGTTTGAAAATCTATTAGTCCTTGATTAACTCTGTGTCGGTACGGGTCTAAAGCTCCTAAAAGTCCGAGCACGCGTATCGTTTCCCGGCGATCTCTACTGTTCTGCTCGGTTTTCAAGAAATTTAAAAGCATATCCATAAGTGTTGGATGTTCACTGTATGGTGTTATGACCTGACCCACTGCACTTATTACTTGCCCAAAAGACCATAAAGCTACACTTCGTTTTTCTGGCTGATTTGGGTCTGAAAGTATACTCAGCTGTATAGCCATAAGTTCAGGCAGCCATTGCTTTAATGCTGTTCCTCCACCGTTAATCTCTGCTAAATCTCCAATAGCTTTCAAAATGGTGGAAATCATAATAGAACTGCTACCGCTCTCTTTCAACTTTGGTATGAGAACTTTTAGAATTGTTTCGACAAACTGTCTAGTAATCCTTGGTGCGTGAGTTATAATATTATTTATCATTCTGAGGGACTGCTCTTTATTTCGGGCCGACTCTGAATATTGAAGTTCCAATAGTATTTGTACAAACAGCTGTCGCAAAATAGGTGTGGTATAACTGGGGTTCAAGTTGCTAAGCCGACTGACGTCGCATAACGCGAGTTCTCCCACATCACTGTTTGAATCGTTGACGCAAACAAAAAGGCAGTTCAGATGCTCCTCTAAAGCTAAGTATTTATCGAAAACAGGATTTGTGAACACTTCAAGGACTTTGTAACGCACCTCATGATCAAAATCGGCTCTACCAACGGCTAGTAGTTTACCGAGAGACTCGTCCACTAATGTTGATAGAGTACGCGAGTTTGTTTGAGAACAACGTTCCACGGCTTTTACGAGAAGTTTCGCGGTTGTTTTTACCGATTCCAACCTCACATCATGTTGTTCACTTTGCAGATAATGATCGGTACATCGCCGTATGAATGACATCAACGTATTATTCCATTCAAACTCGAATGCACCCAGAGTACGTAAGGCCAACACTAATTTTGCAGCATCATGGGGTTCCATCACTAAGGCTGAAGACAGTGCATATGAAAGTTGTTCACTTTTACTGTCACCTGAAGTGTAAGGTTTCTTTCTTAATATCAGAGAGAGGATATTCAGTAGTCTGCTCGTTATATCTTTTTTGAGGGATGGTACATTTTCACTAAGTTCTTTAAAGCAGGTTGTCAATTGAGGGCTTAACCCAGTCGCACACATTGGATCCAACAGATCTTTTATTTCATTGGAAATATTTTCTTTCATTGCAAATCCTAATAAGGTTACACATTTGAATAATGATGTATCTATTCCATTTCTTTTCTTAGCGACATCCTTCAGCGGTAATGTAGATTTGATAATTTCTATAATTCTATGTAAAGAGTGTTGTATATCATCTTCAACAGCGACACAAATTAATCCCAGAGTTATAAATGCCATGGCTCTCTCTTTTTCCCTCCCACAAAGGAAAGTAATTAAGTGATTTATTGTTGATTTTAAGTGCTTTCTAGCAAACGCTTCACGATTGAAAGCAGCCAATCTGGGTATTATTAAAAGCAGCATTTGGTGAACACTGTGCGATCTTGATATTTGTTGTGCCATAATATCTGCAAAATTATATATGAAGTAACTGCTGACCTACAAATTGATAATAGTAGAATACAATTCCTTTTTATGATCAATCCTAGGAATATCAAATTTACTTTCATTATTCTTTAGGCTTTTTTAACATCTACATGCACTAATACAATCAACTTAAGTTGCATGACTACCTTTTAAGTAGAATATTTTTTATATGTATACAATTATTATAATTAGGTATATAAATTTTTAAACATACACATTTTTTTACTATGGATGAGAAACTGTTTCTAATGTGGCATTAAAGTATGTTTTGAAAACAACTGGTTTTTATTTACTTGACTTTTATGAATACAGAACTGATGTTAAGCCGCTGTACTGTAACTTACCACTGGATATTTTGTCATAATTTTCAGTTATCAGCTCCCTGCAAAAGGTGGATTCAAGTATGATTGGTGTTTGAGTTTTATCCTCTGAATGGTTCAAGTAGTTCCATGAAGTTTGCAATTTGTTATGGAATGCCATTTCATCAATAACATCCTGCTCGGCATCTAGTTTTTGCATCAAATCTGTGTATTTTCTTTCCCAGTTTGCATTTGAGCAGCGCAACAGCTCATTTAATATCAGCAATGCTCCATGAACATTATCGTCCCTACTGAGGAGTCTGTCTCTAATAGTATGGTCACTGAATGATGATGTGGCTTCTTCATAGCACTGAATATACCAATGAGCCCGCTTATGCTGAGTAGGAACTTCTCTTTGGGAGGTAACCACAAAGGCAGCTCTCAAAGCCTTTGCTGCCACTTCTCTTATCTGTTCCTTTGGATCTCTTATTGCTGTTCTTATATGATTGAAAAATCCATTTATATGTTGATAGAAATAAGAAGGCATGGATATAGCCAATTCCCTTAAAATAAAGCAGGCTGATAACCTCTTTGCTTCTGTTCTTTCTTCTGCAAGCCACTCAAAGGCTCTTTTAATTTCATTTTCAACATACTCTCCTCTTTTTATTCCCAGAGACAAGGTTACACGGCCCATGGTCTTTGCAGCCAACTCTAAGATATGTAAATCATTTGTAGGAAATATATTCCGTAAGTAATGAGCATAACGAGATATTCTTGTTTTATTTATTTCTGTATCTCCAGTTATGAGACACACTGAAATTAATATTATTTATATTGAAAAATTATAAATTACAAAACAGCACATTATATATATTATATAGTCCTTACCAATTGTCAAGATACCAGCCCTCTTCTCAATATTATCATAGCTAGAAGTCAAGATATGAATCTGTTGATTAAAGTCGTCTAGAACAAGAGCAATAGTCTCTTGTGACATTTCTCTTAACTCCGTTCTAACAAACTGTAGAAGCTCGCGTACAGACCTCTGCCTCGTCTCAAAATGGCGAGATTTAAGGCCAGACACAAAATCTAGGACTTGAGAAGTCATTTTCATAATTCTTTAAATAAACAAACACACCGAAATAACGAGTTATCTAGACCCGGCTTATATATTTACCCTAAGAAGACATGTCCCCAGTTCATACTTTAAAGATGCTGGGTGATTCGTTACATTTTTATACTTAATTTAAAAAAATACTTAGCAAATGTTTGCAACCATGCTTTTAGCCTTAATTTAACTTTGAAACTATTATTTGAGTTAAAGTTTGAGCTTCGAAAGAAACACAAAATATCATTAAAATTATTGTATTGTAAACAAAATATTGTTAATTGAAGGCCAATGGGGCAAAAGCATTGGCAAATATGACAACTGACATTACCTGATTGAGGCAGATAGAAATATTTATAAATGACTTTGAAAATTGACAGTACTACATATAAATTTGTGAACAGTTTAGAAATAATAAATATCAAATTATATAATAAACTTGCTTTTATCTGAATAACATTCTTTTACAAAGAACTCGTTGAAACTTACTTTTTTAAGATGTTTTGTAATATTGATTAGCCTTTACCTTCTACATTTTTAATAACAATGATGCATGCTATGACAAAATTCTCACTAAATCCGTTTAAAAACGACGATGACGCGTGTATTTTCAATACTTTCTCGTCATCTTTTTAACAACAAACGTCAAATCAGAATTGTCTCTCAGCTGAGCCACAAAGGTGACTGACTGTTTGACGTAGTGTTTCTTATTCCATTCTTTGATTTTATATATGTACAGCATTTCACCAGTAAATTGTGGTTAACGATTTAATTTAAGAGTTTCCTTTAATAGGTATATTAAATTTGCAGAAATGAGTGAATTAAGTCAAGAGGAGGTAAGTTTCTGTCTTTGTGAACATTGCATTTAATGTGCGTATGGTCGATCTAATTTCGTAACAAAACAAAGCGTTGGTGTTGTGTTGTTGTTCGCTAGCGTAGGTATTATAATTCGAACACGTGCCTCTAGCTCACGTTTTATGGCTTACAGATTAGAAGACGACGGTTAGCAAGGCTAGCAGCTCTTGGAGGAACAGGTCCCTCACCAGCTCCTATAAGCCCTCCAGTCACACCCAGTGCCTCTGTTCCATCAGACGTCTTAAATACACAATCTACACGTCTATCACCCACATCCTTGCCAAGAAGCTCTACAGAAAATACACCAGACACAAATACAGGACAAAATTATTCTGAGAATAAAAATGGAGTATCAGATCAATCGAAAATATCAGCAGATGGTTTAATAGTTACCGAAAAGACAGATAATAACTTATTAGATGAGATGCCTGATACCAAAATGACAGATTTATCTCAAACAAGACAATATAACAGCTTTGATTCAATGGGTGATGACACTTTATTAAGCTGTGGATCTGTTAGAGTGGGGGCATTACCACAGTCTACTGTAAGTGGATCTGAAGGAGTCTCCATTAGAGAAGACAGTACTTCTAGGTCAATATCTCCACCCCAATTTGTTGAACCACCACCTGTCAGGCCAAGGATAAGCAATGCTTCTCCAAGCTGCTCTAGACGCTCTTTATCAATGGAAGTAGATGATGTTTCGGAAAGAAATTCACAGTCAGAAAATCAACAAGAGCCAATGGAGGTAATGTAACTAGTTATATTATTAAGTTATAAAATTAAAAGTTATCAATATTAAAATCTAATTATAATTATGTAACTACAATTATTTGGTAATTTTTTATAAACTTTAAGTGATATAATGATAATAAGTGCAGTATTTTATATCAATATCTACTTAATATTATATAAAATATTCTACATCACAATGTTTTTATAGGTAGAAGAAAATGATAATCTTCAATCACCATCTCATACAGTTAAATTTACTGAGCTGACAGAAGAACAGTTAAGAATTATTGTAGGCAAAATGTTACAAGTTACCTGGTCTGAAGAAAGTTCTGGTATGATTTATTAAGATTTCTTTTTATTTTTATTTTTAGACAAAGAAAATTTTTGTCAGGGACAGGGATGGATGGAAAAAAATTGTATTGTACAAAAAAGTTATTGGATTTTTTAATTATTGGGGTTAATTATTTTTTATGGTAATTTAGGTTTAATTACTTAATTGTAGAGTATTGTTGGCTATGGTTATGTAAGTAACCTACTTTCTAAAATAAGCTTTATCTTGCAATGATATATAGTGATTCATTTGAAATGTTGTTTATTTCTTGGAAAGCAATCGTTACTTAAATCATATAGTTGCTTATACACTAGTTTCCCTCTCTGTTGTTAAATGCATTGTAAAAAGAATCAACAACAATGATTTTTTTTACTATTGTTAGTTTGAGCTAAACAATACATTTTTTGTATTTTGCATTTAAACAAGTAACTATGAGTAACCTAGATGTAATTAGTATTAAGAAGTATTTTCTTAACTACTTTTGTAGACTAGAAGATATTTTATTTTCCTTTCTTTGCAGGGGGAATTTTTGTACCATCTGTAGCTGCAGCATTACTTGATAATCCTAAGCTATCCATAGACGAATTAGCATCAGAAGCTTTAATGGATGTAATGTTGCAAATAGTCGATGGATCAGACCCTTTAAATCACAAAGCACTAGTTGTACTCCTTATGAAGCAATCAATGAAAGAATTGAGCGAAGAGTGTGTTGATGATCTCTTTGCAAAAGACCCAAATCATTTGGATATGGAGACTGAAGAGGGAGAATGTCCATCACCACTTCTACCTTTACCAAAAGACATTACTAATCAAGCATTAGCTGTGAGCTATTTACTAAAATTCTACTACAATGTTAATGTTTATGAAAGAGATAACCCAAAAAAAAGTTCAGTGCCACCATTGAGTGATTTGATTTTAAGTATGCAATCTTTAATAGTTGATCACTTAGTCTTAGTGTTGAGAAGGAAATTTGACTTGCAAAAAAGTAGAAAGTCACCACTTCTTCCATATCTTATGACTGGAAATACGCCAACTGGTCTCATTCCTGAAATACTATTAAACACATATGAGGATCAAGAAGCTCTGGATGAGGTTTGTTTTCTTGTTTATTATAAACTTTCCTTGTATTAATTTTAGAATGTTATCTCTCAATAAACTGCAATTCTGCCGCTACAGTCTCTATACAGATATTGTTCATTAAGCATTCTCAAGTGACAATTGTTTCATGTTTATATAATTTAAGGTATTTGTGCCATTACTAATGGGTATACGTGAAGAGATGCGTCGACGTGTGTCACCTCTTGTAAGTCGGGGTGAGAGCGCAGCCATAAGGGCGCTCCGGTCCCTGTGTGAACTGAGGGATGGACCAAGACATTCTGCCAGACCGATCTGTGCGCTCATAGCTCGTCTTCCCAGTCTATGTCCAGAGTCAGTCACCACTGCACCAGGACGGGAAATTGCTAGAGTCAGCTTCCTTGGACCTTTCTTTGCTGTGAGTATTTTAAAGTGCACTTTTCTTATAAAATATATTGAGACAGCGCTTCAAAATTTATTTTATTATATCTAGGACGTCGATTCCCCTCATAAGTGATAATAATAATAAAGCCCGTTTAAATTCCAAATGGTGAAAAAAAAAATTTATATATACAGCTTAGATTTTTTACATTTTACATTAGCTGTTCCCTGCCACGCTTCGCTGTGGCACATTGTGATTGAATGGTTGAGAAATGAGAATGAAAACATTTCATATAAATTTAATTTTGCAATACTTGTGGAAAATAATAATGAAAAAATAAAAAAATTAGATAAAAACAATCCTTGATGCCATTCTAAAATTTCAGCTCAAACGGTGCAGAACTTTTTGAGTTTTTGAAGCGTACACAAACCAACATAACATTTATATATAATTATATAGATTTTAATCTTGTTATCCTACATATCGACGTAGGAAAGCATATTTGCTGTAAGTAGACAAAATACCTAAAGTGACTTTTTCCTGCCATTAGAATCAGAAAAAAAAGCCGCATCGAATGACCTGGGTCCTGTGTCTCTACGATGAAAAAAAATTACATACGCCGTTGAAAACGCCCGTACTTATATTATTTTTAGCAAGATTAAATGCTGTATGTAGACCAAAATCTAGTCATTTCAGACATTTCGCACTTACAGCAAAAGAAAATCTGCATTTTTTTCATTACAAATAGTTACTTCTTCCCATTTAAAAACTTAACGCTACTTACAGCATTTCAGCGGCGTGTGATTTTTACATTCGTTTACTTACAGCAAGTTTAGGGAACCTACAGTTTTGGTTTTTTTTACCATTTACGACATTTTATTTCAACCAAACATTACATTACCAAATGACCCACTGCATTTCTAGATCTAATCATAATTATAAACTAATCTTACATCTTGAATTGCAATTAAAAGTACCCAAATACATAAATTTCCTGCATACAGCATATTTACCGCCTGTAAATTGATAATATTTCCGCGCGTACATTTTTCTTCCTTAGTTACAGCGTTTTAAAGGTTTGTGATTTAAAAAACTGTTTGCTGTAACTAGCCAAACACGTACTTATAGTAACTTTGGATAAAAAGTTTACATTGCAAATGGTGACTGGCAGTTTAATAAATATATGTTTCAAAAATGGTAGCAATATCATGGATAGGTCAGACACTATTAATTTTTTTCCGAAATTAATAAAGTTTTTTGGCTCTGGTGAACAATTGCAATATGTCTACTTACAGCAAATGTGCTTTCCTACGTCGATATATACTATATTCTATCTATCTTCAGTACCGTCGATCGGAAGCTCCTCATAAGTGATGCGATAAGCAATACAAACGTAACGTGGTATTTCCACCAGCCATAGTGTTCATTCTCCAAAATAATTATAGCCTCTTTTCGGACATGACAGTATTTTCTTTATTTTTCGTAGATTGTTCTATTGTTCTACATTTGCGTGTCCGTTTTCCAGGTGGCAAAGGCCTCCTCCAATCTTCTCCATTCTGGCCTTTCTATGGCCACTCTACCCCATGTTGTTCCCGCGACTTGTTTAAATGTCGTCGTCCCACCTTTTTTGAGGTCTACCTCTCTTTCTCTTTCCATCTCTTGGGTACCATTGTGTGATTATGTGATTATTTTCCAAAATTATACCTCCACTGTAATATAATTCACCCAATTGCAGATGTCATTATTCGCCGAAGAGAACCCGCTTTTCGCTGAACGAATGTTTGCAACGGGAACGGATCAAAGCCTTGCATTTGCGCTACAGAGGGAAGTTGAAGCCAGTCGAAACACATTGCACAGCATATGCCATAATATCCTTTTGTGTCCCGAAGCAAGAGAACCATTCCTGATGTACTTTGCGGCTTTGCTGCAGAGGAATGAGAGAAGAGCACGGTTGCTGACGGATGAGAGATCGCTGGCTGGTAAGTTATTTAAAAAAATATCTCGGAGAAGAGTTTCGGAATACCTTTTATACTGCATCCTATGTTACACATGTTTTTATATATACTATTAGAGACTTATTTAATTGTTATTAACGAAAAGAACCATTCACAAATATTTTTTATTAGAAATAGTATAAATGGCGGAGTAAATAAATTAATTAATTCGCAAAATACACTTTTGTATCAAGGCATGAACCACAGATAGCTAATCACCTACTTTTCTATAAACATATCTAGAAATACAGTGTTGCTATTATTTGTTGACGGAAAAAGTTCAGAGTTATTATATATATATATATATATAGGTAACCTTTCTCAACAATTCATACACAAAAAAATTGATTTCATGTCTTGAGATAATAAACAAAACAGCTTTATACTATATAATTAACAAAATGGAATATATTTAACTTTTGTTGTCTGTACTTCAAAACGGTAAATAAGGAAATGAATCAAGTGTTTTCTCATTAAAATAGTGTTAACGCAAAGTGTTATAGTTATATGAATTATATAACTATTACGTGTCTTACATAGATTAGCAACTAATAGACGTTTTAATTAACATAAATTTTTCAATTATAATTTTCCACTGTAAAACTTAGTTTTGTAATCGACTAGCGTATGCGATCTGGAAGTACTCATTATAAGTTACGCTTCAATGTTTTCCCCACACACTCCTGAAAAAATCTGTGGCGCTACAACCTCTTTAGGTCTGGGCCTCTGATTTCTGAATCTGTTTCACAATCATTTTTAAATCTAATAGGCAAGTAGGTGATCAGTCTCCAGTGCCTGAGACACACCGTCGACTTTTTTGGGTCTAAGACATGTCAGTTTCCTCACGATGTTTTCCTTCACCGTTCGAGTGAATGTTAAATGCGCACATAGAAAGAAAGTTCATTGGTACACAGCCGGGGATCGAACCTACGACCTCAGGGATGAGAGTCGCACACTGAAGCCACTAAGAATTTAAAAAAAAACATTAAATATATCCATAAACAGAGTAAACAAAATTTAATAGAATAAGATGAAATAGTACTCATTAAAACGGTATAATTAGACTAATTAAGAGTTTACGAATATCTAGCTCAGTATTTATAATACTACTAGCTGACCTGGCAAACGTCGTTTTGCCATGTCATATCATTTACTTATAATAAAAAATAGGGGTTGATCGTAGAGAGGTGAAAATTAGGGGTTGTATGTATTTTTAAAATAATAATTTAGGGGTGGACTACCCTTAACATTTAAGGGGATGAAAAATAGATGTTGTCCGATTCTCAGACATACCTAATATGCACACAAATTTTCATGAGAATCGGTCAAGCCGTTTCGGAGGAGTTTAACTACAAACACCGCGACACGAGAATTTTATATATTAGATAATACTACAAAGCATTTGTTTTAATAGATTACAGAAATCGTCAAATGTCAAAAACACTACATTTGACGACGAGAAACAAACTAAACTAAATGCTAAAGCTTTATCAATGTATCGTATCTCTAGTTACAGCTTGAAAAAAATCTCATATTTAATAAGTGTTTACAATATTCTTAACCTAAATAGTAGTAATAATAATTGAAAATTGATAAATACATAACTAAAATAAATTTAAAAAGCTTGGTCCCTGTGGCAGTGTAGCTTTAATGCTGGCAGCATTTCCTCGCTGCATTGCGATCGTTTTTCGTTGAGTCACCGGTACTAACTACCAGTTGCCAACTTCAATGTTTGTTTAGAGCACTTTAACCCCACGGCCCAAGAGTACTCCAAATCAAAGTTGAAGGAAAGACATATTTTTTGCGTTTATTATTTTAATTTAAAAAACTAACTCGCTTGACATTGATTAGTTAAAGATAATGCGTTTTATTAGCGTCTTGCGTTTAAATAGATTTACAACGCAATGTCGCTCACCTCGTCTGTGATATATTGGCGTTTATCCAATAGTATGTTGTCAATTTTGTAAATACAATTATTTTCGTATTTAAACTATGTATCTGTTATATATGTTAGCCGAGTGGCTAGGCCCCGGTATTTAAATAAATCATGGGTTTCTTAATGAATGAGCTCCGATTTTCTGTTGTTCACGCTTGCCAATTAAGGATTCCGAGTCCAGACTTAGCCCTTAGCCCTAGCCGAGAAGCTTAGGGTAACGGTGAAGAAGTGGTGAAAGTTATGGGAGAACATATTGGCTTAGGCCTCGGATTTCTATATAATATAAATTCGATACTCAAAATAACTGTATTCATATAGGTAACAAAGTACACATATGAACGTCCACTAAAAAGATTTATTTATTTAATTATTTATAAAAAACACTCCTGCCCTAACAGGCCACCCTAAATTGTCAAGAGTGCACAATATGTGAATAAAATTTACAGACGAAACAAAAAAAAGCAGACATACGAAACTAATTAGGAAAACAAAATAACAATAATAAATACAAGAAATTAACTACTATAGGCAGTAACAAAATAGAACTTTTGCCGGTTCACTCAACGGACAATGAATTCCGTTAACCTATGTAATTCGTTAACTAAATTGATACACCGAATCATATGTGCCCTTTTCAGAAGGTTAGTCCTAGCTAGAACCATGTCGCTTTCTGACGTACCCATCAGGTACATTGAAGCTAAGGTACTGAAGTACTGCCGAATTACTGCCCTATGTTAAATTACTTCTAAATTTACATTTACTAATAAGATAATTAAGTTAGAAAGGATAAAAGTGTTTACAGCAAAATTAAGATATCATGTAAAGAAATTAAATATAGTTTTGGGTTTGCGCGATTTGAGATATATTAATGCCCATATCAAGTCACAATTTCGTATAAATGGCTTGTAAGCTATTGAAGCTAGTTTTAGGTTTTATTTACGTTCTAGAACACGAGGCTAAGATATCCTAAATATTTAAATTAAAGCTCTTTTACTGTAATAATTTAAACATTTGTTGCGTAAATCTTTATAAATGTACATTTATAATATCTTTAATATACAAGTGTGAACCTACTGGAAGTGGTGCTTATTTATTAATCGCGGCTAGATAGGAAAAAAAATTCGACTCACTATAAAATACCGTTAGTCAACGCATCAATACTGCGTCATTGAGACAATACAATGTTCTAACGACCGTGACCCTAATTAAACATCGCTTGAACGATTACAGTATTTTTAGCATGTCACAAATCGGTGAGGTTGACGCTTATACACTGTGACTATGCAGGCTTAAATCATGCGAAAGTTTTGGGGTTGGCACACTATCTTTGTTTTTAATTTATTTTAATTTATTACTTAAGACGTCATGTGGAACATGGTGTAATGGTTGCAGCTCCTTACAAACGTTGTGTAAAACAAAAAACTTGGCTTAAAGAGTGGCGGAGAGTTTATTGCCAGTTCTTCTCTTCCGTTCTACGCCCTTGATTTGAGAACTGGCAGTAAATGTAAAATTAGAAGCATTTAATGTATATTTCTTTTTTGACGTTCATAAGTGTACATTATGTATGAACCTACATGAATAAATGACTTTTGACTTAACTATAAAGTTATCTTTAATTGAGATATAATAAAAGATATTTATAAACTGCATTAAAATGGTTCAATCAATTTTAAAAATGGTGCCTGAAATATATATTTGTTTTTAATTTTAGAACTGCGCAGTTTCAATATAAACAAAACAATGAATCGATAGATGTATTGTTAACAAAAATAAAATTGAACGTAATCTGTTTACATCTTCATAATCATGCAAAGGTAAACAATGTTCATAAGATGTCAATAAAGTTTAAATGATTAATCACTAAAATTAAGGGCGTAGAACAAACGAGATGTGGCTAGAATGAGAACATTTATACAGTATAAAGCAAAAGAAGGTATCGTTCGTCCTTGGAGGCGGTTATTGCTATATTCAGAGTGACTCGCTTTCTTGTTTGCCTCCAGCCTTGCGATTCTGTAACTCACTTTTCGAACTCACACAGCGGTTTCGCAGCGGCGGTCGCGCTCAAATCAGTCGTGAAGCAGTCTTTTTATGATTTGGCATTCTGATAAGGAGGGAGCTTGTAGTTTATTGTTTATCAGAATGCCAAATCGTAAAATGAGTTACAGAATCGCAAGGCTGTCCCATAAAAAAACTCTACACTGCTGTTTTTTGCCAAGTTTGTCTGTTTCACGTGACACCTGTTAGTTGCAGTTATGAATAACAGTAAAAAAGTTACGCGATTTTAAATTAATTAGCAGTACTTCAAGGGCGTAGTGAGGAGAAATAGCAAAAATCTTCCAGAACTTTCAAGTTTCAATCGCCAACACACAACGAACAAGTCTGCGCCACATCATAATGCTGAGCCAGGGCCAGTTACAGCCACACACACACATACATCACACACTTAAAAAAAAGTTGTTCTTAAAGTTGTTCCTAGTCTTAAAAAAAAATTGTTATTTTGTGTGTGTTTCGTTAGTAATAAATGTTATGTCAATGTATAATCTTGTAAAACCTACTACTATTACCAAGACCACACTTAAATTATGGCGTTAAGTGAATTATTTTTATTGATTGACACTAATCATTACATCGTTTTAACTTCAGCACTTATTTCTCATCATCATAGTATTTTTACAGGAAGAGATGACTATAACAATTAAATATTTATTCAAAACTAATAAACGTAATAAAACTACCATTTAAGGTTTATTATGCTAGATATTAGCAGTGTTGGACTAGACTGGCGCATTTATCGCTTGCTCGGTGAAGGAAAACATTGTAAGGAAATCGGCATGCTTTCAACAAAAAGAAATCGACGACCTTCACACTTCACGAATCACACCCACTTGCCTATTAGAAAAAATCATCAGAATTAAAAAAAAAATATTCATTTAGGTAACACAATGTGCACTTATGAACGTCAATAGAAATACATATTAAATCTTCTAAATTCTAATTTACTCCCAGTTCTCAAATTAAGGGCGTAGAACGGACGAGAAGAACTAAAAATAAACTCTCCGCCACTCTTTTTAATCGCTTTTTTTTTGTTTTACATAATGTTTGTAAGGAGCGGCAACCATTACACCATGTTCCACATGACATCTTAACTAATTAACAGTTAATAAATCAAAAAATAAATCAAAAACAATGATTTATCCTCTATCAGCAGTAGGCATGGTAAAATAGGAGCACGCACTTAAATTCTCGTGGGAACAACACGCAAAACAAACATACACAGAAATCTGAAGACATATGGTAGTACCTGTACCAGTTCTTTTAAATTAGACATTGGCACAAACGATCTTATAAATTTTGCGTAATCCATTCCCTTGACAGAATGAATAACTGAGCTGCTATTATAAACTACATAAAATACTTTCAGGTGATGGTTTCATGTTGAACGTGTGTTCGGTACTTCAATTGCTATCCGTTCGGATCAAGCTAGAAGAGAGGGTGTACCCGCTATACACCTTTCAACCGGGCACATGGCTAAATATACGTGATGAGACGAGGCTGTTCTTCACCAATCAGGAGGCACAGGATTGGCTGGATGCGCTTAGTAAGTATCTATATAAAAAAAAGTTTTACTGCAGAACGGTCGCCATCTTGGAATATTTGATTTTAAGATATAGAATATATTGTCTTAGAGAAAGACAGAATAAACGAATCTATAACTTAATGCTATCTAGGGTCCGTTCAAGTATTACGTAAGCACTATAGTGGAAGGGGGGTCTTTGATTTTCTCATTTGGTGATTACGTGAACAGTAATTATTAACGTTTGTACAATCGTATGTATCTACTATTATTTTTGATAGCTTTGTTTACTTTTGTTTACAAGAGGAGAGGGGGGGATAAATTGTAGTAAAATGCTTACGTAATACTTGAAGGGCCCCCAAGCAGTAATGTATGATAAACCATTTTTTAAATTGATGAAATTGTTGACAAACTTAAACATATTTACGATATATCAATCAATGTTTCGCCAATTCAAATAAAAAATATATTTTATTAAATGTGTGTCGAAAACTTTTTGTTTCACAGTAGATGGAGATATACTTTATTAAATATAACTATTGTTTTATTTCATCTATGTTTTAAATCATTAGGACATATCGTACAGTAGTGTAAATAATTTTTTTAAGGATGAGCTTCAGAAACTGACTCTTATTATTATGTGTCTTAACAAGCTTAAAAGATTAACTTATTTAAAAATCCTTATTAGTAAATTGTGTTCGACTTAAATTACTTATTAGTCTTAAGTTAACCTAGATCGTAATGTTCCATGATATCTTGATAGACATATGTATAAAAAAGAAAAGATCAACTAACAACGGTTTCGGGAAAAAAATCCAAAAATATTGTGCAAAAATTGTTTCTGTAAGTACACAATTAACCTTACAGATAATGACCCAAGCCATTCCTGGCCTGAAGCAAAATTCCAGACAATTTGCTGGTTCCTCACACTTCACATGCATCATGTCGCTCTTATACCCGCCTTGCACACGCATCAGAGAAGAATCCGGTAAGCAAAACTAATATATATTATTCACGTATTTTTCTGTCACCCAAGATTTATAAAAAACTAAAAGATTTTTTTGTACTTACGTCCTTTTCTGTCAAATTTTGTTGTCGCTGTGATAAAAAGAGATGGATTTAAGTTAAAACGACGTTATTACAGTGTACCCCCGGTAATCTGACAAACATTTTGCAGGGCAGTGTCGGACTATCGAGTACTGCCTTAGACCGGATTTTTTTACAAAAGAGTACCTTGTAATCCGAGAAATTACAGATCCAAATGATAATATTCTATATTTTATTAGCAGATTCGGCCAAGCGTTGCTGTGCTAAGGCTTTTGTTATATTACATTGTAGTAAACTATTCAAGGGAAACGGTAGGAGATCATCAGTCTTGGAGACCACCATGCTTTTTTGGTGATTATGCCATTTAGTTGTAGCTTATGTGAAACGTTGGTACTTTCAACACAGCGCCATCTGTTAGAATTGTGACTATCAAATAATAAACAAATATTTTGCAATGAAATAATATTGCGGGTGTAAATTGAGATGCAAGCTATCCTATCTTTTAAGTTGGATCAAACTACACACGGTGTGCAAATTTGATTGAAATCGGTTCGGTAGTTTAGGAGTCCATAGCGGACAAACAACGTGACACGTAATTTATATGTATTAAGATATGTATATACTCTGATGTACAAATCATACTTCATTATGTATGTCAAAATTAGCTTACGTTTTATTATAAAAATAAAGTCATTAATGCTTGAAAAATATTGAATAATATATAAAAGACATTAGGATTACACGGTTGGTTACCGGGGGTCCACTGTATTATTTTTATTTAGAAAAAATGGAAATAATTTTATTTGACCAGAAAATTTGATTAAATTAACCGCGATGGCTCATTTGTATTAAGACCAGAATGCAGAAAATTTATTTACATTTTATTTATCTATCGCAATCGCTCAACTAACCGTCTAAGTATTTAATTTATCCGTTTGCAGAACACACTAAAGAATTTTTATAGGCGATCATAAATTATTTGAATTTGTATGTGTTTTACAGCGCATTCCGTGATCTACAAAAGGTGATTGAAGAATTAATGGCCGCCGAACCACAATGGCGGAACAGTTTCACGGCAGTACGGAATAGGGAATTACTTCGTCGGTGGAAACGTCAGATAAAAAGACTACATAGGTAATATATGTAAATTTGTAATAATACATAACTTCGATCCGGTAAAAAAGTGTTTTCTTTGAATGTGTAAAGGTTATGTCTATAAAAGACAATACAAAGAAAAAAATACTTTGCTGGATAACTGACAAAATTATCTTTAATTGGCGTTCCCATATTTTCTTTACTACAATTTGCTTGTAAATTCGCTTATTGGCTTGCTAGCACACTTTTTATTTCTTTAAATTGAGTGAAACACATGTAATAAGTTCTAATAAAGTGATAAAAAATATAATACACAATACTTTTCGGTAATATAATAGTAATAATTTCAGGTCAAAACAGTGCGCTGAAACAGCGCTTTTAGACCCGGAGTTAATGCGTCGTGGGGTACAATTCTATTCGTCTGTATGTGCGTTACTCGTGAAGCAATTGGATGCAGCTCGCGATGCACCGGACGCGCCTTTTTCGTCGCCTGCGCACGCCTTTAAAGCCACGCCCGAGTGGTACGTCGAAGATGTCGCGGAGTTCATGCTATTTGCCGTTCAGTGAGTATAATGTCTTGATAATCTATGTTAAAAATCAGCTTTGATAATAATTTTTTTTTATAAATACAAAAAACAAATTTTTCATATTTATTAATATATAATTAACATATTTTTGTTAATATAGACGTGGTAGTAACTTTTTATATTACAATTCGTTTTCAACCGACTTAAAATAAAACCAATGAAGTATGTTATCAATTCGTGTATTTTTGTCTGAAGTATGAAACGCTAAACGTTTGACTCAAATATTTGATTAATGTTACTAAGAAGTTTCATACCCACATTTCCCGAACTTATTTTTAAGTTTGTCAAACATATGGTCGAAGTACAGTATACGTAATGAAGTATATCCTTACAAGCATCTTGTAAAACAAAATAGTTTAGAATTATTTGCCAGTTCTTCACGTCCTTATTAACAAACTGGAAGATAGGAGTACATTAGGGAGCGAATTTGGGGGGGGATTAAATTACGCGTTATTGTTAATATTATTTTCCACTTACACCTCATAAAAGTAAATTTTAGGTATAAAGTCACTGGGTGGTCACGAAACGTTTTACTATTGGATACAGAAAAACGTTACGGCGCGTTAAATGGGGGGGAGGGGTCAATAATCTCCAAAAATTGCGTGACGTAATACTTGAACGCTTCCTTATCCAACCGATATGAATGAATAATTTTCTCGACATTTGGGAAGTTAATAATATCGCGCGATAGTTTTGTTATTTAAATAATTTTACCGTGATAGTTAATAGATAATTTTCCTTCCACAGATACGTCCCACAAATCGTGGCATATTACATAGAGGACCCGATCATTACCTGGCTCTTGAGCGCCATCTGCAATTCTCACCTTATAAAAAACCCGTATCTCGTCGCTAAAATAGTGGAAGTTCTTTTCGTGATAAATCTGTCGATACCGATGAAATTGAAGAATGTGTACGAGAAATTCATGGATCACCCGATGTCACAAACGGCATTGCCGAGTGCGTTGATGAAATTTTACACGGACATTGAAACGACGGGACAAAGTACAGAGTTCTACGATAAGTTCACGATACGATTCCATATCAGCATTATTTTGAAGGGCATGTGGGAGCGGCCGATTCATAAACAAGTAAGTATCATAATTAAAATGCGTGGATTCGAACAAAGGGTTGGTTAGGTTATGTTCTTCACATGTTTGAGGACACAATAAATATATTGGGTACATAAATTAACCACCATTTTTACAATTCACTAATAATATAAAGAACTAAACAAAATAACAAGCCACCAAGCGCACTGACTACGTAGCCGGTTACCAGCGTGCACGCACGCATACGCCCAAAACATGCATGACCAGTTTTCTATAGAAAGTGTCGACGAAAATACATAACATGTATAATGTATATGCTACAAATAAATAAATAGTCTGAGAATAAAACAAAAACTGTATCCTCTACGCCCCTACGTGATAACTTTTAGTATTTTATTATTTATTAAATACATATTGTAAATATAAACTAGGAATAGTATTTCTGTCAGCCGGACGTCGAACAAATTAATACTTATTTAAGCCCAATAACAAAATTGAATTAAGACGGAACGTTTGTATTATTATTATTAAGTCCATAAAAGCCCCGATGCAAAAAGCGTTTATCGACAATTCGGTATAATAATAATAAAAAGATTTAGTGGGCAACTTCATTCTGTTAATTTTGTGTCACGGTGCGCGCGCATCGTAAAATTTCACTCTCATAAATTTTTCATAACGCGCCTAAAGAAGTATAACTTCAATTAGTGGGCAACTTCATTCTGTTAATTTTGTGTCACGGTGCGCGCGCATCGTAAAATTTCACTCTCATCAATTTTTCATAACGCGCCTAAAGAAGTATAACTTCAATTATTGGGCAACTTCATTCTGTTAATTTTGTGTCACGGTGCGCGCGCATCGTAAAATTTCACTCTCATAAATTTTTCATAATGCGCCTAAAGAAGTATAACTTCAAAAACTTTATTCTTGGCAAATAGGTTGTGACAAAATTCATATATCGCTAATCCACACTTGGGAGACCTGTATTGTGGGAGATACTAGACCTAGATAACAATTAGTCAGTGGTAGATGGTACATGTTTAAAACAGGAGGAAAAGTTTAGTAAGTATGAGTGAATGTGTGAGTGTGTGAATGGGTGTGTATGCGCATGTATTTGAGAGTTGTTATGACCGTGCGCTGTGTCTGTGTTAGTTTTCGGAACCTTAAAGTCATGTCAAGATACGTAGTAAGGCCTCTGTAGATTCGAAATACAATTTGGCTAATTTAATTCTATGTGATTTGACTATCTTATATAGATATATCTATAATATGTATTGCTAGTCTGAATAATGATATTTTATATTCTCTTTTTAACTCCAGATTTATGAATATGTACTAGAAATACATGTTAGTCAATTGATTTTACGAATTTCGATTCACAAAGTCTTCACAGAAGTCACAACAATGATATTTTATGTTTTTTTTTTGTTTTTCAGGCAATAGTGAAGGAATCACGGTCGGGTCATCAATTCGTGAAGTTTATCAATATGCTTATGAACGATACTACATTCTTATTAGACGAATGCTTAACGGTATGTATTTTTTTTTATTTTTACAATTCTAATCATTATGTATTCTATTTTGGATATATTAGGAACATTATATACAACAGCAACCTATAAGAGACGGCCTTTTTAAAATGCCTGGAGATCATATCTGCTTGAAAGACTTCCACTGGGAGCCAATTCCACAGTTCATCAGATGAACTGCAATAAATTGCTTCTTTATTTGTAGTACTTGAAACGTATACACGAAGCACAAGATGCGGAGACAGCTGGAACGGGAAGCGAATCGCGGACGCGTACGCTTGCGCAGGACGAAAGACAATGTCGCTCATATCTTACTCTAGCTAGGTAAGATATATTAACATACTCTTTACCATCGATTACAAATTGTTCTGAAGTTGATAAATTCGAGTCTTTTACATATATTTAAAATTATTGATATTGATCAAGAATCCGTACTTGTGAACGGGTGCTATTTGACGTGTACGGCTATTAATTAATTTCTGCCTTGATTCACCTTGATACCAATACGTTTGCGTGTTGTTCCCATAGTATTGTGTTTTGATCTTGTTTCCCCACATTGCTGATAGAGGTGAAAGTGGTGGATTTATTGCCAGTTCTTCTCGTCTACATCCTTTATTTGAGAACTGGCAGTAAACGTACATTTAGAAGCATTAATTTTTTACTGACTGAGGGTCAGTAAGTGTAATGTATAATAAGTTATCGAAGCGGATAAACTATATTTTAGCTTCTTTTTAGTCAATCATTTTGGGAAAGAGAAATATTAAATCAAATATCGTAAATTTTTCCAGAGTTTAAAGGCATTAAAATGGGTCAATATTATCGAAATATTGTTGCGCAAGATTTTTAAATATATAAAGTACATAGAACCAAATTTGGCAGTTCCAAAAAATTCTACCTTAACCCTAATAATGCTAACTTTTAATATTATTGTCAATTTATAGGGAGACAGTGGACATGTTAGAATATTTAACTGTGGAGATCAAGGAGCCATTCCTTCGTGCTGAGTTGGTTGAGCGGCTTGCCACGATGCTTAACTTCAATCTTCAGCAACTCTGCGGACCTAAATGCAATAATCTCAAGGTAATTTAGACTGTTTGACTTGTTTACTCCTTATAATTAATGTCTATAGAAACGCGTTTACAAAAAATATCTTGCTTTGGATAGAAATTAACCCTTTTATTAATTACAGAACCAGTCTAACAAGACAATTTAAACTAAAGTACTTTCATTTCTTTCTACTAATATATGTTGGCTCTTGATAGGCAGAGGCAAGACAAAAAAAGTGTTTTAATGACATCTGATTAGACTTATAATGTTGATGAATATGGGAGTTAGTCTTCATGCAAGTATGTTGTAATGTAGGCAAGTAAATTCCTGATTATTTCCCGTTTCTAATTGGTTTGATTGTTTTGACACATCTTATTATTTTCATTGGTATCAATACTACGATAATTTTCTTGTTATTGGTCCTTCGAGCCGGAATTTTTTTAAGTTGTTTTTTTTTTCTTTTTCCAGGTACGTCGCCCCGAGAAGTACGGCTGGGAGCCACGGAGACTGCTAAGTCAGCTAGTGGATATCTATTTGCATCTCGACTCACCACAGTTCCACGCCGCACTTGCTGCGGACGAGGTATAGCATTTTATATTTATTAACACTTCTATGCATAATATAATGATCAATATTTTTTTTACATTTAGCTTTTCCCAGACTTTTTGACTCGTGTCAATAACTGTTCTGAAATCTCTCTCGAGGCTTCTTGTGCTCTTAATTTTAATACAGGAACTAATAAATACTTTTTATGTTAAAAGTCACGTGGTCCGTTTAAGTACCCGTGACGTTGACGTTGAATACAATGTCAACTACACTGATGAAACAAAGAAATTTAAATATTTTATCTTCAAAATTAAATTAAATTTGAACGTAAATAGATAAATGTTTGAAGCAAGTTATTTTTTTCAACATTATTAATGACTATTTATTTATTAACAGGAGTCATTTATAACTTAAAATAATAAAGCACTACAGTACATCTTAATAGGTAGCATATGCATTATAAAAATAAATTAAATTTACAAATTAAAGTTACAATAGGCATATTCCTTTGCGAACTGTGGAGTCGACTCCAAGGTCGACTCGACTCGGTTGCTCAAAGGTCGGCAACGTACCCACTAAAATGGGTTTCCATGGGCTGGGATAACTGCCCTTTATGGTGTCCCATAAGCTCTTATAAATGAAGATTTACTGAATTGTGTATGCTGCGGGGATCCGAGACAAGGAAAGAGGAGAAACATGTTGAACTTCTGTTGTTCACATGTGACTTCACAAATATACAAATTTCAAAATAATTTTCAGCGTTCTTTCCGCAAGGAGTTATTCGAAGAGGCAGCTGTGAGATTAGCCAAGTCCTGCATCAAAACGTCTACTGAGATCGAAAGGTTTAAAACTTTGGCCGACAATGCATACCAGATCGCTAGTAAGTCTTTTTTATTATTTGCTTTCACAGAATACATATAAAATATAATATTTGTCACTAAATAAAGCCGTATACACACACGCATGCATTATCTATGTATATTTTGTTTAGTTTGTAAACCTTTTAATTGGCGTTTGTTGCTATTTTAAGTAAATACTATTGAAAATTTATAAGTAAAATTTATAAAGGATAAATTGATAATGTATACATAAAAAACAAACCATTAAGTGATGATATTTAAATAGACACGACAAAATGTATGGTTTTATAAATGTAAAGTTTTAGTATGTCTGCCATTACAATAAAACAAATAAAAATAGCTTACTATTACTATGTATATGTCATTGATCATATAAAGTGTATCATGTTTCTTTCATGTTGTTTTTTTAGTTTTTCTCTTTAACTAGGGTTGCCTGGAAGAGATCGCTTATTAGCGATAAGGCCGCCCGTTGCATCCCTTATAATTTTTATGTATTGTGTTTCTTTTATTTGCAACGAAGTGTAAATAAATAAAGTCTTTGTCAAAGTCAAAACTAATAAAGTAATAGAAATTTATTGATAATAAAACTGACTTCTATTTTTTTGTTCCAAACCAAAGATTTTTAATACCTTTTTAATATGATCATCTACAATTTAATTTGATCGTTTTTATATCTTTATGAACGTGCTCGGTTACGTAATGATATTTGTTCAATATTTTTTAATGCCCACAAACTTTTTAGTATTGTTAGCTAAGTTTTTGTAACTAGTACTCATAATATTGTACCTAGGAAGCTGTCGTTCCAGGGTTCATAAAGCGTCTAAACACGGCCCTAAAATCAGTGAAATCATAAGCCCGAACCAACACCTGAGTTTATTTTTATGGCTCTGGCAAGGTTTGTGCATTAGCCAGCGTCAAGCATAAGATTTTTATAATTCGTGCTTGCCTTAGAAATTGGACCGTGTCCTCCATGTACGGTTTAGGCACTCGCCCGGTACCGCACAACCCTCCCAAAGGCCGAGAACAAATTTAAATTAAATTAAAACTTGCCATCGAACCGGGAATCGAACCCGGTACCCCTCACCTAGCTGTCTCTTAATAAGACCGCTAGGCTATGAGGCCCTCAATATATGAGTTAGAGTTGATAATAAAATTAGTGTACGATTTGCCTACACAAGAGGCGATCTAGGGTTTCCCCACCACGTCTCCGATATTTTATTTTACGGCTGTAGACACTTATAGAATAACACGTTTAAGCCAATTTCCAATTATTTCAGTTTCAAACCAGCAAAAGAGCGAAGAATTCGCAGACGCGCCTGAAGAGTTCAGAGATCCACTTATGGATACTCTGATGACAGATCCAGTCTTCCTACCTTCGGGCAAGGTAAATTAATTATTTTGTAATCCTATTTTATCTGTTTTATTCCCACGATTTTGCAAAAAAAAATTAAAATTTGGCTTTATAAACTGAAATAGTCATAATGACCAGGTTTCAGAGACACTTCTCTATAATCTTTCGTAGATGAGATTTGACATAACGCTAAGTATAAAAACGTACATACAGAATTCATAGGTTCCTGATTCTTACCCTCAGTGCCTTTAAACCAACTTTTATATAAAATATTTAAAATGCTAAAGAAAATCTGATATTTTTATTGTTTATTTAACATTTTCTTTTTTTTTGTATAATATTGTGTTTACCTCCATAGATCGTAAGATATAGGCTGAATTATAATCATTTCACATAAGGGAGCGTTCAAGTATTACGTAACTAATTTTAGGGGGGGGGGGTCCTTTTGTAAAACGTTACGATGCGGGGCGGGGATTGAATTACGCGTTATTGTTAGTATTATTTTCGACTTTCCAGTACTTTACACCACATAATGGTAACTTTTAGGTATAAAGAGTCACTTGGCCACGAAACGTTTTACTATACTTGGGAGTTGGGTACAGAAAAACGTTACGGCGCGTTACATGGGGGAGGGGGGTCAATAATTTTCAAAAATTGCGTGACGTAATACTTGAACGCTCTCTAAGATGCTAAATTACCCCCATTAAAATTTGATATTTATAATTGTATTTCAGGTTATGGATAGATCTGTGATCTTGCGGCATTTGTTGAATAGCGCGACCGATCCCTTCAACCGACAGCCTCTTAGTGAGGACCAACTACGTCCAGGTATTGCTCATATTTAATATTTCTATCTAAATATAAGGATATATTGTAAATTCAAAAGTATTGTTTAATACAGTGTAAACTCTTTATAACTTCATTCATTATAACGGAAAACTCTCTATAACGTAAAAATTAGTAAATTTATTTGGTTTAATGTGCATACATAATTTCTTCTCTCCCTATAACGAAACCTCTCTTTAACGACTAACAATGCTCGGTACCTTGGAATTCGTTATAAAGAGTTTACACTATATTTTGTTATCAATATCGTTCCTGCGGCGTATAGATGTTGACGATATTAATAGTGAAAATTCAGTTAATATTTTAAGAAATACTCTATAGTCCTTTTTTAGTGTATACTTGCTGACGATTGATAGGGAGAGATGGCAACGTTTAGTAACTAGTAACAACTATTTAAAAAAAAAGGGTGCGTGTTCTTATGTACGCGCGTAAGAAGTTATACTTCTTTGGCATTATAAAAAGTAGTTTTTGATTGCATGCAAATAATTAATTACAATTAAATAATCAAAAACTGGAAAAAGAGTCATTATAGTCAATAAAGTTCAGTTTACATTTGAAAAATTAAATAAATAAATATTTATTATTATTCTCTTACATTAAGTGTGACATAAATTCTATTATTATTCGAATGTTGTTTTTAAATTATGTCCAATGTCGTAGCATCTTCCGTGGGCAACTTCATTCTATTAATTTTGTGTCACGGTGCACGCGCATCGTAGAATTTCACTCTCATCAATTTTTCATAACGCGCCTAAAGAAGTATAACTTCAAAAATACTACCATAAATTTTATTGTTACATTCTAAAATGGTAGAAAGTTCCATCTGTATCACCTCGACATCTGTCGCTCCACAATTGAGAGATTTGGTAGTTTTTGCCGTTCACCACTGAAGTATTACTGAACCAATTCGACTTAGGGTGCTTCAAAAAAGAGCGTATCAATTCCTAAAAGGCCAGCTACGCACTTGCGAGCCTTCTGGAAATGTGTCCATGGGCGGCAGTATCACTTAATATCCTGTCCGTTTGCTGCGCCGTTATATTTATTATTTTTTTTGAGATTTGTCAACTTTAGACAAATAAAATAATTAATTGGGTACGGAATGTTTTAAAATTTAAATTAATCATAAAGGCTTATCGTAATCTTTTGTTACAGCTTCGGAACTAAAAGAGAGAATAATTCAATGGCAACGCGAGAAGAGATCTTCGTAGATAATACTATTACAAAGTCTGATGTACATAATGTTTTATCGTGTAAAAACTTAAGACATTGCCTAATGTGATGTTTTAAACGTTTCTTGACGAATATTGTTCGGCCATCTGAAAGAGATAGCATATCGTTTATATAGTGTTCTCTCTGTCGCACGCTCTTCATCAAATAGACCTGTCATAGATTCGTTTATATTGAAATTAATTTAAAGTTTATTGTATATGGCGTATCGGTTCATCTAATTAGAACTAAAGGAATTTTTAATGGTATATTACTGTTCTTGTTTTGGACGTATGATAGAGATAACTATAGGCACTATCTCTTTCTAAAGTTGGTGCACGTTGTATACGCAACTTTGTCGTACTGAGAGAGGGTTTAGAATGTATTTCGCTCGTTTTTTAAACATTTACGAATACATAGTTAGCTATTTAGTTTCTGAGCAAAATATATTATGATGTCCTAAAATTGTTAAAAATGTCGCGTATCTTGTCACTCAGTATGATGCAGTGTGAGACGGCAATAGTTTTCAATAAATATTATTTTACGTAAAAATTGGCTTTGGGCATATGACAGTTCCTTTTGATAAATTACTTGACAATATTTTTTTAATAGAAATTGGAACGAAATTTGTCGTATTTTGAGTTAAATATCATGGCCCATATATAAATAAAATCAAGTAAAATTATTCTAATATATATACTGTATCGCGTTGTCAAAGTGAACATTTAAAAAAAAACATTTTTTAAACAGTGAAACCATATGAAAAAAAAAACAATAAATTTTTTGTTTTTTTACTTGTTATGGACCATGATATTGGAACTTTTATACTTAAACTTTGCTTACACCAAAACAATTGAGTTCAATATAATCTCAATAATCGAACTTTTAGTCTTGGGCTAAAAATTTACTGTAACGTTAACCACTTACCAAACGTGTGTGTGGTGTAAACAAAGTACGCTTTCTAATATATCATCAAATAATCCTAAGCGTAGATAAAGAGAAATACCGAGCGATGTATTTCGCAAAAAAAAAAAATTTTGTTTTCGACAAAAACACCAAATTCTTTGTATATTTATGTTCAAAAATTATTTAAATAAACTACCATATTGACAATTTCACAGTACATTCTCTTTATTTACAGCGAATTACCCAAGTAAAGTTTTCGATTCATAAAAAAGGATTAAACTATTATATCACAAGTCTAAATTGCACACCTTATTTTGTAAAAACTTAAAACAACATATGGTATATAAAATTAAAGATGACATGGCGGGCGGCGTTTATTGTCGTTGGTCAAGAAGGATCGTGTCGTTATGTCAGTCATTTGACTTGAAATACTATTGACCAATCTCAATTTAACGAGACGCCATTTTAATTATCTTTTGTTTTATCCCTGGTATGGTCCAATTTTCACATTGAATTTTTTTAAACTAATATATTTTGACTTGGGTGGCGTTTTGGAATGTAGGCACTGTATCTAATGTATTTTAAAGTCGAATGCGAGCCTGAAGGTGAAAACGGACGAATGTCACATATGCCTTAATTACGCGAAATCATCGTGGTACACAAAATTGAAGCGTCGGAAAGATTATAGAAAATGTAAATATTATTATTAAATGTTATTATATCGGCGATTTGGATATTGTTTTCAAAAGTATTATTCGATAATAAGTTTCTTTTGAAGGAGATTTATGGCCAAAAATGTTGATTTCACAAATTTGAAACAGACGGATTAAGATCTTATTTTTATTTGATAATAGTCCTAATCTACTTCTGCAATGAGTATTTTTCATAATTATGTATATACGTGATATCAAATATCATCACAACTGAAATATCTCAGACAAATGATTCTTAGTACCTATTTTTAATTTTATTCTAGGCAATCCAGATCATCACATTTGTATAACTCACGATAAAATATTTATGGTATGTCTAGAATAAGACTAACAAAAGTGTAGTTCTGGCGTGTTGGTCCCGTATTCCAACTCTTCAGGTGAAACATTATGATCTGTGTTTTGGAATACAGACCTGGTTAACATTTGACAGTCTAATGAGGCCTAAATAAAAAAATATGCGATTTCACATATGTAAAACTTATCAATGTAGAATTTTATTAATAGTGAAAAGCTAGATTTTTATTTTGCATATAAATAGCTTAGTAATAGAATTTTAGTTTTTATATTATAATCTGAATATGCTTAATGGTGATGTTATTTTGTTCCTTTTTGTTCAATTCATTTTGCATAAACAATTGTCAAATATTGCATTTTATAGGGGCATATTGATGGCTCTAAACAAATGTAAGAATTTGTAGGCCCCAATGTAGTTGTTAGATTTGAAAATTATTATCCAAACACTGCCAATATAATCAATTTATTGCAGAGGAGGCATTTTTAATGATTTTAATTATTGGGTAATATCGACAATTAATTATTAATGATCTTCACTAATTTGATGTATTTATCTTTTTGTCATGATAGTGAATAGGTCTTCTATTCTATAATATGAAGTCTTTATTGAAATGCCAATAAAATTGAAAAATGAATTATTGTTTCATTCAACATATCCACGTGTTTTAAGTCATTTAATGTATGATTGTAGTTCTAATAATATATGTTTTTTATGTAAATGTAGGCAAACGGGCAGGAGACTCACCTGATGTTAAGTGATACCGCGCCCATGAACTGGGCGAATGTCATTACATTGCCCAAAGGCTTGCAAGTTCGTTGCCTTTAAATGACATTAATTTCTATCAAAATTTGCTTCTAAAATATGGAAACTTAATGTCGAAGTTAATTGTTACTGTATACTATAAAGAATAAAAAACCATTCGTTATAATAATATATTTCTTTAAAGATAAATTATTGTCAATTCTTAATATATATATATATATATATTTCAATATATAAAAAAAACATTCTTACAATTTAAGACCAGCATAAACTCCACTAATAGCAAGTTAATGATATCAGTTAAAGTCACATATTATTTGTGTTTTATACCCCATTGATAGGTGCTAATAACTAATAAAATACCACACTATCAAAGGTGTATTTGCATTTTATAACAATGATAATATAAATAAAATTGGTCAAATTGAAACATAATGAGCCCAATTTAGTGTTATAGGGGAAAGTGCATGTACTTTTAGTAGGAAAACACCTTAAAAATAACTTCTGCACATCTAATGACTTTACCCAACTTATTTGCTGGAAACTATATGTTTAATTTTTTTATAATAAAAAGTCAACCATACTACTACTCAGTATAAAGAGGTAGTACCAGTGAGATTATTAAAGAGGTAATCCAAATATTATTCATAAATATTCACAATCTTGTTGTATTATCTATTTTACATTTGAATAAGTCTTATCCTTGACATTAACAATGTATTCACACAATGTACACACAATTTATTTATCTATAATTTCTTAACAAGTTATATCCACACAGATGTAGAATTTGCAAATAAAATACCTAAAAATATTAGAAGAAATGATTTCATAATGACAAACATTATTTTTAATTAAAGCTGCCTAAAACTTTTGAACACCATACATTAAAAACAATTCAATACTACACTTTCTATATGCACAGGTCATATTGTAAATATATTATAAGCTTTAATTAGTGTAATACATACATGTATCACTTAACTAAAATAACAATATTGCAACAAGATAGTACTAATGTATGAAAATTTAAGTACATGCCAATTCAATATACAAAATATTTATTCCCTTATTAGGAATGGAAGTCTGGATGCAAGAAGACAGGCTATTACATACAACATTCCAAAATAGAAATTTAACCTAGCAGTTTGCCTGGGCACATACTGCATGGTTTCAGGCCGACGGAACCTTCTCTCTATTTCAAAAGCTTGGTGTAAGGTTAACATTGGAAGCAAAAACCAAAAAGAACACCTTACAGAAGCCACAACAAACATAATATATGGCGTAAATAGTAAAAATGCATATAATAAATGAGATGCAGTCTTTCCAATTAAAATTGCTAGTGTCACAATTTCTGCTTTGCTGTCTGCTTCTAAATCCCTAGTGTTATTGCTGTGTAAAATGGCTTCTGTATTTAAAGCCAATGGTACAGCATAATAGAAAATAGGCCAAACAACTCTTCCTGTTTGGGCCAAAAATGCAAACACAACAGAAACTGGGCCAAATATGACTAGATAAATTATATCTCCTAAAGCTATGTACTTTAAACCTATACCCCCTGTGTATAAAAATGATGAGGACAGACCTCCAAAATACACTAGAGCTAAATGTTCCATTTGGGCAGGTGACATTATTACTAGTAGTACAAAAAATACACATCCAGACATATAAAGTATAGCTCCAAGAGACACAACTTCGTCTATACTTAATATGTGATCAACTAGAGTTCGGTCATCTGATTTACGGTTATCAATACCTTTTACAAAGTCAAAATATGTATTCACCACATTGCCTGCTCCATGGACTGGAATTACTGTAAACATGGTAAGAAGTAATGTAAGCCAGCTGAAACCATTATCTCCCGGCAACCGGTATGCTAGTGCTGCGCCTAACAAAGTAGGCAAAAGGCTGCCGCTCAGCGACCACGGACGCAGCGCCAACACATAAGTTCGAACTTTCATCAATGGATTTCGGGCAGCTGTTGTGAATTCCTTTGGAGGTTTTAGGAGATTTCCGTCAGCCGATGCTACATCGTCAGTTCTTCTTACACTATCCATGTCATAGGACTGAAAATATTGTGTCGAGTACGTTTTTACCCACTGACACAGTTTCCACACAGCCAATTTTTGGTTTTGGCATTCACAACATTTTTACTTTTAGATCTAGCGAATCATTTAAAGTTTAGTCTTGTAAAAATAAGTAGACAATTATGCGTAGTATTTTGTATAACAGCGAATGTTTGAAATTTCCATAAAACAAAAATATTTGTGGAAAAACTTAAACTTGGAATTTGTAAATTGTATCAAATATCAATTTAACCAAACGTACGTCTTTGACGTCTTTCTCCTGTTCCCACAGAATACACCTTACACGGCTAAACATCTGTCACAACTTATAGAAACTGACAAAACACAACATACGATGACAACAATTAGAGTATTCTATTATAATATTCTATTTATTTCAAAAAAAATTTAATTTTGACCATGCTCACGGGACTCTAGCAAAATGTTTTCAATTTGGAATCCATTTAATTAAAAAAATTGGAGTAGAAAAATTTGTATCGAGAGTTATGTAACCGAATATTAGTTAAGTTACATTATACATATATATATTTTAGTTAATAATTATTAGAAGCGCAAACCAAATGTTTGCAATAATCGCATACTTGAAGCCAAAATGAGACCTTTGTTTATGAAGCTTTTCCCACAATCATAAATTGTAATATAAAAATTTAATAAAAATGAATAATTTCTCGTTTTCAAATATGTTCAATAGGTCGATTACCTACACTTATATTGAAGTGTCACTTAGATTAAAGAACCCTTAAATAAGCCAAGTTAGATATTTGAAGTGAAACTTGTTTAGGCGCATGAGGGTAAGCTTTTCACGGATGAAACGCAATAATAATAATATTAGCGTCACGAAAATGTGCAGCGTTTTTGGCGAAGAAAAGGGAGAGAGCGATTGATACCGATTGAGAGAGAGTGAAAAAGGGCGAACGTAGCGTAGTAGAATATACGAAATACCATTTTTTTAATTAAAATTTCGTAAAGAGAATTTATGAAATATTAGTATTTTATATGTATATATTTTTTTTTGAAGTGAAACTTCTTTATCGAGGTTGGAAAAAAAATTTAGTGTAACATTTTTTCGTTACGCGTCACATTTTTCGGTTACGCGCCATGTTGCTTTTTGAAGTCAAACTTCTTTATCGGCGTTGGAATGAAACTTCTTTATCGACATATGGGAGAAATTTTGTAGCAAATCGTCACGTTTTTCAATTATAGTAATAATTCTATTACAATTAATGAAATTCTATAATAATCTTCGTAGTAATAAGGTAAAATGAAATATTTGTATTCATGTCTATGATAATAAAAGCCTTTTGTTAAACTTTATCTAATTTAACGAATTTCTGTAAAGTTGCAAATAGTAGGTAGATCATTTTTCGAAAAATAAGATCATAAAGAAGTTTCACTTCTTACGTGTGTACACCTAGTACACGCACAATTTATTATATTTTATTCGTCATTTGAGATTTCAATAAATTATTTTGCATAAAATACTAATATTTCATCAATTCTCTTTACGAAGTTTCAATTTTAAAAAGAATTTCGGATATTTTCAATTTGTATATCTATATTCACAAATTTAGTTATACAAATGCACGGAGTGATAATATACTGGTACATGATCATCTATTGGGGCTTTAATTTTAATAAAATTATTTTTAATTAGTTATAATTAATTTACAAAGAAGTTTCACTTCTGACATGTGTACTTTATACGCACGCACTTTTTTGTTAGTGTCGCAACCCCACTACCCCTTATTTTATGTTACTCATAAGCTAAAGTTTTAAACGCTTAAAGCCACCACTTCGAAAAGGCTAAACACCATCCCTGATCCCAACCCATTGGTTCGTAAAAGCATCAATTACTATCCCTTCCCGACAAAAAAGGCTCGTAGGAGGCCCCGACACGTTCTAACGGATCCGGACGATCCAATCACGATAGCTAATGACAAATTAATAGCCGCCTGCGCGGCCAGTAATAATATAGATCATAATCAGATTAGGTTATAAACCGCCTTCACCGGGGAAGGCGAGGACCTTTGCTCCGTACTTCGCTCCCTCCAGTGAAATGAAATGAAATGAAATAGTTTATTCTTGCAAGTAGGACTATATAAATCACTTTTACAATGTCATCCTAAACTAGATGAAGTCGACATTTCCTAACTGACTGCCCTGAGAAGAAATGTCGAAACAAACTCGGGGGTCTTAGTCTCTTTTATAGTCCAGATAATACAATAATAAATTAATAAATTGGTGTAAACAAATGCAGAGTATTTACTGGACTGGTCTTTGGAAGAAAGAACCAGATCGATCTGAGCAAGCCTGCGCCAGCAGACGGCTAGCATGCCCCGAATAGCTCATGCAGCTCAACCATTTTTGAGGGAGCTGCACAACCCGGTACACAACAATACCGCCAGAGGCACCATAAAGATATGTGGGGCAACAACTCACTCAGATCGCCAGCCCAAAATAACTATAGACTAAAATGTATCAAATTATAAATCAAGCAAAAGAGTTTATGATATACCCGCAATGTTTACACTTACAATGGATACAAAATGTATTTTTAAGGTGTACCTTAAAGCAAGGAAAATATAATCGTAATATAAACATTATTCACTTGGCATGTCAAAGTGTAAAATATTGTATGCAAAAGCACAAAACATGTCTGTATTGTAGAAAAAGAAAAAATGAATATGCACTAAGCACAAAACATGTCAGTAATGTAGAGAAAAAAAAATGTAAAAAAATGAATATGCACTAAGCACAAACATGTCAATAGAATAAAATAAAATGCATATGCAAAAGCACAAGACATGTCAGATTGTAAATATGTACAACATGCAAAAAAAAAAAGTGAAAGACAGCTTAAAAAAATCACAAGCGATAGCTGTATAAGCGAGCAGCTCAATCCCAGGCGTTTCTATCATTTAAATAATCGGATATCCTGTAAGTGAGCTTCCATCCTGCCCTTCAGGCGATTGACCACCCCGCGACGGCCCAAGCCGAGGTTCGAGTCTCACAGGAGACGCCTTTGCGCTAGTCGCGGGAAAACCGCCCATTCAGGCCATACATGATACATACACAAGCTAAAACCTGCAAATGCCTAATAATACGCGAGACCTATTTTATAAATGATTTGTTGCAAATATTTCTTGCATATATGTATATTTTTTTACTTTCTAATGAAATAATGAATAGTGCGATAAAAATTATCTGAAAATACTTATGCTTTTACTATTTTTACAGCATGTGTATATAAAGTAAAAGAGAAGTTTTTATAGTAGATTAACCACACAGTAACATTAATCAAGCCGCTTAGCGGGTATTGGTATTATTCAGATTAATATTTGAATTAATCCATGACATCCATGAGTATAGCTTAACTTATTAAATTTTCTAAGAATTTAGTTATGATTCTGTGGTAATTTAAAACTTCACTGAACTCTGCCGTCAACGTGACAGCTATGAGCTATCGTTTTTTAATAAAATTTCTGTTGTATTAATTTCACTCATCAGTCATCAGTCATCACATATGTATAATTTTAGGCTAGAAGGGAAAAACTAAAAAGGGGTTCGTAAATAAATTACATTTCTGCAGGTTAATTGGTAAGCTATTTTGTAAATACATATTGTTCTTAATATATTTAAAATTTTAACTTATTTACTTTTTATGACTTTCAAATTATGGGATAGGCTAAAATTCCACTTAACAATGTGTAGGTATCCTGAACTACTTTAGTACATACTTCACTCAAACGTATGCCTTGTTTTCAAAGATACTGTTTTCACTTTCTTTTTAAATATCGTGTCAGTAGAATTATAAAAAAAAATCTACAAATAAGCAACATATTTCTTTTTATTAGCGATAACACAATTAGGCATTGCAACTATGATTTTATATTTTGTTTATTAACACGTATATAACAGACAATATGGAATAATAAATATTATAATACAAGATTCATTTTATAGTAAGCTGATGAAAGGTGTCTAGAAATGGTCACAAATATTTGTTTAATACAAGCTTGTAAATGTGATGAAAGCAAAATACTTATGTTAAAATCATTGAGTATTTATCACAGCAATTGCTGCACCTTTAGCTGCATCCCCTCCACATGTAAACTCAAGTGGTAAACTGTAATAATGCTCAACAGCTCTTTGTAAAACTTTGTTTCTTGATAAACCAGAACCATTTCCCACAATTCTTGTTATACTTGCATTGCGCAATATGTCTTTAGGCATCATAAAATGTATGTTATCAACTATGCTATCACATAAAGATCTAAATACTTGCCCTAATTGTATATTCGATAGGTCTATATTTTCTACTGAGGCTCTTGCTGTTGGCGAATGTCTCTCACCAAGTAGGTGTGGGGATATTCTCATTGTTGTTTCAGCTGGTGCATCTAATCCCATAGCAATTAATTTCTCCCAAACTTTTGACTGTGGAATAGGAAATCCAAATTCAAGCATCCATTGTTGCAACATTTTTACAAAAGTTGCTAATACATTACCTCCATTTAGAGAGGCAGCTACAAGTAAATAAGTATTATTAAAATAGGGCAGATGTTCAACAGTTTTACAGCCTATATCTGAAATACCATCCACTACAAAAGCTAGTTGTGCAGATGTAGATATGTTTAAAACAGCATCTGTTCTTGATTCTAGAGTTGCTAATGTAGAGCACTGGAGATCACCCATTGCTACTCCAACAGGTGTACCTTCAGGAATTCCATTCCATGAGCTGTTAAGGCTTCCCACAATTTCTCCACTCTTTTTAATATTTGGAAGAAGATTTACTGGAAAATCGAGACCTTTTAGAATGTCAATATTCCACTCATTTTTTTCGGTATTAAAATAACCCCAACTTGCAGCATTTTGGTCTGAAGTTATGGGTGTGTCAAGGTCACATAGCATTGCTACAACAAAGTCTTGTACTGTTGCAGAGCAGTTAAAATGTTTTAGTTTTTCTGGCTTATGTTTCAACATCCATAGAAGTGTTGCACAGCCGTAGCCTGAATAACACTTAAGGTGAGAATCGGGTTTGGGGAGGGTATCTAAAAATTCTGGTTTGCATCTGACATCTTGCCATGTGTACAATGCTGACATGTTCTCCCTGATTGCTTCAAATCTGTTGATTACACCATCTTTTTCTATTTTTTCCCATGCTCTGTAAAATATATATTTTTTAAAAATTATTTGATGTGTTGCATTATAAATTGTAAATATCATTTACTTAGATATCTTATAAAATATTAAAATATCAAGGCTGTTTAAAAGTATGTTTTAAGATTAATATGTTTAAGAGTTTTGTCAAATGTTGTAAAATAACAGTAACAATAATAAAAAAGTTGATCAAATGTTATCATTGTAGACAACTACATTTAGAAGGTGCTTCAATAATATATTTATTATTTTGTTTCCATAATGTTTAAAGTTATTAAGGTATTACAATACATTGTTTCTAAATTTCTGTAATAATTTCATCATCTATTTATATATATTTATAGTGCGTCAAAGTAATTTACCCATTTTTCCATAAAACAACTCCGTGCATTTGCCCGCAGACGCCAATCTTTGTCACATGTCGTAATATATCTCTAGGAAGACGCGAAACACAGTAGTGAACAGCTGATACTATTTTCGGCACATCTTGCTTATTACCCTCTATACCTTGATCACTTGGGATGTTAGCTGCTGTATCTTTGCTTTGTTTGGCGACTATTTCCTTCGCGTCTGAATCAAAAACGCACACTTTCACTGATGTTGTACCAATATCCATGCCCAATACGTATTTTTTATCCGCCATGTTATAATTTTATGTAGATGAAAAGATAAATATTATGTGCGTAAATGCAGCAGTGAAGTAACTGCGGAATGATTTTATTATAAAAGCAATTTAAAACGCGCGGCGCAGAGGTCGGGTCCCGTCAGTAGCTGCTGCTTGTCACTCGGCGGCGTTCACGTCTGGCAGGCACTCCGCTTGCCTCGTCTACGATTACGTAAACAGTAGATTCAATATACTCGTATTTTATCTCGACAGAGTTGGATATATTTATCGCCAAACAAACATATTACTTCAATAGCCAATATTCAATATCAGTCTGGTGTGTTAATGATAACAAGAGACAATACAAGGTATCAGCAGTTGTTAACAATACGCCCAGATATTATGTTTACGTATTATTATTTTACCTTATTGGATAAATAGTAAATACCTTATCTTTTTAATGCTAATAAAACTTGAATATTACATTTCTACGTAGTAAGACAAAGGCTATTATTATAAATGGGATTTGTCTTATTATTTGTTATATTATTCTTTGCAAAACATTTATTACGTGCCTGTTAAATACATATTAGATAATAATAACGTAATACGAATCATGCCAAAAATTTAAAGGTGATGAAATTATTGATGGTGGAACCTATAATAAATTTGTAGGCCGTTGAACTCAAATCTAAACGAGGTCGCCGTGTAGACTTATTTAATATAGGCAATTTATTCTATTGGCAATTACTTGAGTCTAATGACATCCTTATCAGTGAAGATACAGTAATAAATCATCAAGATAGGTACATCCTATAAAAAGTAACAATTTTGACCTTGTTGCAATTATGAAGCGTCACGAAGCTCTGGCGTTGTCGCGATTATACCTGCTTTTATAAATGTTTTACCTAGGTCTTGGAAACACTTTCCACTAAATTTTTCATATTTGTTATCCGTTACTCTTATAAGTCAAAAATAAATAAGATGCTGGTTTTGGGCCCTTCACTTGTCATTAACTGCTGGACAGATTTTGTTGAAACTAGTGGTACACATAGTACTGAACGATACTTAAAAGACAAATACATAGGTGTATTTTTTTTGTTTCAGATTGATATAAATTGTGAGATAGCCACTGATATGGGCAAACGAAATAAAAATCGAGATATGACGGCTGCCAGTATGGTTGAAATTACAGAATCAAATACTGAGAATCAGGAAAAAGTTGTTCAAGAAGAGAAGAAAAATAAAAGAAAGAAAAACAAACCTAGCATGAGTTCAGATATTGATGCTACGGATAAGTCTAAGAAGACAATAGATATAAATCAAGCATTGACTACTGAAGATATAAATTCTGAGAAAAGATATGAAAATTATAAACAAACTAGTACACATAAGAATAAAAAGAAAAAAAGAGAAACTGAAATGGTCGAAGAAAAACCACAAAAAGTTATGAATTCATCACACGAATCTAGTGAAATAAGTAAAGAATCTGTAGATAAACAAGCAAATGCAATTCCTAAACAAATTAAGTTTGGAGAAGATGGCGAGCCTGAAAGTGATATATTGAAGAATACAAAAGAACAATCTTTTTTAAATGACGAGGAAAAAGCAATACAGGACGATGATATTGATCAGTTTTGTAATGATATTGATGATGAAGATAATAAACAGTATGAAAGTTGGATATCATTATTAGAACAAAAGCTAGGTAGTAGTGATAATAATTCTAGTAATAAAAAGAATAAAAGAAAAAGAAAGAAACAAATAAAAATACTAAATAGTAGAGGTTTTTATTACAAAATTTCATAAGTTGTTGTCCCCTAGTACTAATTATTAAAAATATCATTTGAGTATTTACTCTATGTATTATGTGGAAGGTTCATTGTTTTCATAATAACATTACAAACATGTTAGCCCTTCTTTCAACAGCTGTCTACATACGTAGTAATGGCGGCACTTCATTGGACTCCATCGTACAACTCATTTTAATTACATACCTGTGTTCGTAATAGTATACAGTAATCACAGCGTAAAAGTTATTTTATATTTTTACCTATTACGTAATACCTTTCTAGGTTTACCTTCCTTTCATCAACAATTCTCTTAGCTTTAACTGTCATTTTCATACAAATTAAGTTTTCGACTTTCTTCATACACTACTGTTAAAGCATCTTGAGTCTTGACTAAACCTGGATGTAGCAGCCTGCATGTAACATATTTGTCAGTTTTAGGAAGGCTAGTTGTTGAATATTTATATATTATATACATATAGATTATATGTAGTTAGATTTTAATAGTTAATTTAAGTAATATACAATTTGAATCTGTTACGTTTCGTAATACGTTAGGTAATTAAGGTATCTTTTACAATAAGTATTAAGTGCAGTGATATTATACATTCTTCATTTTACATATATAATATGTAATTTGTTGTCTAAAAGATTTAGTCATTTATAAAATACGTAAAACTCTCAGGCATGGAAAAAGCAAATATTTAAACTACTAGTACCTAATCACCAATAAAAAGGTTGCGTAGTGTGTGTAACTAGTAACTACCTACAACTCACTTTCCTCTTACAATATTTGTGTGATACTATTAAAGATTAAGGCGATTTTTGACAATTACTTTAGCTCTATTACATAATATATGGTTTAGAAGCTTATGGTAATTACTAACTAGTAACGCTAGTTAGTGATCCCTCCCGCCGCCAGTTGTGTGATTTGCTCAAAACAAAAAGTGTTATAGTGCATTATATTACGTTAAAAATACCGTAGGGAAGATATAAGAAAACAAGTGGAATGTTGGAATAAGAATAACATGTGAAATTAAATGAACGAAAACAAGTGAAATTTAGTGACCGAAAATAAGACTTGGCTTAAAGGTCTCGTTACCAGGCCATAAAATTATTTTAAAAAAAACCGTAGAACAAATTATGTATGGTCTATGTTAATCTAGTTAAGTAAGACAGTGACAGTTGTATCATTTGTTAGTGTTGACTGTTGAGTGTTCCTCTTGTAGTTGTTTATCGCTGTCAAAATTTGACGTTTTATTTCTTTTAAAAAGTTGTGATCATGGCGGTGGGTGTTTTGTGTATTTGAATTTATGAAATCTATTATAATCAAGTTAAATTCTTACGAATTTTAGTTGTACCTGTTAAAACAATGTAGTGAATAAATTGATCTGTGTTAACAAGTATTTATTTCGTGATAAATTACAATTTTAAACGAATAAACTACGAATCAACAAAACATAACCTTTTCGCCGACTCTACTGTATAACCAAGTGGGTTTGTTTTGTATATTTATTAAACATGGTGTATATTTCAGCGTGTACCACCCCCCGCGCTTCCCAGGAAGAAGGACAAGAAAGACAAGAAGCCTCCCAAGGATAATTCCAAAAATGTTATGAGAAATCTACACATCAGAAAGTTATGCCTTAACATCTGTGTTGGTGAATCTGGTGACAGACTGACACGTGCTGCTAAGGTAAGACTCATTTTAATCATATAATCGAAGTTAAATTCTTTTTGTTGTCTTCAATTACAACATGTCTTCATAACCTAGTAATAATTTAGGTACTGAAATGCATTTTGCATTACATTTTTGAGGATGTTCTAGACTTTAGATATATCTTAAATTACCATTGATATGAGCAAACTTATTGTAGGTGTTGGAACAACTGACAGGTCAACAGCCAGTCTTCTCTAAGGCTCGCTACACTGTGCGGTCTTTTGGTATTCGTCGTAATGAAAAGATTGCTGTTCACTGCACAGTTCGTGGAGCTAAGGCTGAAGAAATCCTTGAAAGGGGATTGAAAGTAAGTTGTCTTTATTTGGTTTTACTTAGATAAGTTCCTAAAATACTTTTGAGTCAAATAATAGAGATAAATAAAGTTATTACATTACAGAGAAATTGGTGTAATAGTATTTTGCTTAAATGTAGATAGTTAATATTAATTATTTATGTTAGTATTTTGTTGTTGTTTCATATAGGTTATTAATTATTTTAAATGATAAAAATTCCAATACAGCATGAATTGTTCAAGAGACATAGTTCTATTGTGCTTTCTTTGTAAATTCATGCAATATCAAATATTTCCTATTTGCAACTTCTGAACACTAATTTTTTACTGTTGAGAATACTAATGGAAATTACATTTATGATTTATAATATAATGTTTCAAAAAAAGACAAGTCATATATTCTATAAGGAGGAGCACTTATTAAGCTTCTATAAAGCTTTAAAAAATTTTTGAATGCATAACATAGAGTCATCAATAACATAATCTAGTTTTACAATATCCAAATTATCTTGTCAAAAAATAGAATTTGTTGGTATTTGCTTTTATAATAACGTAATTATTTGACTTTTTTTTGGTTTTATTTGTTAAAAAGTGTTATTGGCTATTATGAGTTTACTCTCTATTTTAGCAGACTGAGTATAATTTTAATTGTAATTTTTCTAGGTAAGAGAATATGAACTGAGACGAGACAACTTCTCTGCCACTGGCAACTTTGGTTTTGGTATTCAAGAACACATTGACTTGGGTATCAAGTACGATCCATCCATTGGTATCTATGGTCTTGACTTCTATGTTGTGTTAGGCCGCCCAGGTATGTTTACTCTTTATATTAACCAACCTAAATATTTGTCTGTAAATAATTGTAACTAAAAAATAAAGGGAATATACTGTCAAGACTTGTTAGTTTTCAAATAACTTTTTCAAGAGAAGATTCTTTTGAAGTAACATAGTAGTTTTAACAGTGATCTACTATGTAGGGCATAGAAGACAAATTATCACAAAATACTAAATATTAGCCCAAGTCTACTACTGGTATTATTATTTTCTAAGTTATATTTGTCGAGCCCTTATCCTAGAACCATCTGCACAAGTGTTCAAGAATGTTGGATTTTTTGCTACACTCTGTAAATCTTGTGCTAAAGTAAGCTTATTGTAATTAGTGAAACAATATAAGAAATATTGTATCCATTTTTAATAAGGAACATTTGAAAATCACATTTCAAGTTCCCAGGCCTGAACCAAATTTTAATATAAATGTGGTTTCATTACATATAGTTAATAAATAGTCTTACTGAATAATTAACTGAACATTTTACTGTTTACAGGGTTCAATGTTGCACACAGAAGAAGAAAAACCGGCAAAGTTGGTTTCCCTCACCGCCTGACAAAGGAAGACGCTATGAAGTGGTTCCAACAGAAATACGATGGTATCATCCTTAACAGCAAAAAGTAAATTAAGTAAATAAACTTTTAAGAGGAGTTACTGTCTTTTAATTATTTACTTAAATTAGACTAAACCGTTGGAATTATATTTTGTAACAAACACTATTTCTTTTGATATAACTGAAAACTTTTTAATTATAAAAATAAGATGAACCAAGAATGAAGGCCACAGTTAAATGCATTATGTTAATATCTATATGAATTATGAACTGTAATTGTCGTAGATAGAGTTTAGAACTAGATGAGCTAATAAAATAACAATAATAACTAAAGAGAGAAGGCATTAACGTGAAAGACTTAAGTGCGAGCGAAACAGAGTATCAGTTTTTCTGTCTCTATTTGTGTATTGGGTTTTATTTGTTTACCACCGAGCACTTAGTGGTAAACAAGTTATCACCCCTTACTGATAAATCTGTGAAACCCAAGTAAAACCCATATTTTAAGACTTTATCCTTATAAGAGGTGTATTTAAAGTGTCAGTCATGGTGAATTGTTGCATAATTGGCTGTAAAAGCTATAGTGAACGTAAAGAACCAAACATAACCTTTCATTGGTAAGTAACTTATTTTGTCACGACTCAGTGACTTTGTTCAAGAATTATTCATTTGAATGTGTATTTTGGTCAATAATAAGCAATCTTCAGTGTATTAAAACTGAAAATACGACATATGTCGATCATTCGCTATCTCACACGCTGTACGATGATGCCTGGTCTATACCATAGTCCGTCTAAGGTAAATTGTCAATATATTTTCATGTCAACAGTCAATACTATATCACCATAGAAACAAAACCATTGTTACTTTATATTATTGATCAATTTTATATCTTATACAAAGCTAGAGGTTTGCAAGTAATTTTAATTTATAAACAAAAGTCATAAACGGAATGTATAATGGCGGGACAATTTGGCGGCTATGACGATGTTGAAGATGTTTTGGCTCCAAAAGAGCCGCAAGTTACTTCCCTCGATCCAGTGGAGCGGAAGGCAGCTCGAGCTTTACGAATTAAAAAAAGACAGGAAGCTTTAAAAAGGTGATCACTTTGAGGTGTTCCAATCAAGGTCCCCCGAGACTCCTGCATAATCAGTATCTCCAAATTCGGGTTAAAGTCCAACCCATAAAATGAGTTATCGGTACTTTTCTAGTTAGTACTGGTGACATTTATCTTAATTAGCTACATGGTAATTAACCATCTAAACTAAGTGTATCGAAAACATAATAATTTAGTAAAAAAAGAATGTAAGGACTGGTTATTATTCCACTTCGTCGAAACCAAGCTAAAGTTTTCGAGGACGTGGCTATGGAACTGTAAAGAGACTTCTTGAGTGTAGGGCATCGCCTTCGACTCCCAGCCTATTGAGTGAAACTTTTGATTTTTCTCTGCCTTTGCAGGTTTGACAGAACTAGACCGTACATTTTACGCGTTTATAAAATGCAAATTTAATAACTGGTATATTATCAAAAATATATTTATCAATCATAATAATTGTTTTAATTAATTACTCAATAATAAGAATAATAGTTACAATTTTAATAAATCGCTTAGGGCTGAACAAACTTCTGAGGAAACATTTAAGGAAGAGGAACCGGGGTTGATAGAACAGGCAACATCTTTGGCTGCAGAAGAATTACAACGGTTAGCTCTAGATGGCGCTGCCAAGGTCACTAATGTCAAAGTTACTACCGACGAGCGTGAAGTTATACGAAGAGGGCTTTTTTCTGAAAAGATGCTTGGTATGTTAGCCTAGACTCCGCTCATAGTTCACTCTTATTTAGAATCGATAGGTACTAACCAACCAACAAAAAGCGACGCCGTAGTAAAATATAGTTTTACTCCCTTATTTAAAAATAAAAGATCAGTCAACATCATTTGACACAAAGAGGGTTTAGTTTTCTAAATCTTGTCTTTTGTTTGATAATACTTTTTGTCTTTGCGACTTGCATTGTCTCTTTCCCTAAAATATGGCGAGGAGGCCGTTGGCTGGCGGTACTTGTGGTGACTGGTCGGACTTGAATTCGTGTATGCGGTGATGTTAGTTGTTTCGACTATGTGTTGTTCCCACGAGAGTATAAGTGCGTGCTCCTATTTCACCAAGCCGACTGCTGATAAAGGACAATTTTTTATTATTAATTAACTATTAGAAGTCCTTACAAACATTGCGTAAAACAAAAAACTTAGCGATTAAAAAGTTTTTTTTTGACGTTCATAAGTGTAGGTACATTGTGTTACCTAAATGAATAAATGATTTTAAGTTGATTTGCATGATATATCGGGATATGTAACCTGAGGTCATTCGCGTCGTGTTTTAGAAAAAATACTCGTGTCAGGCCCAGAAGGCTGATCACCTTCTTGCCTATAACAAACTGGCCAATAATATACAGGTAGTATAAAGATATGAGAGTAGGCCTTTAATTTCTGCGAGTTGGAAGTCAATGGATTATAATTATTATAATATAACATCTCAATGTTTACCAGGATCCTTCGCAAAAATTGAAGCAGAGGCAAACGAAGCGCAGATACAATATGAGGCAATAACATCGACCTGGGACGCCATGCTACAGATTAAAGACCCGTTAGATATAGACGCAGCGATAAAGGAACAAAAAGAAAAATGCGATAAACTTCTGGACCAGAAGAACGAACTTATAGCGGATTTAAAAAACGAACTAAAGCGAATGGACGAAAGTTATTATGAGGATTTGCAGAAACAAGTGCGACTACATCCTTATCCTTTCATCAATTATTTAATTACAGATAGTTTCGTCTTTTTCACTGTTATTATTTCATAGATTATGTCAGTGATCGTTTACCGTTAATTGTATTTTATCTTGAGAATTGAACGAAGGAGTTTAATTGACAACTGCAACTTTGGTGCAACCAGCCAATTTTGATCAATAATGTTATAGAAATAACGTTTTAAAAGCTAGTTTCTCACTAAAACAATATAATAACAGAATATAATATATATAATATAATATCGACTGTGCACCAATGGACTTTCTATGTGCGTGTTTAACAGTCGCTCGAACGGTGAAGGAAAACATCGTGAGGAAACCGGCTTGCCTTAGACCCAAAAATTGGACCGAATGTGTCAGGCACGCAGAAGGCAGACAGAAGGCTGATCACCTACTTGTCTATTAGATTTACAAATGATCATGAAGCAGATTCAGAAATCTGAGGCCCAGACCTAAAAAGGTTGTAGCACCGCTGTTATTTTATAGTATAATATTAAAGGTTTGAATTAAAGAAGTCGTTAGTCTCCAAGGCGGTACTAATATGCAATTATGTTTCAAGGATAACGATATCAAAGAACTATCGGATAGGGTCGAGAAACAACTCACAATAATGCAAAGAGCGTACGAAAAGCAATTAGCGTGTATTGAACAAGCAATCAACATAGAACGAGATGCCATGTTGGATCATAATAATAAGAGATGGGAAGCTCTTTATCGACAGAGAGATAGAGAAGAAACTGCGCATTTGGAATATAAGTTTGAACAGGTAAGATCTTAATTTTATTTGCTTGAATAATAATAAAGCCCGTTTTATTTCCAATCATGTCAAAAAAAATATAATATACAGCTTAGATTTTATACATTATTTATATCCTATATCTTTGGTACCTTCAGTACCATCGATCGGAACCACGTCACGGGTAAAGGCCTCTTCCAGCTTTTTCTAACTGACTCTGTCTATGGCTCTCTTTCTCCATTCGCTTCCTATTTCTTCTATCTACCTTTTTTTGGGACGCCCTCTTCTCCATCTTCCTCTTGGTCCTTTAAATACAGTTCTCTTTTTAGGTACGAAAACAATTTTGGAGTCGGTAGTTTAAAAAAAAAGACCACGAGTCACGACCGTCAATATTACCTTTAATATGCCTAGCATAAATACACTAAGATTTACGGCAGAGCAGTGTTGGCCTAGTGGCTTCAGCGTGCGGCTTTCGTCCCTGAGGTCGTAGGTTCGATCCCCGCCCGTGCACCAATGGACTTTCTTTATATATACGCGTTTAACATTCGCTCGAACGGTGAAGGAAAACGTGCGGACACCGACGGCGTGTGTCAGGTACAGAAGGCCGATCACCTACTTAACTATTCGATTGACAAATGATTATGAAACAGAGAAATCTGAGGGCCAGACCTAAAAAGTTTGTAGCGCCGCTGTATTATTTTATCTTTTAAGATTCACGGCAATTCTACGTAATAATGTAACAAATGGTAACTTTCCTCTCGACTATCATTATTATCACTGAGAATTTCGATTTAGTTTTCTCAATACACGTAGCGCTGATGTCGTAACACTGGAATCAAAAACCCAATAATGAAGTCGCTATTGGCGTTGCAGTTCTTTTGAATAAAAATGCAATAAAATAATATTGTCTATCCTACCTTATTTTTCTATAAAACGGGCCAAAGGCTTACCTAAGTGATACCGCCGCTCATGGACACTCCCAATGCCAGAGAGCTCTCGAGTTTCTCCGTTTGAGAATTGCTACACTCTTTTGTTGTAAGTGTTAAATCAAATTGGTTCGGAAATAATTCAGTGGGCAGCTGGTCCCACATAGTGGTGGTGCAGAAACTTAAAGAAGCGCTCAGTTGTGGAACGTCGGACGTCGACACGATGCCAAAGTTACCATTAGATAAAAAAGAAAATTTTATTTTTCTTTCGCAATACTAAAAAACTAGTAAAAAGAGTTCAAGACCATAAATCTTTAATTCTTTGTCAGTTGGAAGAGTATAAGTTAGAAGTGGAAGATATTATGTGGGATCATCACGCGAAATACCGAGAAGCCAAGATTGAGCTTGAATCGCTGATACAAGAACTGCAGAAGGAATTGGAGAAATTAAAGGCCACTTGTCTTATCAACACTGAAAAGATCGGTTACACTTATCAAGTAAGTACAGTAGTAAGCACGTATGGAAGTCGGCTTTTTTTTATAATGGGCTATTAATATTTTTTGTGGTCTTGGGTCTAATTGATTCGTTATGATTTTAGTCTTAAATTCGTGTGTGTTACCTTAGTGATTACCTATGTATTTTACAAGACGTTGGGATTAAAACACATACACATATCGCACTTTATGTCACGTATAACGTAAATAAAGTGAACACAATTAAATTTCCTTTGTGGCTAATTTTTATGATTGTTCGTGTATGTTTTAACAATACTTGATCACGCAAAATTCTTAGTTTTATTTTATGTTATAAAAATTAGAAAATTACGAAATATAACTAAATATATAATGAATAATGGAAATTTTTAATATACTAAGATTAAATTTTAGGTTTTAAAAAAACGCGAAGAAGAAAACGTTTTTGTCAGGTCGCAACAGAAGCGTAAATTAAACAAAATGTCTGACGTGGCTAACTCGCTTCGCGCCAAAATCCGAAAGGCCGCGGAAGATGGCGCCATTGAAGAGATACGAGCGGATGCGGAAGTTCTCAAATTGATGCAGGTTGTGTGCCTATATAAAACTTTGTTTTTCTATCCCAATTCAGCATTTGAAGATGCTTATGGCAAATTAACACATTGTTTTATATTATTTTATAGAAAAAAGTTCTTACGAATATAGTTTGGAAGTAAGGAAAGAAGAGTAGTCGATTTCTATATTCGGCAGCCCATGTTGAATGCATGATAAAAATGTAGGAAGAAAGGAAATTCCAGTGAAATCTTATAAAAAAATATTGTATTTGAGTTCATCTGCCTAGAAGGAGACAAAATTTAGGTTGAATTCTAAAGTATATTCAAATCGTAATTAAAGCATTTGCAGATAAATTATAACTTTATTTCCACTATACCACAGGCGATGGACGATCTAGAGAAGAAATCCCGCCACTTCGCCCATGTTAACAACTACAAGTTCAGTCAAGTGTGGCGTATGTCTTCCGCGCAATGCGGAACGATATCGCGCGAACTTCGTGCCGCAGAAGTGGCTTTGCACGCTCATATATTAGCGGAGCCTCCTCCGCCCCCGCCGCCTCCTCCGCCCAAGAGCCCGCTAAAAGGTATAATCAAAATATCTACACAGAGTCTTTAACTTACAAACCCTAATAAATTGCATTCGGTTTTGTCCTGCCTTCAGACGCAGAGGCGAGTGAAGTATCAAAGCCAGAGGAATCTAAAGAAATTATGGATCCAAAGAATGTTGGCGCCAAAGAGGCGAAAGATAGACTGGTATGTTTTTTTTGTAATATAATTGGAATATTATATAATCTGTTAAAGTAAATAATCCAGCGGTGCTACAACCCTATATACTTAGGTTTTGGATATTTTTATTTTATATATAAAACAAATGGATTAATTTGAGGCCAAGAATTAGGGTTGTAACGTCAATGGATTATTATTGTTAATCTAAAACAGTAGGTAAACTTACTTTGTAAGCTCCTGACAACACTGCTATTGTTACATTAATACACAGTGGTTTAGATTATATTATCTAATCATTTGCTACTCTCTCTCTTATTAAACACCTCATTTACTATCTGTTTATAAATTATAGATTTTAATTTATAGGTTCGTCACATTTTGCAACTGGTGTCAGACAACACGGGATTTTTGGTAGAAGACAGACTATTGAAGCTTATCGAAAAGTATCAGTTGACTTCAAGAAATCTATGCACTTTGGATTCTATATTTATGGTACGTATACGTAATTAAAAAGTAGTACAAAGTATTACTTAATATGTACAATTTGTTGATATATAAAAGAGTAATTTCATGGCAACACTGCGTTTTCCATGCCTACATTTACTATTATGTGCGCGGAAATAGAACCGCCGCGGCCGTGGCAGTAATGCGAAATTATATATGTAATTAATAGTACGCGCCATTATTTTTATTCACAAATTTATATACTTTATTTTTAATATAATGTACCTAGATTATTAAAGTGAAACTATAATGACGTAACAGTATTATCAATATAATATAAAATGTTATTCAGCACTGCTGCGATTTCAAATACCACGGCGGTTCACATTCCACAGAGACTACTATTCGAAAGGAAATGTTATTTCTATTACTCATCCTTTTATTGGTTCCAAATACACCTATGCAACGCTTATTTGTATTGATTGGACTTATTACTGAGAGATTTAATTTTATGTATTTAAAACTATTTAAGGCAAATAAATAATATATTATAATTATCTTGAAATAAACACATTTGAAGATTTTTCCATTAAAATAAAAAAACCAGTGGCCCTACAATCTTTTAGGTCTAAGCCTCGAGATGTTTGAGATTTCGATATCTAAAATTTATTATTTATTTCCAGGCTCTCGAAATTCAAGCACAAGAAGACATTGAACTTTTATGCAAAGTTTTCATGAAGTACGCCTTTTGTCCTATTTGCATTGGATTCGAAGCCACGTCCGATTATGTCATGGAACCGATGTCAGTAGGTATTTTTTTTTAATTTACTAAATACCTTTTATGCCAAACTATATTCATCCCGGTAATAAATATCTAATAATAAATTATATATTTGCCAAATGTTACATAAGATGGACGAATCAACAAACAAAATATCATCAAATTACATATTTTGATGTTTGACATTTAACATGAGTTAAGAAAACAACACGTTGAAATAGTTAAAGTCTATAGAGTATAGATCATTGTCCTCACTGATGCAAGGGATATGGTCATAGGCCTAAAGCGGGTGTCATTTTCTCACAAATTTTTAATTGGTACTTTTCATAATTTACAGATTTAGTAAAAGCAACGAAATTTGAATTATATAAACACGTGTGCGGTATATCCGTGGTGGTGGATTCTTTGCGTAGTTGAATCATAAAAGTAAATGAAATATATATATATCTATTAATATTATTACGTTTATTTTATTATTAGATGGAGGCACCAGAAGACGCATCACATCACGCAAGTTTAAGTATTAAATCTGTTCGAGGTAATTTATAATAAACTTTTCATTACATTATAGCAATTAAAATATTTAAAAAAATATATAGATAATGAATTAGGAAAGATATAGCTTGAACTTTTGGTTGAAGTTTATGGCAGTTTATTTTAATAGCAGGAAAAATAAGTAAAATTTAAAATTTAATAAAATACCCTTTGACGTATTTGGACCGAAAGGGAATCACGAATGTTCATCTTTCAAATGGAATTCGTGTAGTGATGTCAATTTGTGTAGAGCGTTCGAGCTGTCAGGAACTGACACGTGTTCGAATACGTATACGTATATGATGAATAAATTTTTTGTTTTAAATATAGATTTTTTAATATTATTTACACCTAAATTAGTTTATAAATATGTAATGATTATCATTAGGTGACAGAGCGTCGATTCGACAGCGCTCAAGCGCAGGAAGGAGCATTTCAGCCAGTACATCTCGATCTATCGGATTTAGGTGACATATAAATATACAGTTTTAATACATGTATATGAAAATTATTCAGTTAACCGTAAAATATACACAAAAATTTGTCGTCTCATTGCTGCGAAGACTCGAACTTAATCTCTGCGATAATTTTCTCATCATATAATTCCTTCCTAAACACATTTTACCGCTTTTTTTATAGAACAGGGGGTAAACGGGCAGGAGGTTCAGGTGATGTTGAGTGATAGCGCCACCCATGGACACTCTACGCCAGAAGGCTCGTGAGTGCGTTGCCGGAAAGACCCTTAGTCGAATTTGTTCGGTAATAATTCAGTGGGTTCATATAGTAGTGGCGCGCTGAAAAAACAACCTTAAAAACGCTCAGTTGTGGACCGACAGACGTCGAGGTGATACGGGTGGAATTTCGTATTCTGCCTCGACGTCCGATGATGATGCTTGCAATTATTTCATATAATACATTGTCATTCGATCCTTTTTAGTTTGTTATTATCCTAAAAAAAACAAAACCATCAATCTGTCTGACTGTTCTATTCCACACATATTTCCCCAATTTGTAATGTTGCAGGACCCACGAGTTAACGGCAGACGATCAACTCCTTATGGCTGAAGCTGATCAAATAATACAGAAGTGTGGGGATCCGAAAGGTAAGATCTATATAATATAGCAAATTGTATTCTTCTTTGAACCGAGTTGAAACTTGGACTTGAAAATTTCCCTTATTTATTTATTAATTTAATTATAAGTAATCTTACAGCTAACATACATATTATAAAACAAAAACTTAGACAATACAGAAAGCCAAAACAGATTACATAGATAAACAATATATACGAAACAGAAAACAAATTGAAACTTAATATTTGAAACAACAAAATGAAATTTAATATTTGAAACAACAAATAATACTTAATATTTCAAATCACAGCTTAAACAAAATAAGAGTCTTCCCGCCTCTTCAAATACTTTCTCACATCTTCTTTGATGAGGTGGAAATATCAATATCCTCATAATTGGTGTCATCGTTAGATAAAACCCGAAACATTGCCAGTTGCTTTCTTGCCAGTGTGAACGTAAATTTCGTACCTATTGGCTATTAGATGGGCTAAAATGTTCATATAGATTTTTTTTGTTTTATAGAATTTAATAATGTGGTAGTAAGGTCCCTCCTTACCTCTGACTTGTATTCTACCATACCCAAAACAAACAAAGTTGGATACATAACTGGGTAAAATAGGTACACTCCATACTATATAGGCTGCACTAAAAGTATCGGGAATGGAATAATACCACTGTTCCTGTCATATTTAAATCTTTTTAATTGAAAACTCCTTTTTTTAAATCGAATACCATTTTTTTTTAAAAAGATTCTCGGTCTTTTCACAAAGTTTTGTCAAACTTGTTTAGTCGTTGAGAAAATGGAATTGACTTGAGAAAATTTAAGAGCGATGATTTATTATGACTTTCGAAGTGGTTTATCACAAAAACAGTGTGTTGACCGGATGTTTTCTGCATTTGGTGATGAAGCCCCATCCAAAACCACAATTTATCGCTGGTTTGCTGAATTTTAACGTGGACGTGTCAAGCTCTGTGATCATCCCCGTCAAGGTCATCCAAAAACTGCAGTCACCCAAGAAAACGTTGATGCTGTGCGTAAGCTGATTGAGGAAGATCGACATGTGACATACCGCGGAATTCAGGCAACTTCAGACATTGGCATGAGTCAAATACAAATAATCTTGCATGAACGATTAGGTGTAAAAAAGTTGTTTTCCCGATGGATACCGCATTCGCTCTGTGAAGAGCAAAAAGCGGCTCGCGTTACTTGGTGCGTCAGAACTCTTGAAAGATTCCACGCAGGATCCTCAAATGCTGTATACAACATCGTATCAGGTGACGAATCCTGGATACACGCGTACGAACCCGAAACAAAAAACCAGTCACGAGTTTGGGTGTTCGAAAATGAGTTAAAGCCAACGAAAATTGTTCGTTCACGGAGTGTTGCAAAAAAAATGGCGGCCACGTTTGTCCCCAAAACCGGCCATGTTGCGACTATTCCTCTTGAGGGACAAAGAACGGTTAATGCAGAATGGTATGCTAGCATTTATTTGCCACAGGTCGTTTCTGAACTCCGTAAAGAGAACTGCAACCGCCGCATCATCCTCCATCACGACAATGCGAGTTCTCACACCGCGCACAGAACAAAAGAGTTTTTAGAGCAAGAAAACATAGAATACCTAAGCCCTAATAATTTCTATACTTTCCCTAAAATAAAGAATAAATTGCGTAGTCAGAGATTTTCATTAACTGAAGAAGCTGTGGACGCCTACAAAACGGCCATTTTGGAGACCCCAACTTCCGATTGGAATGGTTGCTTCAATGATTGGTTCCATCGTATGAAAAATGTGTCAAATTTCGCGGAGAATACTTCGAAAAGCAATAAATACATTTTTAAATAGTAATGTTGTGTCACTTCCTTGATTCCCGAAACTTTCAGTGCCGCCCTCGTACAACCAAATGTATCTCGTAAATTTATTTTGAATACGCTTCCCCATTAAAGAGCTTTTTTTTTCTTGCGGTGCCCAATTCATATAGTTACATTCCAAATGCTTCTAACAAGTGCATTATACAATGCCATTATCGCTTTTATATTTGAGAATTCTTTGGCCAGACGCAAAATAAACCCTAAATTCCTATAGGCTTTTTACAAATTCTTTTTATGTTATCCCGAAACATGAACATGGGTCAGCGTTACCAGATTTCTTTTAGTCAAGTCGGGATTATGGCACTTTTAAAGTGAAAAAAGCGGGATTCATTTGTCGAAAGCGGGACATAGTAAAAAAATTAAACAATCAGAAGTTTTTAAATATTTATGTTTTTAATTGAGTTCAAATCACGTTTGCGTGACAATAGACAGCGAAAATAGTCACAGAAAATGTATTTAAATCAGATTAAACCTATCGTTAAATAGTTCTTATTCATCTTCTGATTAAAAAACAGAAAAATCAAAATAAAAAATGTTTTATTTATTAGAAAAATATAGCGTTTCAAACAATTGTTCTTAGAGTGAGTGTTTCAAATTGCAACTTACAATAAGACAGTAATTATTTATAAGAATTACTTATTCATAATATTTCTATGAAGATATAACTTCTTTAAAAGTTTCATTTTTCTCTTTAAAAAAGACGAAGAACTCTTCACAGGATAGCTGCAGATTAAACTTGATGAGTAACTCAGATTTCATTAAATTTACGAAGCATTTAAAAAAGAAGGCGTTTTGGAAAGCAGTTTGATGGTAGGATACTTAATATAAAGTTTGAAGATAATCCTGGTATTTTTTTTTGGATACTGTTGAAAGAGTTGGTACCATTATTGTGGTGGTAGTACACACTTCTTATTGCCATCGAGTTATTCCTGAAAAGCGGGACTAAGCCTGTCCCGCGCGGGACATTTCATTTTGATTTAAAAATCGGGACGTCCCGCCAAAATCGGGACGTCTGGCAACGCTGACATGGGTATATATTTAACTAATTTAATAAAAAATGTTTAGAATTTTATTATATAAACTAAATATAAACGGCTAGGCTGCTAATAGTCTAAGATCCCGCTGCAAATCAATATTAATTTTTTGTTGCAATTTTTAAATTTGTCATTTTGAAAAAAATTACATATTTTTTGGAGTATTTATTATAAGTCGTCTCTATTACTCTCCGGTGGTTGAGAACACTAACGTTCGACGCATGCGCAATGGCTTAAAAGCGTCGCACAGCCGACAATCGCTGTCCTCGTCTGACAAATGATATATTTATATGATAATTAATAGAAAAAAATTAGCTTCAATTTGACATATAATTAATAAAAATAGGTTATAAACGTATAAATTTATCGAAATCATACCTGTTTACACCTGGCTGCAAAGAGGTGCGGCCAGGTGCGCAACGGCAACCGTGATTTTTTAGAATCTTCATATTAATAACCGTGATGTAGACGTTATTTTATTTAAAAAATAAATAAACGAAATTTTTTACCAAAAATCATTTAAAAATAATTTAATTAAAAATAATGGCGGCCAAATTTTGATAGGCACCCTAGTAAATAAGTATTCTCTGAATTATAAATAAACATAAAAATTTGGTTTTAAACAAAAAGTCGATGAGCACACCAATCCTGCAGCGGGATCTCGTACTATAATTGAACGACTAATTAAGCTAGTTGGCTGCGACATATATATATTAAGTGCTAACACGATAATACTATACAATAATTAAAAGCGTATTTCCAGCTCATATACCCTTGATGCAAGTATCGTCAGAGGCAGGTGGGTCATCGCGTCGTGCAGGGACACGCGGCGTCACAGTCGCCTCACAGCCGACGCTCGTAGCGCCCGCTAAACAGAACAACCCGTTTCTATGTCCAGGTTTTTTGTTATCACTTATTATATCACCAGGAGGTGGGCTGAGGTCTTGGGAATCATGGTTGAGCATAAATTTATGTGCAGCGATACCTACATTCTATGGCTGCCATCACCGCCGTGACGTCATACCCTGAAACCCGCTAACGCGTAATTATTCTATGCTAAAGATATATAGAACTTCTCAACCTTAGCCACTGGGGCCTTCAGGCCAGTCAGTGCTTAAACAGGTCGAGGATCTTCCCTTTAGGTTGGAGGAACTTTTCACCATATGTCCTTCACAGAGTAACTTACTCGTGCGGTGAAGGTAAACGGACATCGACGGCGTTTGTTTCATTAAACAAATGATAGCCATGTATTTCCATTTTTTTATAGAACACAGGGCAAAGGGATCACCTGATGTTAAGTGATACCCCCGCCCATGGACCCTCAATGCCAGAAGGCCTTGCGAGTGCGTTGCCGGCCTTATAAGAATTGGTACGCTCTTTTCTTGACGGACGGTGGTTGATAGTGGAACCACGGACGTCGAGGTCTTACGGGTTGAATTTCGTATTCTGCCTCGACGTCCAATGGTGACACTCAGTACGTATACCCCAGCGTTCAAACTCAAACTCAAACTCAAAATATCTTTATTCAAGTAGGTAACCAAGTACACTTTTGAATCGTCAAGTTAAATTAATCGTAAATTTACATTTACTACCAGTTCGCAAGTCAAGGGCGTAGAGCGGGTAAGAAGAACTGGCAAGAAACTTTCCGCCACTCTTTTTAATCGCCAAGTATTGTCATACAAATTGTTTGAACTGGAGCAATTCAATCCCAAGGATTAGGATCATTTAAGTAGTCCTCAAATTTATAAAAAGCTTTGTTGATTAATTTTCGTTTAACGAGGGCTTTGAATTTATTTAGTGATAATTCTCTAATTTCGCTTGGGAGCTTGTTGTAAAAACGAATACAATTTCCATATAAGGAGTGGTTTATCTTTTGGAGCCTGGTTGGTCGTACACTCAAATTAGTTCTATTTCGCGTATTATACTGGTGAAAGTCACCATTTGTTTTAAAATCGTTTATATTTTTTTGGACATACAACAAGGCTTCAAGAATATATTGACCAGATAGTGTCATAATATTTAATTCCTTAAACTTATTCCGTACCGACTCCCTCGGAGAAACACAACAAATACCCCGAACAGCCCGCTTCTGCAGCACAAATATGGATTGAACCTCTGCAGCAGCACCCCACAGTAAAATGCCGTACGACATAACGCTATGAAAGTAGCTATGGTACACAATTTTAGCCGTGTCCTCATCAGTAAACTGTCGGATTTTCTTTACTGCATATGCTGCAGAGCTCAGCCTATTCGAAAGAGTCTCTATGTGTGGGCCCCATTGGAGTTTACTATCTATTGTTATGCCTAGAAAAACAGTTTTGTCAACAAAGTTTAGTTCACTGTCCTTAATTTTCAGGTTACCAATATCTCGCTTTACGCTAGTAGTTGTAAATCTAATACATTTTGTTTTATTCTCATTAAGCAATAAGTTATTTACATTAAACCAGTTAACTATACGAGAGATAGAATTGTTTACATCGTCCAATAATACGTTATTCCTATTCACTTTAAATAGAAGTGAAGTGTCATCAGCAAACAATACCATCTCATGAACTTCGTTGACAAAGAATGGGAGGTCATTTATGTAAATCAGAAATAAGAAAGGCCCGAGAATCGATCCTTGGGGGACGCCCATTGATACCTGCGAACCCGGAGAGGTGACTCCATTGACATGAACTCTTTGGATCCTTCCCTTTAAATATGAATTCATCAGGCTGGAAGCTTTGCCATCAACGCCATAGTGTTGAAGCTTTCCAACGAGTATATCAGGATGAACACAGTCAAAGGCCTTTGACAGGTCACAAAAGACGCCGACTCCATCATATGATTCTTCCCAGGCGTTAAATATGTCCGAAATCAACTTCACACCGGCATCGATTGTGGAGCGACCCTTAGTGAAACCATACTGTTTATTATGTAAGAGTTTATTTTTATTAAAATGTAAAGAAAGCTGGTCTAGCATTATCTTTTCAAAAACTTTGCTCAACGCAGGAGCACGGAAACAGGTCTGAAGTTTGACGGATCAGACTCACTACCGGCCTTGAACAACGGTGTAATCTTACTTAATTTCATTTCGTCCGGAAAGACTCCACAATCGATACATCTGTTAAAAATTATAGACAATTCAGAGCTTATTACATTAATAACGGAATTTAAAATGACTGTTGACATACCCCATATATCTTTACTTTTTTTAAATTAATAAGCTTAAAAGTTTTAACGATATCATTACAAGTTATATGTTTAAACTGAAATTTAATATTACATTCAGGTACACATTTTTCTAGCAATGAGATCGCAGCAGCAGGTGAAGAATCTAGGGACTTGGTCGTATTTAGTGGTACATTTGTAAAGAACTCTTCAAAAGAAGAAGCTACCTCTGGGTCAGATTTTATTAACTTCCCTTTAACTTTTAACATATAATCAGTTCGTTTGTCAGACGTTTTACCTGATTCTTCATTTATTATTTTCCAGGTAGCTTTTACTTTATCCATGCTATTTTTTATTTTTGAACTTAAATATTGAGACTTTGCAGTTTTGCAATCTTTTTTGAAATTATTTGAATACAACCTAACATATTCCCTAAATTCCACACTAGTGTTATATTGCATTTCGTCATAGATTTCATATAATTTTAACCTTTTCCTGTGTAACTCCTCATTTGCCCAGTCACAGAAACTTGTTTTCTCAGAGACCAATAAAGTCTTTTGAGTAAATACTTTCTTGAATTCATCAATAAATGATCCAAAAAAAGTATTGTATAAATTATTAGGGGATGAGTTGCCACACAGAAATGGCATTCTATAGACCAATGCTTCTCTAAATCTGTCCAAACGGTCATTTGTAATAGGAGTTATCACAATTTTCTTCTTTTTACATGTTTTTTGTTTCCTTAATTGGAATTCAAACCATTGACCAGTGTGATCAGATTTAAATCTATTGAAAATACAAACATTCAAAGGGGCTATGTCACTATATATATTATCTATACAAGTTGCGGTGCTAGCTGTTATTCTTGTGGGTGAATGAAATTGATTTATTAAATTGTATGAACGAAAAAGACTAAGTATGCGTACACTTGAATTAGAATGACAAAGTAAATTGACATTAAAGTCCCCACACACAATTAGCCCTTTATTACACTTTACTAATTTACACAATATCTCCTCTAATACATTTTCAACATTATTATAGACAGCTGATGGAGGACAATATAGACATACAACAATGAATTGCTCCAGTTCCACACAGGAGATTTCAATAGTTAGTTCTACAGAGAGGCTGATAATATCCTTTCTTTCTTTGCATTTAAGTTTTTTACTTATTAGGATTAATGAGCCACCATGAATTGCATTTTCTCTGCAAAACACACTACCAACCCTGTGGTTACAAAAATTAAACAAAACTTCATATTTTTTTAACCAGTGCTCTGTTATGCACAAAAAGTCTATTTTTTGACTATTCAAGAATAGTTCAATTTCTAATTCTTTATTTTTCATCCCCTGTATATTTTGATGAACCACAATAATTTTTTGGGAATGAATTTTATCACATAATATACTTACCTTATTATTGCAAGAGTGGTGCTCTGTTGTCCTATTATCTAATTTAAATAAATATTATTTGGAATTTCTTCCAAGGTCTTATAATCTAATGCTTGCTCAATAGAAGCAAGGGGTCTAGCCAAATTCTTGGCTGTCATCTCTATAAAATATGATAGCGAAACAGCTATCTGTCTTTTTAAGAAAGCAGGTAGGTAAGTAAGTACGTTCACGGGTTTAAGGTGGGAACATGCTTCATCCCATAGGCTGGACGCTTCGTTTTATATTTTATTCCTTGACGGAGTGATTAGAATTAGGATCCTAACGATATTATAAACAGTTCAAAAAAGTTTTTTTCCGCAGTCGGCCACCCCTTGGAGATAGAACCAATGCAAGTTCTGACAGGCCTAAACGAATACATGCACATATTTGTGCCTCCCGAAAAGAAGAAACTATACGATATATTGTGAGTTTTTTTCTAATTAAAATATGTAAAAATAGTTATTACTGTTTTCACGGAATGTCATAAATTACAAATGAATGTTATGTCAACTGTTACAAAAAATAACCTCTTCAAAGTCCTCACTCTATTTGAAGTGAGTTTCAGAGTCGAGTTAGCGCGAAGCTTGACTCTCGTATGATTGGTACTTTGAAGGTGAAAAATTTATTAGATTTTACATTTATCAATTTTACCCCTAAAGAGTTACGTAGGTATATCACAGTTACAAAATTACCATAAACAACTGTTCTCCATAAATAATAATCTCCGTTAATGTTAAAATAGTACGGTTTATATCAGACGATTCTTGATAAAAAATGGATCTTGACTGGCTTTGTAACTTCGCACCTAAAGTGCAAGTTACAAAGCCAGTCAGATGTAAAAAAAAACAAAACTAAAACTTGCTTTAAATATAGAAAATTTATGTAATTGATTCATTCTCTGAAATGTTCTGTTCTATAGATAATTGAATATCTATCGATTTGTTACAATTACTGTCGTAAAACTCTTTGTTAAATAAACAATAATCCGTCTATTTAGTTTGTGATTTATTAATTTGTAAATAAGGGCTTTCGTCTTTGTTTCACGAGAGTAAACGTAACAGATCACAAAATGAGGATTACGTTTCATTGTTTTAGAGACAATTTGAAACCCCCGGATTTTACGACTCCATCAAGAAAACTAAAACCAGAGGACATAGTCCAGTATTGGACTCAGTGGAAGGATATTGTTTCGTCAGAGAAGGAACGGTTCTGGGACGGAATTCTTACAGGACTCAATAATTATCTCAATGTTTTACAAGGTACGTTGGACACCTATGTACAGATACCGGCAAACATCTTGAACATTAAACAAGAGAGTGGGGGAAAATTTGCGCATCGCGGGACACAAACGCCAACTGATTTATCAATCATGCGATCGACACGTCACTCTCCTGCAGCCGCGCACCACCGCCCGCCGTGTCCCCCTCCCAGTGGTACCTAAAAATCGTTTCTGCGCAGGCAAGGACGTTGGTTCAAGATGTTTGCCGGTATCTATATCCTTTGTTGGCTATAATTGCCGGTATCTATATTTTGAAATTGTAATCACATTTCTACCACGGCACTACCTGGAACGTCTTTTATTTATAATAATAAATTTATAAATTTTACGTCAAGATTTAATTTTAAAGTATAATATATTTTGAATTCTAATTATTAGTGCAGTAAGTACATAGCCCCGCAATTCAAATCTTGGAAGAGATGGTTAAGTTTCATTCAAATGTGTATCTTACCTAATATACGTACTTATATTAAAAAATAAATTTAAGAACGTTTTACATTAATCTATACATAAATCATCAAAGAAATATATAAGGGAATATCTAATATAACTTTGAAATTGTAGAACGCGATCGTATTCACGAAGAGGTTGTACATTTACGTCGTCGGAACGCAGCGTTACGACGGCTTGCGCGGGGAGCTTTACCGGAACTTCCGGGCGCGAAGCCACGATATTTACAGGCTGCTTTACCAAGCTTCACCGCTGCCGCTGAAGACATCACACAAATATCTACTCTACCACCTATTTGACGTTTTGGCGATATTTAATTAGCAAAAATTTACTAGATAAATCATTATTATCTAACTATTAATTTATTGAAATATTTGGGATATTTTGTAATCACCAAAAATATTAATAATAATATAACGTGTAATGAATTGTGTCTTTTATTTTCTATAAATTACACAAAACGCGTCATATGCAATAACATTTAAGTTTACTTATAGTTTTATTAAATCTATACTGATTCCAGAACAGCATGGGTTTGATGAGGTTTAAGTTTCTATTTAGTTTTAGTTATTTTTTATTTTTATTTTGTGGTTGCTTGTTGAATTTTATCCCTCGCTATTCTAGCTTGCTTATGTTCTAATATAATTGATGACGTATGTGTGTAAAATATGTGATGTCATATTTTCTTGTATAATTTTATGGAAGCACGTTGTTTTATAAATAAAAGACAAGAGCTCATATTCAAGACATGGGTCTAACCAAACCAATTATTTATTTCCTTCAACGTATACTAAATTGGAAAAACCATCATCTCTATTTCTCGTATATTTACTCTATCTTTTCCTATAAGCGCATTAAAAATAATCTTAAATATTATTATTATTCGCTTATTTGAACGCTTAAGTAGTGAAAGCACTAAGTACAAAATTGAATTTAAGCTGTGGTGAGAAGTGTCAAACTTTAGTTTAATCGATGCAATTAGATTAAGTTTTATATTTTATGAATAAGCCTACCTACTGTTCACTCTTAACTTCTTAAGAATACTAAAAGGAGAAAACATAATGTAACTTTTGAAACAATGGTGCCGATATCAGCTTTCGGTGTTCATTTAACGCTGGTAACCCGACGTTGGGGCTTTTCGTTTAAGTCGGGGCTTGAAACAAAATGACTTTAACCGTGATTCACTATAATACCGCCAAAGGAATATGTATGAGTATGACATTAGCTCACGTTTTTCGTTTGTCGTTAGTGGGTTACGCCTGACTCGAAGTTTTTCGCTCAAGTCTCCGCTCTATAGACTACGTTTTTTGTCTACAATTATTATTATCTGCATTATCTTTGAACATGCCTAATAGTCGAATACAGCTGGGGGGGTAATACCACTAGCTTACTTAGCTCCTTAAATATTCTACACTTTTAAGCAAAGACTAATAATTTTGTGTAAGCATTACAATTTGTTAAGATTTTTTTGAATCATCATGTCATAATCTACATCCGATATCCATGGCATTGACGAATGTGGTCTGTGAATTATGATGCACATCAGATGACAGAGGATTTGTCTTGTTTTTTTTGGGCGGGAACTCCAAAAAGAGCGCGCGTATATTTTAAGTTTTTATTAATTTTATTTTAAATTATAGTTATTTTAGCTTAAAATTTAGTGAAAATATCAGAATTTAGAGGTGGTGTCTGTTAGAAATGGAGGGTAACGAGGGGGGCGGGGATAACCCGCCCACCTCAAATAAACGTCCTCGCGTGGAGGATCGTGGTGGTGACTCCAAGGAGGACTCTAGCGTTGGCGGTGGCGGTGAGCGAAAAGACTCCTATTTACCGTTTTTCAAACCTAATTATAAAAGACTTTATCCCGAAAACTCAGTTAACACTGACTTTAAAGTATTTGTTGAATCTACCAATAAGGATAGACTGGGCAACAAGAGCCCCATATATTTAAATCACATTTTTTCGACTGAAATTAAAGGTGTGACGGCAATTCAAAGAGTGAATGCCAGTAAAATTGCAGTTATATTTAAACAATATAATACGGCAAATAACTTTATCAACAATGCATCATTCTTAAAAAAATACGACATGAAAGCTTCCATTCCTGCTGCGCAGATAGAAAAGACAGGAATCATAAGATTCGTTCCCACTAATATTTCAAATAAAGAGTTGTACAGTAGGCTAACGTCAATTTATGAAATTATTGCAATCAGAAGATTCACAAAAAAGTAGGTCATGAATATGTTCCGTTACAAACTGTTAGCATTACTTTTTTGTCCAATATTTTACCTGATAATATTCAATATGATTTATTCTCTTACAGAGTTTTTGAATATATTCCACCGTTACAGCAATGTTTCAAATGTTTCAAGTTTAACCATTCAGCAAAAATCTGTAATGGTAAACAAAAATGTTCAATTTGTGGAGGTGAGCACTTATATAAGGAATGCGACAAGCCAACTGAAATCTGTTGTGTTAATTGCAGCGGACCTCATCTAGCTATTTCAAAAGTATGTCCAATTAAAATGAAGAAAATTATGGAAAAAAAGACTAAAATTACTTATGCAAGTGCTACCTTAACTAAACAAATAAATAACAATGACTTTCCACCACTACCAACATCGAAAACACCTGTATATAATAATGTAAATAAATCTGTATATAAATCTGTAAATAAGCCTGTAAATAAGCCTGTATATAATTCTGTAAATAATCCTGTAAATACACATATAGATAATGTAAATAAACAACAAGACATTAAAAAATCAAATTGTCTCTAACAATGATGTACTTATGGCCCTTGTACAGACATTGGTGGAGCTAGGCAATAAGGGTGATAATTCACCTACTACAGTGAAAACAATTAGGGATATCTTAATTAAAAATCTAAAATAATGGATCTAGGTCCTACACAGTCTAAGCTACGTATTGCTCAATACAACATTCAAAGTGCCAATAGTAAAAGACCCCTGCTTATTCAATTCTTGAAACAACAAAACATTGATATATGCCTACTTAACGAAACGTGGTTCAAAGATAACACATTTAAAATACCAGGTTACAATATTTATAATAAAAATTCAAAGAATAGTCATAATGGTGTGGCAATATTAATTAAACCATACCTCAAGTACAATATTATTAACACTAGATTCTATGAGGACATTCAAACTGCTGCTCTGAATCTATCAACAGTAAGCGGTAATTTGACTGTTCTTTGTGTTTACTGTCCACCTACTAGTCGTCATATCAGATTAAATAGATTACATAGTATAATTAATAATCTTCCAAAACCAATATTTGTAAGTGGTGACTTTAATGCTCACCATATAGCATTTGGTTGTTTATCTAGTAAGAGTCGAGGCCACAGCTTATTTAATATTATTGATGACTTAGATTTATGCATTTTGAATGATGGTAGTTTTACAACTGTCAACCAGACGAAATCCTTCTGCTATTGATGTTAGCTTCATCAGTGCTAGTCTTGCATCTATGTGTGAATGGTCTGTACATGACGATGCCATGGGTAGTTATCATTACCCTACAATAACAGAAATATCCTTAACTATTGATAAATATCACATTGGTTCACCAGTAGACAGATTTTTATATAAAAAGGCAGATTGGACTAAATACAACACTCTTTCCAGAACAGTTTTCAATAATTTTATCATAAATTTTGATGACCCTATATTAACTTATAGTGCTTTCTGCTCTTGTTTGGATACATTAAAAACTATGACAATACCTAAACTTTCAAAATCAAACAGTTTCAAAAGTAGATTGCCAACACCCTGGTGGAATGATATTTGTGAACAAAGTGTCATTGCATCTTATAATGCTTTAAAATTATATAGAAATGTACCATCCATAGAGAATTATATTAACTATAAAAGAAAGGATGCACAGAAAAAAAGAACAATAGCAGAGCAAAAAAAATTGGTTGGAATAATCTAACTAATACTTTCAGTAGAACAACACCCATTAGTAAGATTTGGAATTTACTTAAAATGTTTAAACGTGTTAAAACTGGCAATAGGTCATGTAGAGATGAATTCATTCCAGCCTTTTTTAGATAACATAACAGATAATAGTAATTTAAGTGAGACTAGTAACCTGAATATTTATTTTAACTTAAATAATGACAATCAAAATTCTAAATTTTTACTTGAACCCTTTACTTGGTCAGAATTTGCAATAAGTTTACAATTTAGACGTAATACAACACCTGGTATGGATGACTACCCTTATCTATTGATTAAAAATTTGGATGAATCGGCTCAAAAAATATTTCTAAACATTCTCAATCTTCTTTGGCTTAACAACTATATCCCACAGGCATGGAAAACACAGTGTGTTATTCCAATACTTAAACCAGACAAAGCACCAGAACTTGCTAGCTCATATAGACCAATATCTTTATCTTCATGTCTTGGCAAAATTTTTGAATCAATGTTAAAAGTCCGTCTTGACTGGTATGTTGAAGCTAATCACATCATTCCCAATGTCCAGTATGGCTTTAGACGAGGGCGAAGCTGTGCTGATAGTTTCATCTCTTTAATTTCTGATCTGAAACATGGGAAGGAAAATAATTTACATACTGTTTGTATATTCCTTGATGTTCAAGGTGCCTTTGACAGTATAGATCCTGGTATACTTGTGAAAGTTATGTCAGGGCTGGCAATACCGGGACAACTCTGTAAATGGATTTATAACTTCTTAAATGAAAGGACAGTGTATGTAAAACACAATAATATATTATATGGTCCAAAATCTGCCTCGAGAGGCACAATGCAAGGTGCTACCTTATCCCCTTTATTGTATAATATTTACACTAGTGAAATTTGCAACTTCTTAGACAATGTAAACAATAATGTAAATGTTTTACAATGTGCTGATGACATCATTTTGTACAGTAGTAACTATAATTTACAAGTAGCAATAGACAGTATTAATGTAGCTTTATCCCAATTGTTTTATTATTATAATGACTTTTTACATTTAAAAATTAACCCATCCAAGAGCAATGTTATGATATTCAGCAAGGATACACCAATCTATAATGTTATTTATAATGGTGAAATTATAAACAAGGTAACCAGTAAGAAATTTTTAGGAATAGTAATAGATCAGAAATTAAATTTTGAATCACATATTAAACATATTTCCAAAAATGCTTTAAGAGGTCTTAATATTATGAAATGTCTTGCTGGAGTATCATGGGGTGCAGACCCCAAAATACTATCTTTAATATACAAATCGATTGTCAGAAGTCATTTTGATTATAGCTCCTTAGCTTATTTAAATAGTCCACATGTAAATAAACTTGATTTATTACAGAACAAGGCTTTGAGAATAATATCTGGTGCAATGTGCTCAACTCCCATAAGGGCCATGGAAGTTGAGACAAAAGTTATGCCATTAATATTAAGACGACTCTTACTTGCACACAGGTACTGTCTCAAATTACTATCTTCTAATAATATGCAAATAGTTAAAAAGATTGCACCATACCTAGACATTACTCCTTCTTCATTATTAACTGGAATAACTCTTCTCAATAAATATACACCACCTTTGTCCACAATATATCTGGAAATAAATAATAAGTATAAAAAGACCAGAAAACAGTCCCTTTGGCCATGTTACTTTAGCAGCTATCACTCCATTTCACATCCAGTAAATATTATCTCAAGTACAATTAATAATAATTCTGATATGATGCAATTCTTGTCACAAAATATTAGATATTACACTATATATACTGATGGCAGCAAAGGAAATAATCACGTTCATGCAGCCTTTTATGATTCAAATGTCAAGTTTTCTCAAAGCTTTGTTTTGAATAGATCTTGTTCCATTTTTACTGCAGAGGCTTATGCCGTTTATCAGGCTTTACTGCAAATTAGTGTAATTAATAACTATAAATACTTTTTAATAATAACGGATTCTTTAAGTCTGATAAAGAGTCTAAGTAATGTTTCTGTAAAATATAAAACCAACTATATTTTGTATATTATAAAAGACCTATTGTTTAAATATCATCTTAAGAATGTAAATATATATTTTATGTGGGTGCCTTCACATAAAGGCATAACCGGCAATGAAAAAGCTGACAAAGCTGCATGTGAGGCTATAAACAGTATTGACGTTACAGACTCAGTATCCGTTCCTTTTACTGATTATTTTCTAAATATTAAGGAAAACATTTACACTCTGTGGACAGAAATGTGGAAGAAAGACCAGGAAAACAAGGGAAAGTGGTATGGAAGTATCCAAGATAACATACCTGTTAAACCTTGGTATGACAAATTGAAATCTAGTGAAAGTAGAGATTTCATTACAACAATAAACAGATTGAGATTTGGTCATAATATTGCGCCGTCACACCTAGCAAGACTTGGGATTGTTTCAAACAATCAATGTAATCATTGTCAAGCAGAAGAAGGAACGATCCACCACATTATTTTTGATTGCCAAAGTTTTCTCATTCAAAGACTTGTGCTGGCTAGTGAACTTAGTGTTACCAATGCATATAAGTGTGTTTCTTCCTCCCGCCCGCCGCTCCTCAACGTTTTACTAAAAGATCCAACATCCTATAAACCTATTTATAATTACTTAAAAAATACAATTCAAACAATTTAAGTGATGAAATTTAGTGAAGTGAAGTTAGTGTCGCCAAATTATATGAACATACATATTCCAAATAAGTCATGACTTAAAGGTCTTTGTTACCAGGTCATAAAATTAAAAAAAAAAAAAAAAATCAGATGACAGATCACAGATGTCACATTCAGAATTCGTGTAATATTAGGGAGGGATAATCGCGTGCCGTGCTCCTAAAAATTATAGTTTTTATTAATTATTTTAAAACCAAATCATAATTTTCGACTTTTTTTTACTGAATTTCAATAAATTTTCGGTTTATAAATTACATAATATTGCATATCAGATATCGTTTATAACTCTTCAATTTTATAAAACGGTAAGTGCTTAAAATACTTATCTGTATGTAATTATACCATAAACATTTAAGTATTGTACGTATATATTTTTATTATTACAGAATTCAATATGTGGAAATTATTATTCCATCTAATTGGAGCTATACAGTTTTCGTATGGCTGCTATTATGACTTCATGTATGTGAGGATACCAAGCACTTCTACTGCTGTAACTCCCTATGGTGGGAAGTTGAAATATTTAACTTATTTAAATGCTGTAAGTATTTAATTTTTAAAAAAGTATATTTTTTTCATATCATAATTATTCCTTATCTATTTTCAGATGCTCCAAACAGCATATTTCACTGTGGCACTATTAAATGATATAATAGGAACAGATGAACCTATGCCGGCCAATAAACCTTTTATAAGGCGAATGAAGGATGCTATTTTCAGTGCCTTAGCATTTCCATTATCTATGTTTGTAGGTATTACCTTCTGGGGTATTTATGCTGTTGACAGAGAACTGATTTTACCAAAAGCGATTGATGCTTATTTCCCACTGTGGTTAAACCATGTTATGCATTCCAATATTGTTGTGTTTGTGTTAATTGAACTTGTTTCTACATTCAGAATGTATCCTAAGAGGAAAGTAGGACTGTCTATACTTACACTTTTCATGTTAGGATATGCTATTTGGATTCATACTATCTATTTTAAGACCGGGAGCTGGGTCTACCCAGTGCTATCTGTAATTAATTGGCCTGTTAGAGTACTTTTCTACATCTTCAGTCTTGGATTTGCTTGGTCACTGTATTCAGTTGGTGAAACCTTGAATACGGCTGTTTGGTCAAAGGAAGTAGAATCCACTGTTAGGTCTGGTAAGAAGAAGGCCAAATAAATTAGTACTCATTGCAGTTTTAGCTTTTGCTTACTTAAATTAGCTTTATATTATTGTAATTTATTGGGTTATGGTGGGGTGTTGTAAAATTGTGCTGTGTTAAGATAATTATTTATTGATAATATTTATTTCTGACAAGTAACTAAATTTACAACCAGTGAATGGACATAATTACATTTTGTAATAACAATACTCTAGATTTATTCCTTTTTTAATTTAATTTAATTCCTTAATGTTTTCATAAAACGTGAAGGTCAAAAAAAATTACTTTTTGTAGTCATCTATTGTCACAAATTATATTTTTTATTTCTGTGGAATGTAAATTTATTTTTTCTTTAGAAAGTTTACAAGCACAATTACGCATAATGGCATTTTTGAAGGAGAATATGTAGTGAAAGTGTATGCACTGCAAACTAGTGTTCAAATATTGTGTAGTGTGCCCCATTCCGAAATGGGCAATTACGTAATTTTTAAATAGTTATGCTAGACCATGTGCTATCTAAAGCAATAAATTTTGATACAAGTACAATCTTTTATTTTCAACTACAACAAAAAACACTCATTAAATTTACATATTTAATTTGGTGCTTGACAATATAATGATGTAAATTTAATTGAACAATGCATAATTATCAATAAACATTCAGTATAAAATTAAATATAAAAAGCAAACTTAATTAAACGACTAGATAAACGATAATTAAACGATATTCGTGCAGAAACGATTATTTCAAAATGTCTCATAAAGGCAGACGTTGAATCGTTTTTCACAAAAGAGGAACTAATTATATCTGAAAAGGTTATATTCCGAAATGAAACTCAGCGCGAACTTTGACCTCAGCTCCATATGTCAAACAACTAAACTTTTTTGAAATACGCTGAGGCCTGTTGAGGGAATAATTATTTAAATTAAGTAGTGCTCGACGACCGGTTTACTTATCTTAATACAACAAACAATTGCGCAAGTCATCTATTGAACTGGGGTATTTGTACTTATGAAATATGAGCAAAATTCATGGAATATAAACATTGTGGTTACTGCCTTAGTTTATTACACACTAAAAACGGGCTACTCAGCTTTACGTAAAATAAATACATCTAATGACAGAATTTTAATTTCAAAGATACTTGGACAATCCAGCATTTATATTTAAATATTGACGCATTTTCCTCAAGTGCAATGTTTTAATATTTACCTGTTTTTGTTTATAACACTTAGACAAATACGAAAAAATACACTAATTTAATTCTAGGTTGAGTTACATGTAACAAATCTCTTTTATTGTCTTAAAAGCATTGTTCTAAATATTAATCATGAATCTGTAGGTACCATAGAGCTGTACTGTAGGGAAATAATTGGAAAGACCACAATTTATCTTTGTAAAACTACAATTCAAACGCTACTTTAGTTTTTTTTACGCCTTCCAGTAAGTTCTAAAAAAATCTTATTCTATGTTCCATAGACAAAGATGAAGCCGTTATACAATTGCCAGTTTTAAACACGAGTTATATACAAATTTATCTTATATAAATAAAAGTATATGTAAGCATTTCAAATAATACTGCATAAAATACAAGTTTATGATTCTTTCTGTTAAATATTCTTACATTAGCATTGTCTTTAAATTAATATTTTAAAAATAAAAATGAATATATATATTTATCCGAAATTTCAACTAATACCAAATAATAGATAAAATACATTAATTAATAGCTTAATCCTATATTGGTGGACAGTTTCGCGCCAAAAAATTTACAGTTGTCACATTAACGCGCTAACGTCATTTCTATTTTTTCCTTCAAGTCCCACTAAAAGCTAACTTATATATAAATATATAACCTTAAGATCATCCTAACCTATTTATTATGCCATATTTTTTATTGAGATGACATTTGCGACTCCAAAGCAGACGTAATTATATAACACATTTAAAATCACACTTCTCAAAAATATTTTTTTCCACATTAATTACTGGCAACACTGAATTATTGAAAAAACTATTTGCAAATTTTAAGACTGGCATGTTCCTAGTTCTAGGCAGACAATAGCAATTTTCGATACGCGTGATACGCAGTCGCAAAGAAAATCCACGAAAGAGTAAAGTCACGTTTGTTTAGGTGACCAAATAATACCGTGAAATTTAATCGTCTAGGCTGTCTTATAAATAAGCTTGGACGCCTTAATTTATTTTCCAATTTAGCTATTACAAGCATAGTAGACACATTTAAATATTTTTTTTATATACATAATACTTTTTTTTGTCTAGCAAACACTAAATTGATTTTCTTAAGTGTAATTTCATTTGACAATTTGATTGTATCCTTTTGACATTAACCATTGGACAACTATCCACGTAATGACAGCGAGCTTACCTGACAGGTGTCACGTGGTCTGTGCATATGTAAGGTATAATCGTGGAACGAGGCCACAAAGCGTCGGAGCTACGTTTTAATGCGACGTGCCACCTTGACACTGTTCTTCCAGCCGTTGGATTGCGCGTCGCCATTAATGGCGCGTGTGAATGACGTCATTTTATTTTTTGTCTCGTACAACACGTCGGAATCCGTGTCCGACTCGGATAGGTCGTTTGCAACTAAAAAGTCAAATAAGTAGGAATGAGAAACAATTGTCATATTAAAAACTTAATCCTTAAGCTTAGGTTTCCTAGAAAAGCGGTGCCGTTCACTAACGGCCGTCATTTTACGGTTGTGAATAACGCCCGCTTTACTTTTTAACATAATGCAAAAAAACATCATTTTCGCTCGTCCAAGTCACGTTTCCACTCATTGTATTAATTAAATATGGGCACCGCGAAAAACGTTGAACTAATGTTTATCACCGCTACGACGGCCGTCATGCAAATGACAGCACCACTATTTGACGTTACGGCGACACTCGACGTTCTCTTGGAAACCTACTCCGAAGTTATTTATAGAAAACGTATGGGTGACGTCACCCAACGCTACATTACGGCCGTTAGATAACACCGCTTTTCTAGGAAACCTAAGCTTAAGAAAGATTTAATATTATATAACAAACGAAATCTATTTCACGATTCATTTATTTGATATCTCGTCAATTCTAATCACGCTGCATTGGTTCCTGGTGTAAATTCCATAAATCTTAATTTATCAGTAATAATTAGCTTTATATATCATAGAGCAAAACAGAGATTGAGTGACTAAAAACACCTCAATAAAATTAATTAAGGGAAAAACCATAAAAAATAAACTCGTCAATGGTATCGAACTTATTTTATTTATGACTTCGCACGTTTAACCAAACTGTATGTAAATACATACGTATAGATACTAGAACTAAATTAAATAAAACTCACGTGGTTTTTGTTCGTGATCGGCGTGGGGTAAGGGCCGGTACGTACGTTGTCTAGGTTTGCGAGGCGCGCACAGTTTACGTGCGACGCGTGAACATGCCCAACCCGCGCCGCACAACGCGCATAACACGCCAACGCCCCCAACGCTCGCGTATACCACGGACCAATCTGTACATTAGGATAAGTTTACTTAATTTCTAGTTACCATCGAAAAGTTTTTAATAATAAATGTTCCTATCCAAATCAGATGACCGAAAAGCCAAATATAATGTTTAAAAATGCATTGAAAATCTAATAAACCGCCTTCAAATCGAAATACTAGTTTAATTTAGTATATTTTTTTCTTTGGTCTTATATCAATAAAATGTATACCATAAGCAACACAAAAATATTAAAAATTTGTACGTATATATTGCAGCGTTTATTTAATTATATAATGTAAAATATATAATTTGACATAATTACACAAAGGCTTAAACACTATTTAATTTTTTAAGCGAAATCCGCTATTTAAAGGCGTCTTAAAACAAACAAAAACGTACCACAATCAGGCATAGCATCCGCCTGCAACTGAGCAAACAAACTCTGCATCCAAAAAGCGTCACAACGGCACGTGCGCGTCGACTGATCGCACACTCCGCGTCCCGAGCACGTACTAAGACAGCGTACGGGACGTACACGCGCCGCACCGCTTGATATTGCAGCTGGGCGTGATAATGCTAAGGCACGAATACCGTCTATTGCCTCGCCCTGGCAAGAAGTAATATACATTGTAGTCCCTTATTCACAACAAAACTAATTACAAATTATTGGTCATAAAGAAAATAACAATAAATTACGAAGAAACATGATTACGAAAACAGACAGACTTCTGAATCTCTTGTCATTGATTTTGATATAAAAACTTTTTGCATTGCTTTTCACAAAAAAAGATCCTAAAAAATCAAATAACGTTTACCCGCGTATTCGTTCATCAGGGAAGTATTAATATTATGTTTAGCTGTCATAAATATGGGGCTACACGACAAAAATAAAATATATTAATATTATTATGAAAAATCACTGTTATGGTTTGGAAGATTATGTAAACTATTCGCTAGTAAGTTGTTAAAATATACTTGAGAAGATTCTAAACGTCTGATTTCGTTAATTTAATTTTTATTTCTTCAAGTTGGCATGTGAAACGTACACCACTTTGTCCTACAAATATTTTGCAGAAAATACTTGAAGGATTTTTAACATAAATATTTTCTAGATAATTCCCCGAATATTTTCTCGTCGGAGGTATTAACTTACGTATATGTACAAATTAAGTAAATGGTATTGGAAACACGGACGATTTAGTTTTTTGTATAACATTTACAGCGAATTCCAAAAAGATGCCTCTTAATCTATTGTTTAACATTATTTATTTTTAAATTAAAAAAAAATACTTGGATGATTAAAGAGTAGCAGATCTTGTCAGTTCGCCTGAACTGCTTAAGATAAATATTTACTGAGACTCATTTAATTAATTTAAAATTAATGACCAAAATAAAAATTAATTACCTTTTCCGATAAGAAGAAAATAATCTGCGTATTCCCCGAATCGACTTCTCCCCTTATCTCCGTGACGTTGACCTTTACATCATCTTTGAGGAGAAGCATCATCTTTTGCAGAAGAGAATCCAACTGGTTCTTGGTAAATGTTGATATCGGTGTGTGGACTTCCATTTCTAGAAGTTTCATCTCGAGAGGGTCCGGTTTGACTTGAACACTCACTGTGTCCCGACTTGACTCTCCTTGGTCATCTGTCACTGTCAATTCGAAGATATATCTGCCGGCTTCTATGTTTGTGAGCTGAAATGGGAGTCAATTTGAAGACGATGCCAAGGTCTTTAGAAATTATATTTAAATTTTGGGCACAAAATTTTGGGAATTCGTAAGGAACCATTTTCAGGGAATTTACTTCTACGTTTTTGATGACAAACTATAGATTGACAAAACTCAGTTCCACTTCGATCAATTTGGAAGGTTTAGAGTTATAAAAAATAAAAATAAATCAGTGGCGCTACAACCTTTTTTTTAGGTCTGGCCCTCAGATTTCGGTATCTGTTTCATGATCATTTGTTAATCTAATAGGCAAGTAGGTGATCAGCCTCCTGTGCCTGACGCACGCCGTCGACTTTTTGGGTCTAAGGCAAGCCGGTTTCCTCACCATGTTCTCCTTCACCGTTCGAGCGAATGTTAAATGCGCACATAGAAAGTCCATTGGTGTACAGCCGGGGATCGAACCTACGACCTCAGGGATGATAGTCGCACGCTGAAGCCAATAGGCTAACACTGCTCCATATTATATAAGTTATATAATAAATAGTTAAGTACTTTTTCAATATCGTCACCAATTAATACATAATATGAAATATCCATGAAGATTGTTAAATTAATTTGTAATATTATTATTTTTTACTTTTACCATCGTGACTTACCACCATTCCTCATTTCCTGAAACAAAAGAAGTTCTAACCAAGACTCTATAGACTTACCATCAAAACAGACTCTTTATCAGAATCAAGTATAACTGTTCCAGCCGCTAGTCCTGAGCTAAGTCTGGTCCACTTCCAAGACACTATGCGGAAGTCATCCGAAGATTTCGAGCCGTTTAGTATTAACACTGGCAAGGGCAAGTTCAGAACCTGGTCACCACCCGCGTCTGCCTTTGGTGGGCTGTTTTTGTCTAGAATATTAATATTTTATTTATTCATATCACATACGATTTCATGTTACAGAAAATACAGCTTCAATTCTTTTATAATTTTCGTAGATAGAGTATAGAACTAGATGAGCTTCTAAAATAACAATAATAACTAAAGAGAGAAGGCATTAACGTGAAATACTTAAGTGCGAGCGAAACAGAGTACTTATAAGTTTTTCTGTCTCTATTTGCGTATCGGGTTTTATTTGTTTACCACCGAGCCCTTGGTGTAGCCTTTTCACTACTTACTGATAAATCTGTGAAACCCAAGTCAAACCCATATTTTAAGACTTTATCCTTATAAGAGGTGCATTTAAAGTGTCAGTCATGGTGAATTGTTGCATAATTGGCTGTAAAAGCTATAGTGAACGTAAAGAACCAAACATAACCTTTCATCGGTAAGTAGCTTATTTTGTATAACTTTGTTCAAGAATTATTCATTCGAATATGTATTTTGGTCAATAATAAGCAATCTTCAATGAATTAAAACTGTAAATACGACATATGTCGATCATTCGCTATCTCACATGCTGTTCCCATCGCATAAATGAAGTAATATGTTCGGTATTTAACACTTTAAAATGTAAAAAAGACACTTTTGTATTATTTTTGAAGTGAAAACTTCTTTAGCGGCGTTGTACACTTTTTTTGGAATGGGTAAAAACTGTTAAACTCGCGTCAGGACAAATTCGTAAGACGGATGTTTTTTAAAGGATTATGAACCTGATTATAGTTACGGTTTTAATTCCTTTGTCTCTTTCCTCAGATACATTGATGCATGTGGAATTGCACCTTAAGTCAATATGTCAAGGTTTAATTTTGCGAAACGTCTTAAGCTTTATTACTAACGATTTGGTCAGACTGACGACGGATGGAGAGTAGACAGCTGGCGCGGCGTATTTAATGTAATATAAACTGTCATGTTTTTGTACGATAGCGCAATAAATAAATATTGTATTGTACCACATAAATGATAGTATTTTATACTGATAATTAAAGCAATTCGTGCAAAATTATTCCCTAACCATTCCAAAATATCAAAAATGCACAACGTTAATATTCAAGTTTTCACTTCGGCACCCCAGGCATACTCCTGAGTAGCTATATTCAACACTTGAAACTGTTATATATAAAAATTGCTTTATTTACATTTGATGTATACTATATTGAATAATGGCAACATTCATATATACAAGAGTAAAATCGAAAATACTTACTCTGTGTGACAGTGACAGTGACGTTATCTGTAGCAGTGTTGCCATTATCATCCAATACGGTCAGCGAAAACACGTATAGCCCTTTCGTGAGTTGCGTTGCATTCGCAATGCTTTCGTTAAACGTGATAATGTTAGAGTTAGTGGGACCAGACAGGCAACGCCAAGTGTACGCAACAAGTTTTCGGTCATCGTGTGAGCCAGTACCATTTAGTGTCACCCAGGTTTGAGGAAGTGATATGAACTGAAATAGTTTAGGCTCGATTTAGATACGGACCTTTTTTAGCAATACGTTTAGTCTATGGATTGGTAATAGGAAGTATTATAGATAATTTTGGAATTGCTTACTGCTTTCGGTAATTATATAGCTTTATTATATAAAGCTACTATGAATCTATTCAAAATAAAATAAAAATAATATAACTGCATTTCCTGCTTATTTTGTACACGTCAGATTTTATCTATAGTCTATATCTAGTGATTTATAGTCTTCAAAGATTTTTTAAATGTCAAATGTAATAAAATATATAATGGTATATTCTTGTTTCGAGCCTAAACCAACATGCACGAAAGTTAGAAGAATTGAAAGAACAGCATTATGACAATAATATTAACATGCATTCAGAAATGTTTTTATGATTCCTTAAGTTTCAATCAAATTGTTATTTGGTAGAATATTTCCATACATTTTCTAAATAGTTCTTGACCTACTTTGTTATGGATTTTTTACTCGGATCGAATACTAGTAACACAATTGAAAATGTAAATTTTGCGCAAAAGGAGGGTTCAAGTATTACGTAACGCAATTTGGGGGGAGGGGGAGTCTTTTGAAACGTTACAGCGCGTTACATGTGCGAGAGGGGTGTTATTAAAACAACGCGTTACGTAACATTTTTTATTTTAATAAAAAACTGTGGGATAAATTGGCAACCCTTTTCGTTTATGTTGTGCAGGGAAACCCTCGACTGTGTTTACGTGATTTTTAATTTAAGTTTACACAGAAGCACATTGCTGTTTTCAGTGTTGTTAAAGATTGAGGAAATACCGTAATGTCCTCGAAAGCGGGAGGTTTGCATCATCAACAACAGAAAAACGTTATGGTGCGTTACATGGGGGGGAGGGAGCTTCTAAAATCTTTAAAAATTGCGTTACGTAATACTTGAACGCTCCCAAAACCAGATTTTAAGACTTTTTAAATTTATAGTCTTTAAACACAACTTATAGCATATGTACATGCAAACTCCTTGTTTAATTATGTACTTTATTATGAACACTTTTAATAAAAAGAACGTGATACTTACAGCATCCTCGCCAGCATCTGCAACCGGAGGAGTATTGGTTGGAGGCTTAACGAACACGTGCACTTCCGCGGACGAAGACTGACTGGACGAGTCTGTCACTTTTAACACAAATGTATATACACCCTCTGATAGATTTGATAGCTGAAATAATACATTCTCTTTTGTAGGGTGAAAGTGTTACCGGATGAGATTTGAAAAATTACACGATATAAGACATTTTAGTAAAATAGCACGCTGATAAGTAATATTTATTCATTTAAAAAAAGTTTTTTTTACAGGGGGCAAACGGGCAGGAGGGGTCACCTGATGTTAAGTGATACAGCCACCAATAGACAATTACGTTGCCAGAGGGCTCACAGGTGCGTTGCCGGCCTTCAAATACTGCATAACAGCCTGGCCACGGGACATTCGCCAATGCGATTATTCGCGCGGTGCGAACGGCGAAGCGTCTAGCGACTGAAATAAACTCATAGCAATGTACTAATCAAGCCACGCGCAACGGCGACCGGCGATGCGACCGGCGAAATGTACCGAGCGAATCGCGAACGAAACAAAGGCATGAATCAGTACGGCGCAAGCCACGGAGTCGAGCGGCAGTCGCGGCGAATAGAGCAGGGATTAAATAAGTTTAGTCGTTGTCGCGGCGAAAAATGAATACAGAGATTTTTATTACTGAAATACTGGAAAGACCAGTTATTTGGAAGTCTGGCCATCCACAGCATATATTTAATAAACCTTAATGTCAAAAACAATTTTTCAGCGGCACTTAAAATTCTTTTTGCATTATCTTTTTTTCCAATTCTGGTTGAATATTCATAAGAATATAATCGAAGGTTTTAATACTCATTCTGGTATGCTCAAAAAAACTTTTCTGGATATATTCTGTATTTCTCGTACTTTTTGTGGAATTCTCCATCTATACCTCGATTCTTATTTAAATCATGTACTCCACAATCTCTTCCAAATATTAGGTCTTGAACCAAAAGCTATTACTTTCCAAGCAATAACGAGATGATTTCGATAAAGACATTTCGCTGTCGAACTTCCTTACTGGTCGCGGCGGCGAACGTGACTGGTGCGTGGCCTGCAAACGGCACCGCGTGAATGGTCGCCTCGCCTCCCGAATCGCCGTTCGCACCGCCGATCCCCGTGGCCAGGCCGTAAGGGTTTATGCAAATACTGCATAATTAGGGTTTATGTATTTATTATTTCAGAATCGAGATTTAGCGTCGAGACTGACTGCTGTACGTAAAAGGTTTTGGATCTTGACACGTACGGACATAGTTCTAGCTTTGATTCCATATTTTACCCAAGTGTTTTTTATAGCATACTACGAGGTTTTGTAATATTCAGCATACACTTATTTTATTTAATATATTGACAACATCTAATTAATAAACTGTCAATGTCAACCCTCGCGTGTACGAAGCTTGCGTGGTCACAGATTAGTAAAATTGAATTGTCATTCAGTGCCTCCTAGCAAAAAGTAATGGAAACTCTGGTGACAGTACAGTACAGTAGTACAGTACAATACAGTACATGGAATTGACAATTATTCTGTATAATGCACCATTGATATCAATTTTTTCGATATTGTTTGAGTTCAGTATCTCATTATAGAATCTTAGACGTATGTATGTAATCAGATTTTTTATTACATACATTTTATACCTAACCTAACAATAGAAATGAGTTAACATGACTTCCGGTTGCTCGTGTTTTTTGGCTATAATCTTACCTGTAAATAAGGTGAATGTGTATTCTGCATATCGACAGCTTTATTAGCATCTTCCGCTGATTTCGTCCATTCCCAAGAAGTGATCTCATGGTCATCCGTAGACAGGCTACCATTTAGTGTCAAATTATTATTTGGAAGGTAGAGTATAACGTCCTGGCCTGAAACGATGATTTAGTAGTCTGTGAAACGCTATAGGTAGACTTAAATGCAGCAACATTTAAGTGGTAATATTTCTTAGGAGGTCATCTTAACTTTATAACATTACTAGCAAATTTTATTAAAAAGTTATAGTTCTACTAGCTGACCCGGCAAACGTTGTTTTGCCATGTATATTATTTCTAGGAAACATTTTTTAGTTCCACAAAAATAACTATCTACTATAAAAAAAATAGGGGTTGATCCTAGAGGTGTGAAAATTAAGAGTTGTGTGTATTTTTGTATACCGAATCATAAAAAATAAAAACAAAAAAAATGTCTAAAAAATAAAAACAATTTTTTTGGGGTGGACACCCCTTATCGCTTAGGGGTTTGAAATATAGATCGTAGCTGATTCTCAGACTTAATATGCACAAAATAATTCATAAGAATCGGTCGAGCTGTTTCGGAGGAGTATGGGAATGAACATTGTGACACGAGAATTTAATATACATATAAAGATGTAATTTTGCGAATATATTCTTTGTATAAAAAAAAATTATGTAGATAATGTTTTATAAGTCTTACTCCCCGACCTTCTTATTCCCAAATAAACAAAACTTTGGAAGAAAACCATAAGTCGAAAAGAAATTATTGGTTCTGGAACTGGAATTGATTAAAAACAATAATTTATTGCTTTCAGCTAGCCGTTCAACATTATTTGCGGATTGATTTGACAGTGTTTGTATATAAATAGGTATAATGGGGACACATTATTTGTCTTGTCTTGTGTATAACTTGTCACATGACAAATGACAAGTTTGACAGATGTCACGCGGAAAGATTTGTATTTTAGCTCTTAAATTTTATTACGTTAACCTATATTTAATAATATTTCGACGCTTCAGACTTAAAAATCAATAAAGTCTGCAGATAAGATAATAGATGATATCAAAATCGACTCATGACTCATTTTTAATGGATTTTCAGAGTAGCAGAATTCTTAATGAAAATATAATCTCATTATTCTTCCTTCATTAAAGTAAATTTACAAAATAACCTAATAATAGATTAATTCTGTAATTGTAATGGCAACTTTGCATACGTCAAAAAATAATTAAATTGAAAATTAAATGTTTTTTTTATTACATGGGCAGGATACAAGTCCTTCGGTAAAACAGAAAATTGGCTTGAACTAGTGATGTCTTAGTAAATTATAGCTCAGCTTAGATAGCTATATGAAATATGAACAGTCTGTAGAACATGTATATGTCAATTGTCATATTTTGTTATTTTACGTTTTGATAACACTCCAAGATCGACATTTTATTACTTAATGATACTTCAATGTATTTTTGATGCATATTTGAAATTACATCTCTAACCGAGAAAAACAAAAAAACTTTAGGGGAATTCGAAGTTGGTTTTAGGGAAAACAATCTGTACAAGTTGATATATCTGGTATTAACTAGAATTTATTGTCAATTTTCCATAGACAACAACTCACCTGCATTTGCCTCTGGTGGATAATCGATATGATTTAAAACCGTAATATTAGCCGAAGTGAAATTTTTCACGTGGTCCGAGTCTTCAACTGTCAATTTAAACGTATAATTTCCTGGTTGTTTGAGGTCTTTTAAAACAAGCGTAGCGCCATCTTCCAATTTGGGTTGGTAGCCCAACGGTCCAGCAGTCAATTCCCAGTGCCATGAAATTATTTGGTCGTCATCCTGAAATATTAGACCAAAAAATAAATTAAAATAATCACGCAAAACAATCCTTCGCGGCTAGGCATAAATTGGTGTTTTCACAGCGTTAACTTTCGCTGTTAATTGCGCACAAAGCTGAAGAAAACGTCTGTGAGAGAACATCATGGGAGTCATCAAAAACGCTATACAAATATATAACCAAACTAGCTAACCCGGCAAACGTGTCTATTGTCTATGTCTATACTTTTTCCATGTATATTATTTCTAGGAAACATTTTTTTAGTTCAATAAAAATAACTATCTACTATAATAAAAAATAGGAGTTGATCGTAGAGGGGTGAAAATTAAGGGTTGTAGGTATTTTTGTATGCTGTAACAAAACAAAAAAATTTTATCTATAAAATAAAAATTTAGGGGTGGATCACCCTTAACATTTAGGGATTTGAAAGATAGTAGCCGATTCTCAGACTTACTGAATATGCATAAACAATTTCATAAGAATCGGTCGAGCCGTTTCGGAGTATGGGAACGAACATTGTGACACGAGAATTTTATATATTAGATGTATTAAGCACTAACAAATAAATGTAGTCTGTCATTGAGAACATCATCAAGGTGTTCAAAATCGATAAATACATACGGGCGATGCATAAAACATAAATGTATTCTATTGATTTAACTATGAGGTCGCGCCTTGGCTTCGGAATTCTGTTCAACCATTAGTATGATGAACAGTTTCCTATTACCGCGGAAATTAGACTCAGGAAGTTCGGGTATTCGCAAATAACAGTATCTATAGTACACATCTTTAAGAATAATCTTAATATAATTGTAGAAACTGGTTATATCTGGTATTATATATATATTTATTAAGTTTACGACATCATACATAGTACTTAATCTACTGATTATTTTACAAAATCTTCCATCTAAAATGTATGACAATTAAAGTAAACATAAGTTTTACAAAAAATAGAAATTAATATATAATAATATATAGAGGGAGGGTAAAACTTGCTGAGTTTCTTGCCCGTTCTTCTCAGAACAAGGCCTCCTGGTAGTTTTGCGAACGGATGGCGTAGTGTTGCTCTTTCGCGAATTTTGTAAACGTTTTTGACATTCATAAGTATGCCCTAAGACGCATCTAAATTGAATAAACGTATTTTTATTTGAATTGATATAAATAATATTATATAAAAAAATGCTTGCAATGATTGATCTATTAAATTACTGCTCGCTTTGTTGGAAGTACGTTTTGCAACCCTGAGGAGCGTTCTAAATACTGCCGGACCAATGGATTTTTATGAAACATTTTTCATAATTTTTGGTACTTGCAATCTTATGTGGACACAATCTTAAATACGGTGAAACCCTTAGGCCTTAACTCAATTGAACGGGGTACATTGTACAACAAGAACAAGACGCCTAAACAGAACTAAACTTTTTTAGTTAATAAACCTAGTCTAGTGTATATAAATGCAAGTGCGATATCTCGGACACACGAACATAGTGTCAAAACAGTATAGAACACTAAGTTAATGGACATTACTTAGTTTAAGTTATTCACTAGTATTGTAAAAAAATTAAGTCAACATATTACTTATAAGCCATAAATATTGTATAGGCTAGATTGTAATTAAAGTAGCATTCACTGTTGTGAACTTTATTCTAGGACAAAAAAAAAGTAGCAATCTAAATAAGGGTTATATCTTATCAAAGCTATGTTTACGATAGAGTGGAAAAATTTCCATTCGTATATATTTAGGTCGGAACCAGTTAAACGTGATAATGATAGGAAATTGCGACATTATTTATCTATAATAATACATTTTAATAATAAGTGAAGCATTAATGAGCTTGATTTATTTAAATAGCTGAAATAAAAATCTATTACGTAACTTTGATTAGTATTATGAATCGAAAATCTGTTCCCGTGGAATCGTACTAATTCCATTAACACTAAATTCCATAATACCAAGATGATATGTAATTATATAATCTATACTAATGTTATAAAAGTTTGTTTTTTTTGCGATTTTATCGTAGAATTTTGAACAACTAACAAATAGAGCAAAGCATGAGCAAAGCTTATTTTGTTCGCTAATTGCTCCTTTTTAAACTAAAACCATAATTAGTTGAAACAATTCATTTATTGAAGCTTTTTTATAAAACTGTCCAAATTCCAAATATATAGGAATCGGCTACTATCTATCTTTCAAACCCCTATGTGATAAGGGGTGTCCCAAAAATTTATTTTTGTATTTTTTATTATGTGGCATTCAAAAATACATACAACCCTTCATTTTCACCCCTCTACGATTAACCCCAATTTTTTATTATAGTAGATAGTTAATTTTATTGAGAAAAAAATGTTTCCTAGAAATAGTATACATGGCAAAAGAAAGTTTGCCGGGTCAGCTAGTAATTTCAATAATATTTTAACTTGATATAATATTAGCAACCCAACTGGCAACCATGATCCGTGAACCTTGAAAAATTATATACCTAAGCCTTCCTCATACATATAGATGCAGTGTAGGGCTTGAAAGGCTCTTGAAAATCAAATATTATCAGTGCTCGTAAGAAACGTTTTATAGTCTATGTCTCTCACAAATAACGCGGCTTTCTATTGGTAAAAAAATATTCAAAATTAGTTAAGTGGATCTAGAGATTACCCTCAACAACCATACAAGCCTTTATATAAAATTAGTACAAGTACTGGAGACAATATTACCTTGCTCTCACTTCCATCCAAAACTGCGCCTGAATTGGGTAATTTTACAGTTTGCGATTGCGGTGTTATAACGACTACTGGGGCTTTATTAATTCTCTTGGGTGGCAACACTGTTACGTTTGCATAACCCTCTCCATACGAGTTAGTTCCATTTACTGTCACTTTAAATCTGTATTGACCTTCAGTAAGATCAGTTAAGGTCACCGATGCTCCGTTTTGTATCATGTTGCCTGAAAAAAAATGTATTTAATTATTTGAAATTTTATTATGACAAAAGAGGATTATTGGAACTAATATAATTCTTATTCCCTACGCGTCATTTAATTAATTCACAGATATTATATACTTTTATTTTTTTTTAAGTATCAAAATATGATGATATGATAATATAAGGTGTTGCCAGCATAACAAAAAAGGTAGCACTGATGCGGTCTATAAAACCAAGACGGTTTTCTTTCTGCATAGAAGAATGACATTGGTGAAAAGCATTTTGAATGAATATGGGAGTGGAAAGTTACAAAGCAAAATGCATAAAAAAGTATGATAGACAATAAAATGTTGTTATAAAAAAATGTTGATGTTATGTAGACACTTTTATAAAATACGTGTTTTAAACAGTCATGTAACAACAGGTACTTAAAAAAAATCTTACCATTCATTTTAAATGTGATCAGTATACTGTAGTGGATTATCTCATATCTCAATTTTATTTAAAAAATTCCAAAGACTAACTAGAAGAAAGAAAAACACAGTACCTGTAAATGTATCTTTAGGTTGTCCAACAAGCGTCCAAACATGGCTATAGTGGCTCATCGTGGACTTTTCATCTGGTATTGTATAAGCAGATAGGGTTACTTCATTTTCTGGTAACTGCACCTGGAGAATCATACTTGTTATAAAATTAACAATTTAATACTTAAACCATGTAGGATTATTTTTGTAAGGGAGCTTTCAAGTATTACGTCACGCAATTTTTGGAGATTATTGACCCCCACCGATGTAACGGGCCGTAACGTTTTTCTGTACCCAAGTATAGTAAAACGTTTCGTGACCACCTAGTGACTCTTCCTACCTATTAAAAGACTATGTTGTAAAAGTTACCATTATGTGGTGTAAAGTACTGGAAAGTCGAAAATAATATTAACAATAACAGCTCAATTCAATCCCCGGCCTGCATCGTAACGTTTTACAAAAGGACCCCCCCAAATTCGTTACGTAATACTTGAACGCTCCCTAAATAGTTATGTGATTTAATCAATATTTAAAAGTTGTTAGATAGGGCATGGTACCATTAGACTTTTAACAACAACTGCTAACAAATGCTGCAATTTTACTGAATTTAATATAATCATAATTAAGGCACTTTGTGTTTAATTTGATTAGTAGAATGTAAATTAAAAGTAGTAGTATCAAAGAGACATTCTAAGTCATTATATAGTTCAAAGTTTGTCTTCCAAATGTGGCTTATTTGTGTACCAATTCACACAACACTAATAATTTTAATTTATTAGCAGAATAAAATAGTTAAAACCTATGATTTATATAAATAATTTTAAAGATATTTTTCAACACCAAAATCAGATTCATGATACATGAGTGAATCTTGACATAGAATCTTAGAACAAATAGATCTAAGCTTGTCATTGTCAAACCTATATCTATCAAATTCTTATAGGAACACTTACTGTTTGTGAAAGTATGGATACTGTTAAATTTTGCACTGGTTTATTTTCTTTAATGTCACTTTTTGTTTCTATGTCTTCTTTTTTAATAGAATCATTAAGATCAGTAGGACCCTTTGAGTATGGACGTCTTAATGGCACACAGGCACCCTGTTCATTCATTTCTGTACCCAATACACATTTGCATATACCCTTATGCATGTTATGCCCTAATGGGATACATTCTGCATTAAAGGGACAATTATTAGTCCCCATCACACATACCACATGCTCAAGAAACTTAGAAGCCAACATCATATCGTTATCACTGTTATCATACTTTTCATAACCAGAATCCTCATCATCAATAGTGGGCAAGTTATTTATAAAGTGTGCTAGGTAATTAGACTCTTCATCGTCAGCAACTTCACTGTGTCGGTTTGGATACCCATAAACGAGTTCTTCTTCTCCAAAATTTTGCTCTTCTCGAAAGCTTGACTGGCCAAGGATCTCTGACCAATTTTCTATAACATAAATGTTTATAGTCATTTGATGAAATGTTAAAAATTATTATTATGCAAACACAATTAACATATTTATTAATTTAAAAATTCAGTTAACTATCAGATAATTAAACAGAATTTAATTTGACAAATATGAAAGTATCAAGCTTAAAGCTAAAAATTACACAATCCTGTAAATATCTTTTTACAAGTAACTAAGTACTTTACTTACAGATATATAAAGTTTATCGATAATTGTTTATAAAGAGCTTTCTAATGCTACACTATTTTTAATATGGTTGACCAAAATAAGAAGAAAATATGATAGTTGTTTAACTATCATATTTAGTTTAGTCTCATTAAAATTATAGTTGAAAGTACTTGTACTTACCACTGGGAAGCACAGGTTTTACAAGTATCATAGAAACATGTCTATTCCAATTGCGGCCACTTCTCGGCAATGGAAGGCACAGTTCATCTGTTACACACTCTATATGATAGCACCGTGAATCTACTATGAACACAATATTGCAATTGTCAGCAAGGCAACAGGACATCACACATTGTTTAAGCCCCTTTAAGTCAGTTTTCTCTGTATAATTACCCGCTGTTAAGTTGCCTGTAAAGAGTACCAAGTTATATATGTTTGAAGATTAGTCTATATTCACAAATTTGTCATTTCAGAATCACATAGTATACATAGTAGAGTTAAATAATAGTCAAGACTAAAAATCTTTAAGATAAATGTAACATATGTTTTATTGCCAATATAAATGGAACATCAGTTTTTTAGTAACTAGAATACAAACCTGCTGGCATGTAGTTGTCGAAATTTTTAGGGTATAACTTGGGACATTTATTATTACTTTCATATTTTTCAGTCCATGGTTTCGTGTACAATGATAAGCAAATTTCTAACTGCACTAAAAGTATAACGACAAAGACAAGTTTCCTCTCGGACATCTTGTCAGTTTTCCAATAAGATTTCACTTAGTTTGTTTAATTCATTACTGTATTTTAATTAAATGAACAGAAAAATAATATACAATTTATATTTATCACACAGGAAGCAAAGGGTTAGAGATATGAAATATATACGAGAGTGGGCGAAATGATAAAGATTTATATAATATTTACAATACTGATATCAACATTAAACCATCGATATTAAATGTGAACTTAATTAAAATTCAAACTGTAAGTAGCCTTTTATTTTGATTTTTGAGCTACTCGAATTAAAAATATTATTATGTATTTTCTGTACACAATTTTACCGCAACTTTTCGGCAGTGTTACCAGATAAAAAAATTGAAACCGACAGGCACGCAATTACACACACTAGTCACGACAGGATAATATTATAACGCAATCATCTAAAATCATCATAATTTCTTATCTTTTTTTCTAAAAAAAACTATGTTATATGTGTCAAACAAACGAAACAATTCCTATAAATTATTTAGTAAATTAAACATATATATGAAATATAGTGATATAAATATAAGTGAAAATTGGATATTTTTACAGTAATCAAAAAAAGTATATTAAAGGTTAAAATTACGTCAACTAATGTCTCTATAATAATCACATCATATTTATTAACGACCCTAAATATGGAGAGAATATCTCTTAATTGGCAACCTATTCCGAGTTATCAATACTCCCAAGTGCTATGGTATTTGCTAGAATAACTCTATTACTCTAACGTGGTTTGACAAATGACAATTTGCAATGCCTATAGACGTATCGACAAACAACTCTGTAAAATATTTTTTTTTATAGTATAGGTTTGAAATTTTAATGCATTAGAAAAACAATTTTATTCACGTTGGGAATCAAGAGAGCAAGATTTTTTCATTCCTAACTATTTAATTTAAAAAAATTAATTTTAATTAAGCCCAACAAGTAACTGCACTAAAGTATATATGAATTAGTAGATATATGAACTACTAATTCATATTGGGGCTACTGCGTGCCGTCACGATTGCTTTTCCTTTTACTGACTGGTTCTCTAGCTAATTGTATGGATCAACGCATTGTAATAGATGAATCCGTCACACGGTGGTCCGAGGACAGTTCTGGAGTCCCGCAGGGTTTGTCTCCTCTTCTTTCTGCTATTTTTATTAACTTTCTAACTTTTCGGATTTCAGTGCATTACCACCTTAATGCGGATGATGAGCTTTAGCTATCTGAACTGAACGTCATTCGATAAGCCAACACCCAGTATTCCTAGGCTATGAATACTATATTATGATGAGGCTTTTATCGGTGAAACAATTCAAGGACATTTCAATAGTTATATATATGTGTTTTATATAAATTGAAAGGGTTCCCAAAGTGTACGCCGTAGAAAGCAAATAGAACGCCGTGAGTCGATTCATTATGCGATACCACAAATATTATGGGTACTTACGAGAACCACTCCCACGTATTAACGCGAGCCGCGCGAAGAGACTGACGTGTCATCGTGTTTTGTTTAGCTTTATTTTTCCACGAGAATCTCACGCAAAATGAACAGATTTTTATTAAATAAACAAGTCGGCAGTTCAAATAGTAATATAATAGTAATCAGAAGGGAAGCTCTTGCATCAAAGTCAATGAGATCTGAACTGAACCAAGTTGATAATCGCATGTGTTTTAACAGCCATAACTTTCATGTGGCAATTTTCATGTCTTATTTCGTGTCTTCGAATAACACGAAGAAATTCGCACTTTTTTTACAGCAAGAACGTCATGAATACGCCAAATAGTTAACTAAACCGGAATGTTTGCACAAAATTAACATATTTGTGCGATATTTTTGAGAAATCGGAGAGGATGGCAGCGTTTAGTAAGAAACTACATTTGTAAAAATAATGAATTAAGGCGGTGGTCGAGGTTGCTACTACTAATGGTCTAAATATGTGGCATCTAATAAACTGGTTGTCTCCCAAGACCTGATGGCGCATTTCACGGAACATCCAGCGAAGCTCACCAAATGGTTTGCGAAGTAGGTACTTTGCAAATAATGATGTCGATAAATTGGTGTCAAGATCCATTCCATGCACAAGGTCCGCCAGAATATCACAAGAGAAAGAAAGTTATCGAACCGAAATCTTGAGCCATGAAAATCTATTCACCAGTTCAGACTTAGTGGAGTTTTGTCTATTGATTTAACTTAAATTTTTAATAACTTCATTGAAATTCCGTTTGCAACATCACATTTATGTGCAGCTGGATTTTTAGCCGCAGCTGCAATCAAATACAATTATCGCTCAAGGGTTAATGTGGAGCAAGAAATGAGAGTAGCAGTCTCAAGTCTTATTCCCCGCTTTGAGAAACGGAGTGCGGAGATCACCAAGATCACCGTCACATAGATTAAACTGAGTAGCAATCGTATTTTGTTTTTCTTAGTTCGTTTTTTTTCTGTTAATTTTGTGACACGGTGGGCGCGCATCGTAAAATTTCACACTGATCAATTTTTCATAACGCGCCTAAAGAAGTATAACTTCAAAAACTCTATTTCATATTGTGGATGTTTGAATTTTTGTGCATATCATTTCAAATTTGACGACTCATTGGTCTAGTGGTTAGTACCCCTGACTGCGAATCCATGGGTCCCGGGTTCGATCCCCGGCTGAGACGAACATCGATGTGATGAGCAATTGGTGTTGTGCTTAGGTCTTGGGTGTTTAAATATGTATTTATACGTCTATCTATCTATCTATAATATGTATGTATATCCGTTGCCTAGTACCCATAACACAAGCTTCACCAGCTTAGCATGGGGCTAGGTCAATTGGTGTGAATTGTCTTTAAAAAAAAAAAAAATAGAGTAGGGCGCCGTGGTGGAATACTAATCTTGTAAGTGCACCGCGGTCTGAAAGAAAGGGAACCCCAAAAGAAAGTTTGCTTCATGTCAGTTCCTATACTGAAAGATATAGTTTAGTTTGTTGTAAATACTTTAATCTATTACTGTTTAATATTGTGTTGTTGTGTATTGTTTTGTATGTGGTGTATATGCAAATATACATCGTTTTTTAAAACCAAAACATAACAATCAAATATATAGTATTTACAATGTTTTTAACCTACATAGTAAATACAAAAATAATTAATAAAAATAAAATTTAAACCAATTTAAAAAGCCACTGACACAGCGGTCTGTACATGTAAATATGTAATTATCGCATTCGAGTAATAAGTAGCTGATTTTGTTAAATATATAATAAATCAATATTAGATTTAAGCTTAAAATCGAACGAAATCTGATAACCGCTAAGGTCACGTGGGAACCTAAACTGTCTCGTTCTTTCGATGTCATGGTACGAATTAGCGATGCATCTCAGTTGTAGGTTGTCAATAGACTCGCAATAAGAGTTCATGGTAGGCCCCAAGTAGGGTTAAAATCTCAATACGTACAACGTATCCACTGAATGTGAAATTATATCGGCTTGCAAACATAATAGTCGTGTCAAATTAAACAAATTTTATGTTTTGAACATGATTTCATAAGTGTATCAAACAATTTTAGATTAGTAATCGGTATTGCCAGTTTGTGCTAGACTCGTGAAGTGTTTGGTAGAATTTAACGATGGGCGCTGGACAAATAGGAGGCATTGCCACTTTGCGTTAGTATAGCCTATTTACGTCTACCTTTATACAACAACTAGGGTCCTTTATATAAAGACGTACCAATTCTTAAAAGGCCGGCAACGCACTCGCGCGTCCCCTGGCATTGAGTGTCCATGGGCGGCGGTATCGCTTAACAGCAGATGGGCCTCCTGTTTCCCCCTGTTCTATAAAAAAATGACTTCGAAGTTGGAAAGTATTTGAATACTTAAATAAGTAAAATAACTTTATGCATGACGTAAAGTTTGTGATGTTGTAATCCGCGGATCATCTGAACCGATTTTACAGTATATAATAAATATATAAGTACGATTTTAAGTTACAGTAGCTCAAACCTACTTGCCTTAATATATTATAATTATAATAATAAAAAAAAGAGTGCGTGTGATATGTACGCACGTAAGAAGTTATACTTCTTTGGCTGTCTTTATTGTTTTTAAATATTAAATAATTAATAATAAATATTTAACGTTAATAATTTAATAATATTTAGTATATTATTCAATTATTAATTAATATTAATAATAATAATTATTATCATTTATTATTTTATTATACATATTATTCATTCAATTTAATAACTAGGTATGTTTCATAACCTTTTAACTAAGTAACAATAGGTCTTTGTGAAAAAGCATTGCTAAATTTCTTTGAAAAAGTAATTAAAATTATTTGTTTAAAAGGTACAAACTTACAAAGGTCATTATGGTAATTTTGAAAAATTTTGTGTCACGGTGCGCGCGCATCGTAAAATTTCACTCTCATCAATTTTTCATAACGCGCCTAAAGAAGTATAACTTCAATAATAATTATTATTTTATTCATCAGATAAATACAGTCCATTGATTGATTAGTAAGTTAGTAACAATAGTTTCTTAAGATCTATGTTAGTAGAATTAGTAAAAATAAGAAAAAAGTTGTTAAAGAAAAACTATTAGGTACAAAGCCCTGCGGAGATGTCGGAGCAGTGTCGTAAATAGGCGAAAAATCAACAGACGCAGATTTATCAGTCTGATGCCCCTCTGTCGTACGGACCCCATTTGTAGAACAAAAATTGTCTATACATAAATTTAGTCTTGTTCATTATAATTGAACACTATTTGTATTATGTTTGGTTTAAAGCCTATATACCGAGGAGGGACAAGAAACTTAAACCTAATTAATCAATATATTATGTGCAGTGGATATCGACTTCCAAAATGCTGCAGGATTTCAGGGCGTACCAGCTCAAACCACGGAAGGACAATTTATTGTATGTATTTACAAAACTATTAGTAACAGTACATAAAAAAGGCTTATCTCTCAAGGATTGTACTATGCTAATAAATTTCAATTTGGAATTACTATGTGCC